TCAATTCTTTATTTGACCTCTAATTGACATAAGAAGGTCATTTTCTGCAATCGCAAAATTGGAAAGATATAGGCATTTTTTCGAAATGCGATTGATTAACTGGATGGTATGGGATCACTCATATCCTTTAGTCAGTATGGATCATGAACACGTGAATGACATAATTGGGCCATAATAGTTGCGTATAGATGGGGTTACCTAGGGTTTGCTCATAAACACAACAAGAGGGTGAAGGCTTTGGAAACATTCCGGAACACTCGCACTCAATTATTTCAAGGCAATGAATGTTATTACGAAAAGACCAATCACTATCTTTACAGGCATCATAAATCACGATTAATCATTAATACGAGGATCGGGAGCGACAAGAAATTTGACTTTTAACTTTACAGGTATAATTACTATGCATAGGAATGTTTGCATTTTTTACATAAATGTGCCTGAATGAAGATTTGATTATATAACCTTCAAGCAGACGTCGATTCGGTTTCATTGGTAACAACGTTAAACGCGTAAAACTGAGTTCCATTCTGCAAGATCTCAAGTAACTTTAGTATTTCATTTTCTTTCACCAACAGGTAATAGCAGATACAGTAAACCCTCTCAAATTGTCACCCTCTCTAATTGTCCCAGAGTAACCGAGTAAACAATTGCTTTTAATTCAGTTTTTTTAATTAGGAAAATTTTGAGAGGACTTTTAATTACTATTTAATACTGTTCAATACAGGAATTATCAAATTGGAAATCAAAAACACCTAAATTGAATTAATAATTAAATTTTAAAATTTAATCAAATTCGTAAAAGGGCTATTTTGCCTAATTATTATAAGAAAATAGCCAAGATGCTAATCCCACGACGTGACAATTTGAGAGGGTTTACTGTAATAGTGAATCCTTCACCGGTGAGAACGTAATCCTTTCCAACATTTTATGAGAGGAAAGCAATTTCTGTTACAAAAAATCCAGTAATTATGTTAAAATGTGTAGAAGAGTAAATTAATATGCAACACAAGATGATCATCTTTTCTTGTAGGCAACATGATTTCCTTGTAGATGGCACAGTCCCAAGAAACGCGCCATACCAGGCATTTTTATTCATTTTATGCCTTCATACAGGCATAACGCACGAAACTTTAGAACCCGCAGATTGAACAACCGTAAGTACGAACCATCAAGGTTATTCAAGGCCAATCCTTTATTTGACCTCTAATTTGCGTTGAAAGGTGATCTACTGAAATCGCAAAATTTTCCTGGCCCAATTATGTTAGTCACATGTTCATGACTCATACTGACTAAAGGATATGAGTGATTCCATACCATCCAGTTAATCCATCGCATTGTGAGAAAATGCATTTATCTCACCAATTTTTCAATTTCAGAAAATGACCTTCCAATGTGAATAAGAGGTCAAATAAAGAATTAACGCACAGTTACGCTATATGTATTTTTTATTTTAAAAAATACAGAACTATTTATAATTATCACAATCTACTGGTTACCCAGTATCAAATTGTGTAATGAATTATGAAGTCAATGAGGAGAGGTCGACGAACAAAGCAAAGGATTAACTTTAAATGTAGACAAAACCAGCAAGTTTCTATGGTGATCTGAATCAGATGCTAATCTAAAGAATAATGTTTAATATCTATATTCCATGTAAAAATGATTATTTTTATTTCTATTTGACTGTTTAAACATGGTTCAAGCTTTCATTATGTTTAACTCCCAGCCACAGTTATTATTGTTGGAACATCAAATATTCTCGATTCTTTCCCAAAATAATTGTTCATGTAAAAATAGATACATTTTCTTTCTCTTCCTACAACCTGAAAGGTAAACACTTTTTTCTTCTCTCTTCGTTTAACTGAATCAACAATGAAAAACGGAAATGGTTCATCATGTTTACCATGGGTCCAAATCAGGTTCACAAACTGTTGTCAATGAACATTGAAAAGTTAGTCTTGAATAAAGATTCTCATGAGAATTGAACTTTGAAAGGAAAACAAGAGGAAATTGATAATGAGAAAAATATCGCAAGGTAATCATCATGAGAAAAATTAATTCTGACTCGACAGAACTGAACCTCAGAATCGGCTACAACAGCAACTTGTAATTGAGTGAACAGTTGATAATCAATTCACCTTCACAGTAAAACGTCTTTATCCGTCTTCAGACTCGAGTAAAGTCTTAATCACTTGTGATTATAATTGTTCAGCTTATGATTAAATCTTTTCTCTCTTCTGGTTCATCATTCAACTTAATCTTTTAGGTGACAAAAAATCAGGTAAAAAGAGTTACCTTAATTCCGATGTTTCTCAGCCAAAATCTTCTTTTGTTCAATATTCAATCTTCGCCTCTTTACATCCAGAGATTTGTAGAAGGAAAAAGATAAAAATAAGAAAATTTTCAAGAATAAAATGTTCTGAATTTGATTTCGATTTGCTTTTTACTTTTACTTTTCATCCAGCTTCATCTTCTAACCAATTTGCCTAAGAATTGAATTTCGAAGGAAAAAGTAAAATTGAAAATTGAAATATCTTTCCATTCACAAGTCTCAACATTTAAAACCTGAAACTATTCAAAGTTGATGAATATTTTTCAACTTTTTGAGAGGAAAAAGTTGAAGATAATTAATACAATTAAGATTAATGAAGTGGCAAGAAAAGCGAAAAAATAGATTTTAATATTCAACTCTAATTGAATATAATTACTTTTGCTTTGAAAATGACAATTAAAGTTAATTAAATTGGAAAATGAAGAGAACAAGCAATCGAAATTGCAAACCATTTTTTGGCTTTTCAATCAATGTTTAGGTGAATAGGAAAGGATATTCAGTTGGGATTGGAATTTCATGGAAAATATTAGTTGCAAGATTGATGAGTTTCAAGTTGAGAAAATTTAATATCAGATGAAGAAAGGTTTTCAATAGAAACGATAACAGTTGATTAAATTGTGCACAGATTGAGTCAACAATTGTCCTTTAAAGGATATCGCTTGATTGATTGGATAACAATTGACCTTTAGTAGCTTAACTGATAATCAACTCAAGTTGAGCATAAATTTGGTGGCAATCAGGCTGATAATTCATAAGTAGTGTGAGGTTGATTGACTTTAAATCCATATTATTGAAGGATGAACAACTAGATTGACAGAATTTGTAATCGCTTTCCTCACAAATCACTTGGATTATCATTTTTCCCACAAAATTTAATTTGGCTTTGAAAAATGAGAAATGCTCAAAATTACTTTCAACTCGGACTTGGTCAGAAAAGATTGAACTTATTATATTTTCAAAAAACTTATCTTTAATCTCAAAGAAAAGTTCCATTTCTGTGATTCGATATTTCAAACTTATTGCTCAACACTTTTCAATTACAATCCAAATCCAAGACGAACACAAAAAAAATTCAAAGAGATCCAATTCGACACAAAACTAGATTAATATCGGGTTTACAAACCTCTGACCTTTTCTCATTCCTGTTGAGTCTAATTGCTCAACTTCAGTATCGAATATTTGGGTTTTTAGAACGATTTGAAAGATTTTCTCGGTTTCAATGTAACTTTACTTGTTACTGGTTTACAATGGCAAGTATTGAAGAGTTTCGATCTCAAGCTTTCCAACTTTGACTTGTTAACCAACAAGTTAGTGTTTCAATCGTAATAATGTCTAATAAATCGACTCTAATCTTTTCGTTTTTTCGAAAAATCGATTCAATTCTTATCGACATTTGAATTCCTTTGCTCAGAAGTCTTGAGCCTTGATTTGTCTTGATCTCTGAACAGAAATAAATGAACAAATGGACATGAAAATAATCATGAATCTTCAATTGAATGCAAACAGTTTATATTGACTGGGAAGGAAAACTGTTGTCGACTGTTTGAGTAAAATGAAATATTTATTAGGATGGAATCAACTTGAATCATGAAAGTAATACTCAATGAAGTTTAAACAGCTTTTTTCAACTGTGTCTCATTGCCTGTGATAATAATGCAAAATAATTCGATGAAGAATGTTCAATTAGGCGTTAGTTGATTGAGTAAATCATGAGTAAATCATGGGCAAAAATCAGGTCTTATTTAATGGGGAAAACTCATCCAATTTTGGATAAGTGAAAAGGCAAATAAAATCAATGCTTCAGCCTGAATCAGTTTAGATGCTTGGACAAGGTTTAGTCTAATTTTTTGAACAGGTTTTAGGTTAATCTACAAGTTAATCAGATTCTGAATGGATAAATAAATTGTACTTTCATTTAAGAGAAGCAAATCAAAGTGAATAACCATTATATTAACCTTTTATTCATCATGGCATCTTATTCCGATTCTTATTCTTCATCATGTTCATCTTTACCAGATTTATACTCAAGGGTTTAACAATGTTTGTTAACTCAATAATAAGATTCTGTTTCTTCATTTTCTGCTTTTTTGTCTGTTCCTCAATTTTCACCAAGATACTGATACTTCTGCAACTGTTATGGTTAACTGGCCTTTCATTTGTAATAAAATTCGTGTTGAACAATTTGCTTGATTACCATTGATTATTTCATTGATCATCGTTCGTTGTTCATGTTTTGGTTCAATCAACTTTTCCATCTACTTTAGGTGAAGAGACTTTGTTTTTACTTGTCTTTTCATCTTGTTTTTTCACTCGTCTCGCGTTAATTAATTTTGACTACGGATTTGGTTTTGATTTGATTACATGATTGTCATGTTACAAGTATTGCAACTCTGAGATAAACATGTAATGCTGATTGAATTAGAAGTATCAGATTGAATTAACTGCCGTTGAAATGGTGTACAAATCAACAAATTAAGGCAAAACTGTAAACAGCCATTTAACCATTAGTTTTGGGTTTTCTGGTTTGGGCTTTTGTTTTGGTTCAACATTTTTATGTTTTCTTGCTTTTTGCTATCTTATGTAATTGGGTTTAAAGTCAATTTGATTGTCAAATTGAAGATTAGGTTAAATGGTATTTAAATTAGATTCAAAGGAATTAACTCACTTGGCCGAGCAATTTAAATGGGTAAATGTTAGAGGCACCATTTTGGTTAACCTTTTTAGGTTTAAAAGTCACAGATTAATAAGCGATTAAACCGGGTTAAAAGATCCAATTTTGAAACATTAAGATGACAATTAGTTGATTGTTGCTGGTTTATGTTACAGGTAAAGTTTGGTTTAACCAGAATTGGAAAGAAGTTGTTGAACAGAGTTGTTGGATTTCACTGTACAGAAGCTGTTGTGTGTTGAATCGCAGTGAAACTTGAATAGTTGATAGTCACTGACAGTTATTACATTGAGTTGAACAAGAAGATTGGTGATGATTGTTATAATGGTAAAGGTAGTTGTGTTGGTGGTGATGATGATGAGGGTATAAAAAAGATTGAACAAAATGAGATGAAATGAGAGTGAAGTGAGACTTTAACATGGAGATTGCGGAGTTCAACTTGAAAGTTACACTGTTTAGTTTTGGGTTATACCTTTTGAATCAATCATGATAAAATTGAAATCCTTTTTGAATCTGTAAAATTTAATTATAATTAAAGTAGAAAGATTAATTAATGGCGTAAAAATGTGAAACTGTTCATTGGCAGTGTAAACAAACTGCTTTCTGGTAATTTTTGCCTGTGTAACCCTTTGCTGTGGGTTAGACTTTTACTTCATCTGATCAACTTGAACATCTTTTTTATTAACGATTGATCAGTTTAATGGTGTTTTCATAATGAATGGTTTGAACTTGATGAACAGAAGAATAATTAATTCTAATTAGTGACGAACAATTGGGTTTATTGAAAAAGATTGATGACAAAATGTACAGAAAAGTCCTATTTTTATACTTTGCTTTTTTAATTTACTCTTTTTCGTGATTAATTGACTTATTATGTTTAATCTTGTTTTTTGATAGGTTTCTTGATTAATTTAAATGGTTAGTTTGGATGGAAAGGTAAATTGTTTGAAAAAATCTGGTTTAGGTTATCTTTTGAAAAATGCGCTACACCAGTTTTACCATGGATATTGTGTTGCCACCTTTTAAGTGGAAAACATGTTTTTTTGTTAGCAACATGCAACTTTAAACGTCCAATCTTATTGTGATTAACTTTAATTAGTTTTTTAATTTGCTTAGCAATTTGTGATATTGTAATTTGTTATGCCAGTAAAAATGAGTAATCGTTTTATTTCACATCGGATTAATCTGTTTGAGCCAGATCTGTTGTTTTCAATAAATTGTCTATCCTTGAATTCAAAGGAAAACAAGCTTGCTGTTTTACGTCGGAGTTTGCCAAAAGATGATGTATTACAATCAAAATCATCAACAGCTAATATTGACTCTCTATTGTCACACAGTGCTATAGAAATATGGCAATCAAGTGTTGATCATTGTTTAACTCTATCGCAGGTAATTTATGAAGATGAGGACGATCCATGCCTTCTTGAATCTTTAGGATGGTCTTATGATAACCGACTATGGGCTTGTGGATTGAATGGGCGCCTTCATAAAGTTGATTTAGTTAATGGTACGATAAATACAGGGTTTCCTTTGGTTTCTGGAGCTGGTTGGTGTTTACAATTTAATGGAGATAGAACATTGGCGGCGGTTGGAACAGAAACTGGTTATATTAATATATTCAATTTTGCTATGGCTGAACAAGAAGTAATGGACTTTGAGTTTGTTAAGACATTGGACCGAGACCAAGCCAGAATTATGTGCATTTCTTGGTATGAACCAGATAATGAGGATAAGAGGATAGTCTCAGGATCGGTCGGTGTAATCAAAATTTGGAATTACGAATCTGGATCCTGCTTGAATGTAATAAAAGCAAGTGCTGCAACCACAATTTTTTGGTGTTTAACCATTATCGATGGTTTTACAATAGTCTCTGGTGACTCTACAGGCAACACTTCATTTTGGGATGGCAAAAATGCAATTTTAATCAATTCAATACCCTCTCATAAATCTGATGTCTTGTGCCTAACTAAAACACAAAAAAATCTAAAAAATTTAATTTATTCGTCTGGAATAGATCCTAGTGTAATTACGTTCAACGTTGATTCTAATGGTAAAGGAGTCCAATCAGCAACATTACATCTCCATAGTCACGATGTTCGATCTCTTGTTTTCACCAAAGAATGGCTCATATCAGGAGGATTTGATTGTTATCTTACCCAAGTTTGTGCCTTTCCTCCAAAACAAGTACACCAAGCTCCAGTTTTAACTAACATGATACATATTCATAAAGATCATATGCTTTTCCAGTATAGTAGATCTTTAGAGCTTTGGAAAATTGGATCAACCACTCCGAACAATAATGCCAATAATAATTATCAGAATGAAATTTTGGCCTTAGGTGATGCAAGTCAATTACCATTAACAAAAGAACCTGTCAAAATTGTCAACATATCAACTAAACGTTTAATACATCAGTCTAATTTTTCTGGACCATGGATTGTCTATTCTATCCTAGAAAAAGTAAAAGTTTTACATTGTTCTGGTGACACTATTACCAAGGTTCCACTTCTATGTGACCCTATTTTTGAAGTTATTACTGGCTTACAATTTGTTGATGACAAATATTTACTTCTATCTACTGGACTTAAAATTTACGTCTTCAAACTTGCAATTTCAGGACTTGTTTTAGTTACACAATTCAAACATAAACATAGAATCGTAAAGATGGCAACTTCTAGTGATTATGTTGCATTATCATTGGAAAATCGTTCTGTTGTTATAAACAATACAGCTGATTGGTCTCGAGTCGTTCGATTCAAAGCAAACTCTATACCTACCTGCTTTACTTTCAACATCCATCAGAAAGACCATCTTTGGCTTGGTTTTTCTAATCATCTCATCATGAGTTACTCCATTCCCAAAAATGAATTTACAAAATATTCATACAATGAACCAAATCAATATCTACCATTAATCGGACTAACATTTCACCCAAATGGTTTCATTGCTTATGATCAAGATCGTTTATATCATTATAATGGTTCTTCTTGGACATCATCAGATCGCTACTCTCACTTAGCCAAGGTTGAATACTTGCCTGAAAATCAAGAATTACTTGTGATTGAAGTAACATCAAGTATGATTAAAAGAAAACTTCCAATTAGATTTTCAAAGAAAAAATTTGGAACTTAAAAATAAATATTTTCCTAATGCCAAGATTAAGCCGATACTCAATGTTTTCTTCATTTTTTCTTGCGACTATCGTTATACTGGATACAAAAGAAGTCCTCGACTGGTTTTGATTGATTGACAATCTAATCGTGTAATAATAATACTATCAGAGACAAACCAAGTGATAATCACATCATGATTAAACGAAATATTTTCTCAATAGTAAAACAAACAATTGTTAATCCTTGAAATATTGTCATATTCGCGTAACTAATCTCTTTGCCAGCTAATAATGGATCAACACAAAACAATACAATACAACTGATTAACTTGTACGTATCATGACTGGAAAGAAAAGCGTAGAAAATTCAGAGACCTCTCCAAAAGCCAGGATAGCTAAGTTCCTAGATCAGCCACTGAGATGTGACTCTTGGTTGATGTGACAAAAAATTAATATAACTTGGCTCATGAATTAATAAATCAATCGAAAATATGTTTAAAAAAAGTTCCTCAACTTTGTAACATTGCGATCGTTAGGTGTAGTGAGCTGATTTATTGACAATCCTTTATGAAATATGATTGCATCTCTTTCACCACTTTTAATTTTGATCAAGTTTTCCTGGTAGTGAAAATTAATCAACTGGAGATAAAGATGACAGAAATCTTTCAAAAAGGAAAGACTTTAACGAGATGAAGGAAAGTATACCAATCTTTAATAATGAATGATATTCAATTGAATCCTGTTATGTTACCACGATGATGATTAAAATGATTTGGCATCATTATCTTCAAAGAAACCTTTTAAAAAGATCTCATTTAGTTGAATTACAAAATATCCAAAGAGGAAATAAACCATTTAAAGTTGATAATCGGAGAAAACCATTTAACTCTAATGAATCCATCTAAATGTATTTTTTATCCATATTTGTATTGAAAGGGTCAACACATTATCTCCTTGTTAACAATTTAACTGAAACCAAAGTTTTCCTTTCAATTCTTTCCATAGTAACAATCTTTTATGACAAATAAGCCATCATCAGCATCAGCATTATCATCGGGAATTGTAAACTATCATCAAGATTCTGTGACTATCACCATTGTAGTCTCAAACAAAAACCAAGAAAATGTTAATCAAGCAAGATAATGTATCATTATTATTCTAATCAATTATATAACTCAATAATTTTCATACTTGAACACGACAAAAAAAACAAAGATCGTAAAAAAATGCAATAAAAGACGACAGGAAAAAAAAGTTGAACAGCATAGGGAAAAGGACGCGAGACAATCAACACTATCTTTATATTTAATATTAAGTACGCCTTGATTAAGCCAGTGATGAAAGGAACCTCAGAATGATTACAATTAGTCGATTGATTCACCGAAACAAAAAGATTGGAAACTTGATCGAGATAAGATTGGGTAAATAAAGATGTCTCTGGTAATCTTTGCCTGGTTGTCCTTTATCCTTTCAGTATCATATGTTTATAACTAGTAAAATGTCAACAGAGGGCGATACAAATGATCGTCCTGATCGAGTTGGAATGTTTTTTCTCGAAAAATAGAGAAAAGAAAGAGAAGAGAGGAAAGAGGAAGAGAAATTAAGAAGCGCAGGCTAAGAATGGATGAGATGGTGGAGGAGGAGGTTGTGATAGTCAGAAGGATGTTTAACTGATAACCATAGAGAGAGGAGAGTTGTTACCTTTACATAGAGAGGAGTAAAAAATCAACAACAGTTATTTCCAACAGTAATCAGTATTTTTTTTCCTGGTTAACCCCGAATCCCTAAACCTCTCTCCCTCTCCCTCTCTCTCTCCTCTCCTCTTCTCTCTCTCTATCTCTCTCTCTCTCACTAATCTTTATATCAGTGTTTATCTCTTTCATTTTCACACAAGTAAACACACTCACTTTCTATGTGTAATACAAATTCAGCAACATTTGACATCAACTGTGATACCCAACACTACAGAACACACATTTTCTGCTTTTCCCTCTCAACATTCTCATCTTCTCCCATCTGTATATTATGTAAATAACTGTTTCTTCGTCGTCCTTGTCTCATCATCATCATCATCCTCACCACCATCATCACCATCACGACCAACACCACTACCACCACCGCAATCATCATCATAATCACCATCTTCTGGATTTTTTCAAATTTCATCATCTATCAACATCTTCGTCTCGTTCTCATCCTTCAAAACCAACAAAAACCACCAGCTTCATTAACAAGGATCAACAAAATATCTCTATCAACTATTTAAATCATCTTTTCTCAACCAAATCTCCCTCTCTATATATATTTATGTTTCGTCTCTCATCTTCTAAGTTAATATTCTCATCAATTTTGATCATCTCCTAATGAAAGTACTTAATGAAACAAAACTGGTTGAACTTGTTACCTAATATTAACCCTGTGCACCAGTTATTACAGTGATATACAAACCATTGTTATTGTTTTTTTTGTATCACCAACACACATAAATTTATTCTGCTTCTGGTGTTAATTTTATTATGGTTTCAATTCAAAGTTGTCCATAAGCATTCATCTTAAAAGCGCAAAGGAAGAAACAAGGAAGAGTGATTCTTATCCATGTATCGCTCTGCTGTTTTATCATAAAGACAATCCAAGTTATGCATGCATATTTATTTATTTAGATAAAAATTAAATGTCTACATACAGAGAGCGTAAAAATTACCTATAAATATAAATGATATAAATCAAGTTAAAGTATATATATATATTATATCTGATATATATTATATACATTTCAAGTGGAAACCGTTTTAAATCAAAAAAATGACCAAAGCCTTGCAGTTTGACTGGCGTCGTTCAGTACCAGAAGCATTAGTCAATGGATGCTATTTTGATATGTGGGAAGAAGAAAAGGGAGAAATTATCGTTGAAACTGGAGCCTTATTTCGTGTTGACGAGTATGGATTTTTTATTTATTGGAAATCGGAAGGAAAAGAAGGTCAAGTTTTGGAATTGTGCCAAGTAAATGATATAAGGGAAGGTGGTGTTCCCAAAAATCCGTCTCTCCATTCCGAATTGGCCTCTCGAGTATCTTCACAGTTTAATTTGGACCAGGTTAGCTTAACCATTTGCTCGGGTACAGACATGGTCAACATTAATTATACCCATGTGGTAACCCCAGATCCAGAAACGGCGTCAAGTTGGAGAGCAGGATTACGTGCAATTACCAATAATAACAAAGCCAACAATGTGTGTCCAAGAACCTGCCTTCAGAAACATTGGATGAAATTGGGTTTTCTGGTTGACATAAATGGTAAAATACCGGTTCGCAGTGTATCTAAAACCTTTGCCTCCGGTAAAACCGAGAAATACATTTACCAGTGTATGAGAGAGGTTGGCCTGCCACACGAAAAGAACGATGTCATCGAACCAAGTGAATGGACTTTTGATAGGTTTTACAAATTGTATCATAAAATTTGTCCCCGTAACGATATTGAGGAACTGTTTAACTCGATTACCCAGGGTAAATCGGAATACATTGGTGTTCGTCAGTTGGTTGATTTTCTCAATGAGAGACAACGAGATCCACGACTCAATGAGATAATTTACCCGTTATACGATGAAAAGCGTGCCCGTGAAATTATATCAACCTATGAACCTGATTCTGTACTTGCAGGAGAGGGTAAAATATCTCAGGATGGCCTTATACGTTATTTAATGTCCGATGAAAATGCTCCTGTTTTCCTTGACCGATTAGATTTTTATATGGACATGGATCAACCACTTGCTCATTATTATATCAATTCATCTCACAATACCTATCTAACTGGACGACAGTTTGGTGGTAAATCTTCCGTTGAAATGTATCGACAAGTACTTTTAGCGGGTTGCCGTTGCATTGAACTTGACTGTTGGGATGGTAAAGGTGAAGACCAAGAACCAATTATAACCCATGGTAAAGCCATGTGTACCGATATCCTCTTCAAAGTAAGTAGACCGTTTAGACCCGTTAACACATCAATCTCGTTTATCAACACCATCAACCAGCAACATCAACATCATTAAATTAGTTTTTACACAATGAAAACCATTGTTTGCCGTACAAAGATGATGGGTTAATTAATGTTGTTATTGTTTAAATTGTTATCTTTTCTCTCTTCTCTACTGATTTTAATCAATCTAACCATTTACTTTTATCTATCAGTCCATTAACTACTCTATTATCTTTCACCTCTCACTTAATTGTAATCACTTGGAATCATAATGATCACATGTTCACCATATTACATTACATATCTTTGCATTTCCAAGTAACATTTCCCACCAAAAAACAATTTCAATCAATTATCACATCCAATCAACGGGCAACAATTTAAATTTATCTTAGCTTCTTAGTTTGTTGATTAATTCACAGAGTCACAGTGATTTACGATAATTAAACTAATGTTTCCCTGTGTTTCCTTGATTCACAGTCGCCATCTAACGTTGCCAACTAATTAAATGTAACTAGGAAATGATCAACAATCAATTACAAGTTGAAATTAAATTTGATCAACTATTGATAATTGATTGATCCATTACCAAATTACCTGCACATTTCAAGATAGCAATTTAAATTAACCAAAACAGCTAAATTACCTTCAACTAATAATAAACCAGCAACAATCTGGGTTAACCTTGCGTGAAATGTTTCGATTTTTTCAACAAATGAAATTTTAATGATTTATAATTTGGCCAGAATCGTCGATTACAATAAGTCACCTAAACTAATTAACTTAACTATCTTTAGATTTCCACAATTCCAACCCAATTAATGAATGTTGGAAAAAATGTCAATTCCAAACGAAAACATGAAATGAAAAATGAATTATTTTGAATTTCATTTGACTGTTGATTATTAATTGTTGATTAAATTGGTAATTTTTTACAAAAAAATATAATCAATTCAAGTTGAATAAAAATGATAAAGTAACAAATACGTTGAAATAATGAAAAAAAGCAAAACATGAAAAGTCTGTTGATTCATCATTGAATTGAAAACAAAGTTGATGTTGAGGTTTCTCATCGAAAAATGTATTTCCATTTTTTTTGTAAAAATTTTTTTCTATCATTTCACCTTATTCCATATTTATAATAACATGAACATTTTATCTCCCTTAGCTCATCAACATTACCAACCCTGTCTCATCAGATACTTTTTTTCAATTTCATCAACTTATTCAGATTTTGTTTCTTGAAAAACTTTTCTTTTTTTCTCATAGAAATGAATCAAATTTTAATGACATTTCTTTCAACATTCAATGTTTCTTTCAGTTTAATGATGATTCCAATGATAATTTGAATTGTAATTTGTTAACCATTGAACATGATTTAATCACCAATCATCTTGTTGATCATCTTTCATCTTGCCAGTTATCCCATTTCGTCCAATCATATTTACATAAACTTTTGTCCTGAATCCATTTAATTGGCTATAATGAGCCTTTCAATTAACATTATCCAATTTACATGAGCTTGTATGAAACACAATTAACAAGAAGAAGCAAAAAAGGAAAACAAAAACATGAAAAAATCGGAAAAGTTGATAATTATTTCAAACCTTTTTGTATTCATGTTTAACCATGAATCTGGTCAAGTTGGTACAAAACTGTTAACCTTTCAAATCTGGTTAATTTTGACTTGGATTGCTATTCATTTTTTGTTTGTTCACAAACCATATTCAGAATTTAATATGATTCTTAACATAAATTTGATTCTTTTCTTCACATCCCATTTCATCCTTTATTTCATTCTCATCCTTTCCTCTTTCCTCTCCATTTATCTTCCATCATTATCGTCATCTCAAGTCTTGTTCCTATCAAATTTTGTTTACATTTGATAGGATAAACTGAATTGCTTTTGATCCTTATTTTTGCTTTTTTTCTGGTTCCTCAATTAAACTTCAACTTTATCCTTTGCATCAGTTTTTTACTCTCTCTCCATGTTCATGATGAAATCTCTGAATTCCGTGTGAAAAGAAAAGGAAGAGAAGGAAAAAATTGCTTAATTAATCTATCCTAATTGGTAGACCTCCTTGAGAGACTGTTATATAACCAAATGGTTTGCAATTTAATTTCGTGTTCCTTTTTTTCCTCATAATCCGATTTCTGGAATCACTATGATTCTGTGATTTTGGTGATTTAATGAAATTGATATTTACTGTTAACAATTGTTAAACATAGGCAACAGTAAAAGCATAACCATGTGAAGAGAAGACCCAAAAAACCAGAAAAAAACCTAAGTAAATCAGTGAAGCAAATTGTCATTTCTCCATGTAAACCAAGTCCATGTTAATCAACATGGAATGATAAATTTTCATTACTTGTGTTTACCTCTAAACCATTATCATTGTTAATTCAATTGAAGATTATTATTCATTTTCATTCATCATTTCACCTTCTCTGTCATTTACAGTGTGAGACTCAATTTTCATTTCCGTATTCACAAGTAAATTATTAACTCTTCACTTTGCACTTGTAATTTTTCATTTTACACTTGAAATGTTCAATAATTTGCTTCTCTCATTTCAACTCATTCACAATACAAATCTTTCATTCTCGCTCATCCTTTCTGATTATGATAATGAATGGTAGATATTAAAGAAAAGGTCAATTGTGCTGTTTGCTGTTGTTGTTGTTTTTTCATCTCAAATTGAATTCTGTGGTCAGTCATGATTATATTCCTTGAACCTTTCATTATCTTCATTATTATTCCGTTTTCCTCTCGGAATTATCTCCATTGTTGTGACCATCAGTTTTACCTCTTTGAATCCACAACAACAACAGTACAGTGTACGAATGATAAAAAGGATAAAAAAAGAAGAACTAGTTTTTGGTACAAAAGACTGAATAGTAACTCAACACCTTTCAACTCTAATACCTGATTTTGGGTGAAAGGAAGAAATATTCAATTTAGTCGAATTGATCGCCAATGAAGAAATACCTTAACTCGGTGAAAAGGGTGAGATAAAAAATTGAAAGAAAAGCAAGAAATGATGAGCATGCTGAACATGAGGAGTATGATAATGATGATGAGCAACAAAAGAGAGACGATTGTATTGATGTCAAGGCCATTATCACTACAACTTATGCCCTTTATCATGAGATCTGCTTTTCAGTCTTTTCTCATGATTATCATCTTGTTCATCCTTTTCACCCAAAGAAAGAAGAAGAAAAAAAAGGGTGAAAAAAATACAGATTAACAGATGAGAAGATTGAATTGAAGCTTGGAGTGAAACTCGCATGAAACTCGGAGTAAAACTGAAAATGTTGAAACCTTTTCTTCTCCTTCTTCTGCTCCATTCCAATGGAAATGCTAAAGGTTATACCCAGGTCATCTGGTGAATGTAGGTCGCAAATGCTCAGAACATTCATTTCATTTCTTGTTTCTCTTTTTTTTCTCTTCTCACTTTTTCTTCTTTCTTTTCCTCTCTTTCACCTCTTTTTTGCCTCCTTTAATGAAACACTAATTTTCTGGTTAAACTTGAATCTCGATAGGAATTTGTTCTTGTTTCTTTATTCTGAACGTATCTCTTGTTCATCACCAGATCTTGTATTCACCTCTCAACATGCATTTGTGTCTCTCGATGACTTTCATAAATTCACCTCATGATTCCTTACCTTTATCACCATTCTTTATCCATTACTTTTTATTCTTGACTTCATTTTTGACTATTTTTTTCGTTCTCTTCTCATTTCATTGAAAAGATTTTCGAATCAGGGAAAGAGAAGAAGAAGAAAAACAAAACTCATGAGAAACACGAGAAAATAAAATTCACCATTTTCCTCTCATTTTTCGATTCCAACTCAATTTCATGATCATCATTCAAATGGTTTAACAAAAAAATCCTCTCAATAACCATTTCAATTTTTTTTGTTTCATTTCAATTCCACTCAATTCATTGAACAATTTCAATAACTTATCCGATCATCTTAATAATTTTGCTCAAATAATTGTTTTCAAATGTTTCAATTTCATTCATCATTCCATGACAATCAATCTCCTCAACAAATTGTTATCATTTAAATGAATTGCAGCGAGGAAATTCATCAATCTTGAACTCTTTCCATTGACCATTATCTTCATCTTTCATTATATTCCATGTCAGTCCCTGTCCATCCCTGTCAAATCATGCAATTCATTTCATTGTTAATGCTCTTACCTCTCATTCAGTCAATCATAATTTCATGTCCAGAATAAAAAAGAACATTTTGTTGCAAAAAAAGGTTCATTGATAAATATTAATTTTCATGTCAAAGGCACATTGTTTTACTGGCCATTGTTTCAGAATTGATTTCCCATGTTAATGAATCTCACATTTTACCCAAAACTCCATCATTGTCCTGTTCATGAGTTGATAAAAACATGTTATAAATAATAATGATCATGAAAATGCAAGAATAAAAGCAATTCTACAAAAAAAAACCTAATTTATGGACATTGAATAATTTCTGATAATGAGATTAACCTGAAATGAAATCAACTTCAATTGTTTTCATCTTTTGAATAAGAAAATTTGAAGAAGCGGAAAATTGAAATTTCATATGAAACAGCTTACAATTTACTAATAAATATGATAATAATAATGACAATGGTAATGATGATAAAAATGATAATATTGATTAACCCAGGAAAAAGCAACAAAAGTGAAATGGAAAGCATTTGATAACTTTTTTTTCTTGCTTTTCATTTTCAATTTCATTTATTATTACAATAAATCAACAATATCAACAGTAATGATGAAAATGATTGTTTGGTTAAAAAAAACAAAATTTCAATTGTACTTCATCAAAGGCAATGATAACAAACTTCAATATTACAATAATACAAATGATACTAATATAAACTTTTTTGTCTCTTTTTTGCCTCTCTTCATTCCTCTCTTCTCCCATGTAACCATGGATTCATTCATCTTGAAATTGGTGGATCATGATGAACAATCTGGATCATGATGATGTTTCTCATAGGATGTGATTTATGCCATCCGTGATACAGCTTTCGTTACATCAGAATATCCTATTATACTTTCCTTTGAGAATCATTGTTCGTAAGTTTATTTTCAATTTTAACGCTTCTTCTTCGCTTTTCAACTTGACTTTGGATAATTAATTTCCATGAAAATCAAATTATCCAATGAATTTTTCAACAAATTTTTATCTTCTTTTTTCGTACCAAACTAAACTTTCTCAAAACTCATTTCATTGACCAAAAAGTTAATGTTTCTTTATCGTAAAAAAATAAACCTTCTGTTGACCCAATTTTCAATTCTGCAGATTATTCACTATAAATGTTCGAAAATTGAGTTTTCCATTTTTTGGTGCCTCATGAATTTCAGGGAAACTCTTTTTCATCAAAATCATAAGCGATATTCCAAGCAGTTTATAGTCAGATCAATGATCATTTGAGTCAGCTGAAATATTCTCAGTCAATAATTTGAGTTATCAAAATTTCTCAGTTGAATCAAACTGACTCTTAATGAAAATCTGATGAACCTGAATCTTGCGATATTGACAATGAAATAGAATTCGGCAGAATTTTCGAATTTCTTTATCGGTTCTTTTGATGCATTTTCTGATTTGCTAATCGATGTGAACTACCAAAATGTATCTATTCCTTTCTGATTATTTTGACTGACTTTTTGAATCTGAAAATTCTTTACATCAACATTAGATGAAAATTTTGATTTCCTTGAAATTCTTTTTCATGGAACTTTTGCATTTTTTCCTGTTTTCACCCTTCAATTGCAATTGATTAGTTTTACAATGTTGATTTGGGTGAAATTAGTTTGTCGAAGGTTCTGTTGACAGTATTGATGAAATTGTTTCTTACCGTCCAATGTTTGCTTAACTCAACAAGATTATTCTTGTGCTTACCTGAGTAAATGATTAATGTTTCAGCTTGTTATTAATATTTGACCCTTTGATCTTATCTTATTGACATTTGCTATCTAATCATATTTACCGCCAATCATATTGAATTAATTGGTGCAATTTTGTGAAGCAAAAGGAGAAAACATTAATCAGTTCAGCAGCTTTTTTCCTTCAATTGAAATTAAACGTTAATTGTATCTTGTTGCAAGATTAATTACATTGATTAACCTTAAGAGGTAAAATTAAAAGTATAAATTTCAATCAATCCATTGACAAACTCGTGAACATTCAATGGATTGGAAAACTCATTTTCTTTCAGGTAAAAAAGATGTTCGAATCAACAAATGATGAAACATTAAAATCATGAGCAATTTGTGACAATTGAGATTTGCAGTTGATTCACTTTTTATTTCAATCTCTTGATTAACTTGCAATTGAAAATGAGGTAAAAAAACAATGAACAAATGATGAATAAAATTTCATTATCCAGTCATGAAGGAAAGCAAAAAGCTGAATACATTTGACATTTTTGTTTCACTTGAATGCAGTCTGTTCAAGTTGCCTTTTTTCAAAGTTTCATATTTTTCCACTTCTCATCTTATGCACAATTTATTCAAACTCACTCCATGTCTTCACTCCCAGTTTAAGTTTGATTGTTAAACAATCAAACAGTAAAGTTGACGATACACAAAAAAAAGAGTCTTGAAAATGTAAACTTTTTTTCTCGTTGAAACTTGAATTTAAACTCAAATTCCTTTTTGTCACTTTTTGCAAACTTTAGGTTACTGTTAGTTTATCATGAACCATGTTTTTGTCGGTTTTCCTTGATCTTCATCCTTTTCCTCATTTCACCTTTTCTTGTTTTCCACTTTTCTCTACAAAATCTGGTTTTCTGTTGTTTCTACTTTTTTGCTGTTTTCTTGTTCCCATAAACCATTATCATTATTGAACACCATTGAAGGTTAACTTGTATTTATAAATATAAATATATCCTCATAATATGTATATATTTATATATTTACCGAGTTTTTATCAGACTTCGATTTTCGATTTATCGACTCGTCTTTCTTTTCCTCTTTTATCCAAAGATATTGTTCATATTAGACTTTCCTTGTAACTGTTAAAGGGTTGTAATTCAATAATAACGAGGTTTGTCATATTAGCAGAATGGGCACAATTTAGTCTCTTTCACTTGAATTGTTCAGCTTGAATACATTTGATCATCTAAATTATATGTTGCACTGAACATTGAAATCGTATTGAAACGTAACTGCATTCGGCTTTACTCAAGTTCATGTCTTTACCTTTTTAATATTTACTCTTAACCTTTTCCTTTTCACAGAAAAAAGCAACAATATAAGTTAGCCAAGTACTGTGATGAAATCTTAGGCGATCTCCTGCTTAAAGAACATTTAGTTACACATCCGGTAAGAATTTGTTACAATTTCCGATTCATTTTTCAGGTCAATCATGGTGATAATGATGACTTTTTAACATTTTTTTTCTCTCCATTCTTTTTGCTAATAACATGAAAATTTAAATGGCAATGCACAGCTTGATCCAAATGTACCTTTGCCAAGTCCAAATGATCTCAAGAGGAAAATTTTGATAAAAAACAAACGACTCAAACCTGAAATGGAGAAAAGTGAGTTTTCGATTGACTTTTCATTGCAATGCTCATGTCCATCATAGAACCCTTTGAACCACTTTCGATGGTTGACATTATCGTCCTCCCCATCCTTTCCTCTTCATTAACCTTAATTGATCCAATCTTTACCTTTGCTAATATTTTTCTCATCTTTAACTTTCTTTCCTTCTGACTTTTATCTCGATTCTTCTGTTTTCCAGTTGAACTTGAGTTGTGGAAGAAGGGTCAACTCCAGGCGGACGATGATGATGAACAAGAAGATCCAAATGCAGTTCCAAGTGAAGTGGATTTAGGTGAGTTTGCTGGAGTAAAATTGCAACACAAAACAAGAAATGATACAAAAGTTGAACATTAACAATTGCTCTTGAAAGTTTTAATAGAAAACATTTTTGACATTTTAAATTCATTTTCATTTCTTCATCAACTCTTTCGCTTCACTTGAATTTTTGTCATTTTATCTTGTTGCTGTTGTTATCAGGTTGGAAATTTTTGATTTATAGTTGCGTTAAATTGACCGTTAAGCAACTCTTTCAACACTGAATGACCTTCTCTGTGGTAAAAATGTTTTTCCTTTTTTTCTTTGACTTTTCTTCTTTTCTTTTCTTTTCCTTCTTTTCCTTCTTCTTCATCTTCTTCTTCATCTTCTTGTTTCTTTTCACTTCATCCTTTCCATTCTCGTGTTCACCTTTTCATATTGAATAAGTGTCACCCAAAAGATGAAATGGATGAGTAAAATGATGCTGATCGTGAAATGAAGACCAAAAACTGTAGTAAAGATAATCTTTTGGTGAACAACAAGAGAAGCAAAAGAAAGCATGAAGATTGTAAAGGTTAAAAGTATACACTTTAGTAGCTTTGGCAAATGGAATGCTCAGTTGAACAAAATAATCTGTTAACATTATAATATCAGAACTTTTCCATTCACCTATTTACCGTCTTTTTTATACTCCCTGTCTTTTCGGTTCCTGTTTATTTGTCATGTTTTTTGATGGACTTTGTCATTTTCACTTTTCCTTTACTATTATTATGTCTAACTGATCATTATCTCAATCATCATAATCCACATTATCATTGTGATCATTTATTATTTTTTCAACCTTCTTTTTCCTCCCTATTATTAGCATTACCTTTAATATTATATTTTGTCAGCGACTCATTGTTGGACAATTTTATCACATCAAGCCTAACCTTTAACTGTCTTTTAGTTTAATTGCCTAAAATTGATTCACAGTAAATTCAGCATTCCATCAGAAGTGAAGAAAATTTGAATTCAGTAAACTCTGATTTTCTCTTATTTCAACTGTTTCTGGACCTCATTGTTTTCCTGCAAAATTAAGATTCCTTCAAAATGAACTGTACTTTTTTAATTTTGCTCGAATCTCTTTTTGTCCTCAATTGAATGAAATTTTTCTTTTCCTCTTCATTTTAATATCTTTCAATGGATTTCCTTAGTTAGACTCGTTTGATAAACTTTTTGAAACATTACATTTTATCAATATTTTTACTTTCATGATATTTGAAAAGAAATCTATAAAAATGTTTTTCCTCTAAAAATAACAATGTTTTCATTTTAAAAAACACTTCAAGCTCAACATTACTCATGAAATGTACAAGTTTTCCAATGCCTTGAGCTTTTTCAAACTTGTATAAATTATTGTATTTTCAGGCGCAAACAAGTTTAAAGGTGATATTTGGAAACATTAAAATTGAAAAATTTCTTGTAATTACATCAAAATGTAGTTTCTCTCATCAAATTTATCACGTTAAATGATCTTGAGTAGACTTGCGATTTAAGTTTAAAATCTTTATCAAGATTTGATTCCAAGAAAAGTTCCAAACTCAAGTAAATCAGAGACATTTTCAAATTTCACTTGAAATCAATTTTTGATCAAAAGTTAACATTCTCATCACAAAATCAGTAATGGAAATCAAATGAAAGTACAAAAATTGGGTTTACTTTTTTTCCAAATTCAAGTTTCTCTTTACAATCCTAAAATGTAGCAACACTTATAGCATCACTTTGTCAGGCTATTATGCAGATTCACATGAAAAAACTCAGTCTTGCATCTTGAATGATAAAAGATTGAAAAAATCAAACTCACAAAACTGGACCAACATTTTGAATAGGTTTTGTGTTGAGTAAATATTTGGAGGAAAAAAAAGTTTACAACAAATTCTGTGTGTTGACCATTAAAGACAAATTAATCGAAGTTATCATGAGATGAAAACTGATGCTTTGCTGAAAATTGGTGGAAACAAAAGTAAACTCGAATCTTGATCAATATTATTTCGTTTATCGTAATAATTGTTGATATTTGATTGTCTATTGCTGTTTCTCTTGAACTTTTTGCTTCCTTTTTTTTATCTTTCCTTTCTTTCCTTTCATTTCCACCATCATCTGTATCATGGTAATTCAATATGAAATTTGAGTCGATAGTCTTCGCTTATTGAACCATATTCAATTTCAATGAGCGAGTTTGCAGTTTGTGTTAACTTTCGTTGCCTTTTATTTTGCCAGTTACAAGGATAACTCTAAGGGAAATGTTTACTTTCAATCTCAACATATTCTGGTTTCAACCTAAAAATAAAGTTTACTCAGTTACTTGAGTCTTTCTTTGCACTAGATTCATCTTCCCTTCATCTTCACAACTTTCTTGTATCGTCTCGATTGTTGCTCTGTTGCGTGTATAAAAAAAAGAAACTGTTCAAACTGAACGATGATAATCATTGTGATAAATTTTTATCTGCAAAACACCATTAAGACTTAACCATCTCTTTGACTCAAGCAAGCACAAAATACAAAAAAAAAGAGAAACAAGAGAGAAATGAAATCTCGGAATAAAAGTAAACCTCTATTTGATATCTATTTAACTCCCTTTGCTTGTCTTCTATCGCTTCAATTTCCAACTCCAAGGGAACCAAAATTTATTTAGATTTGAGCTTTACTTTATCCTTATTTTTTTCACTTTTTTTTTCTCTTCTCAATCCATTCTGATTCTGATCTTTTCCTTTTTCAACTCACAAATTTATTTCTCAACACTTTTACTTTACCAGGCAAACTAAACCAACCTACTTATCACTCCAATTGAAATAATGATAAAACCTTCAATAAGGTTACAATTTATCAATAAAGAAAGAGATAGAAAACAAAACTCGTAAAAAAAAGTCTTACAAGTGAACCTTTTATTTTCGTCGTCTTCTTCTTCTTCTGTCTTAAATCTTGAAACAATTACATTTAAAAGGTAAAATGATTCTAGTCCATCTACTGAAGCATTGGTAGAACTGACAAAAAGCCAAAAAACTATCAACTTGAACTTAATGTGCTTCTATCTCTCAATATCAACTTTGGTTAACTCCTAGTTCAACTCCCAGTTGAACTCCCAGTTGCTTGTTTCTTGATGAAGTGAAAACTTGAAAATTGCACTTTAATGTATACTTTCAATTTGAATATGCAACTGTTTACCTTTCATCATGATTACAAAGTCGAACTTGAGAATTGGAAAATTCTGAGAAAAAGATGGACAATTTGTTCGTTACTATCGAGTTTCACTTTACAATTGCAACAAATAATTAATGTTTCATTTTCAATCACTTCAACTTCAATTACTGGTAAAAAGTTTCATCATTAATAGCTTCTAATCGTGAGCTATCAATATCATGATTGAATGTTTACATGACACCAATTTGACCATTAAAGATTAAAATGAAATAATGGACAATCTGGGAAATAATTTTTTTCTTCTTCTTCTTCTTTTCATTTTCCAATTGAAATACCTTAGGTGAAGTTTGGAGATGAAAGAAGAGGAAAAAAAATATTTCTGATTCTTCACCCTTTAAACTTTCTATTTTATTTGCCAATTTTCATTCACCATTGTTAATAGTATTAAACCGTAAATCATCTTCCTTTCAAGTCGCCATCATTTCAATTATTATATATCATCTTTTGCTGTTATTATTGTTGTTTTTGTTTTGTCCATTCAATTGTTGTTAACTCAATTCCATCCCATGAAGATGACCAAGACGAAAAGATGATAGAAATGATGAGAAGAAAAGCTAAAGCAAAACTTTTTCATTTTGACCTGTCAACCTGTTAATGTTATACTTTACTAAGACAGTCAAGTTTAGACTTTTTTTTCCTTTTCTGTTCCCTTGATTCAACTCGTCAAAACTGTCAAACCAATCAGACAATCAAAGGCACAAAAAACTGCAATCCAAAACCCTTTAGGCTTGAGTTTGAGAAGAAGAAAAAAGTTAATGATAATCTGGAGAAAAAATTATTGAATCTTTTCAATTTTCGAGACTTACACTTGCCATGAAACAGCTAAATCAATGATCGATACTCAGACTTGACCCATCATCATTTAACCTTTTCACACTTCGACTACATTGAAGTTGATCATAAAAACTTGTATTAACTCCATTTCATGTAATCTTGAAATGCAATCTAATGATGATTTTCGTGGTCACTCTTGGAGTATTTTTTCAAAGAAAACTTCAAATTTCAAACTTTATAATTTTCAGAATTAATTCAATTGCAGAGGAAAAATTTCTCCAAGATTAGTTTCAAAATCTTTGGATTTTCTTCATAAAAGAAACATGAATTTTCGGGAAATAAATTTCAATCTGAATAATTAAAGCTTGAAAATGTTGGAACATTTTAAAGATTCATTTTTTTAGGAAACTTTTTCTTCTCATTTTTTGATTAATTTTGAGTGCAATCAATTTGAATGTTTTGATTGTCGATGAAACGTTAGTTTATTGGAAAAGTAAAGTTATCAAAGTTTACAGATAAAATGAAAATGAGCTCAATTTGGCTTAAATCTTCTAATGGAGTTAATCTTTTCGTTGATTTTTCCAACTGATTAACAATCAACATTAACCAGTTTAAACCATGCTAACCACATTAATCTGATGCATTTATCTGCTTCATGTCAACTTTGCTTTATCAAGTCAACTTTCGATTCATTTTGCTTCTTTGTTTTTCCTATCAAAACTAATCACAATAATAATTTTATTCAATCATTTTGACTTGTTTCGCCTTCTTTCTCTTCTTTCCTCTTCTGAATCGACTAAGAATTTTGTCTTTCCTTCCAATAATTGCAACTGACTTTTACTTTTTGCAAAGCTCACATTATTGCCATTCAATTGTAATGATAATTTTTTGTTCCAACTCAACCAAATATCGTTATTAGTTGTAAGCTGATTATTCATCTCTAGCTTTTTTTTAGTTTTTCCTTCCCTGTAACAAATGTTCATTAATATCAAGATATTGACTTTATTCAATCAATAAATACATTTATATGAATGTACAAAGAAAGTGTATCAACTATCGATTTTGTGTGTTTCCAAATTGCTCTCAAAATTTCACTCTTTCCATGCTTTACTTTACCTGATGAACAATTTAAATTTTTAATCAATTCGTAATTATTTGATAAACTCAACTGCGATCAAGTCCAATGGTTGAAATTTGCAAATTTACTTCTCTTCATTTTAATGAAATGAAAACCTTTTTGTTTCGTTTCATCTTCACTCTTTATTCATGAATGTTCATTTTTCATTTATGAATAACTTCAAGTTCTTCCTGTATGATTCCAATAAAATTATGAGAGAAAATTTTTCTCTTTGATTGTTCTCAATCTTTTGTATAATCAACTTGTAAAAGTCTGTCATCTTTCAAGTCAATTACTTTCTAATGAAAGTTGAAACATTTTTTTGAGTTTCAATTTTCTGTCAACTTTGTAGCTAAAAATGTGTTAAGAGTTGAAACATTTCTTGTTTTGTGGAGCAAATTGAATCGATTTTTCTTGTTAACTGTATCACTAATTAACTTTATTAATTGAATTGATTTAGATAAAAAAGAAGTGCCTCCAGAGCAGTTAGCTCTACAAAATTATCAATACACTGGAGCAACAGTCCATGTCCATCCATATTTATCATCATTAGTTAACTACACTCAGCCCATTAAATTTCAAGGTTTTGAAACTGCCGATGAAACCAACATTCATTTTCACATGTCTTCTTTTGCGGAAACGGCCGCCTTGGGTTACCTTAAATCACAGGCCATTGAATTTGTCAACTACAATAAACGTCAACTCAGTCGAATCTATCCAAAAGGAACTCGAGCCGATTCATCCAATTATTTGCCTCAAATCTTTTGGAATGCCGGCTGTCAAATGGTTGCCCTTAACTTTCAAACTCCCGATCTTCCAATGCAACTGAATCAGGGTAAATTTGAATACAATGGTGGCTGTGGTTACCTTTTGAAACCCGACTTTATGAGGCGTAAAGATCGAACCTTTGACCCGTTTGCGGAATCACCAGTTGACGGAGTAATTGCAGCCCAATGTTCCGTTCGAGTCATTTCGGGACAATTTTTGTCTGATAAAAAGGTTGGAACCTATGTTGAGGTGGACATGTACGGTTTACCTACCGATACCATTCGTAAAGAGTTCCGAACTCGAATGGTTCCCAATAATGGTCTTAACCCGGTTTACAATGAAGAACCTTTTGTATTCCGTAAAGTGGTTCTACCTGATCTAGCTGTGATACGGATTGGTGTTTACGATGAAAATGGTAAAATGTTGGGTCAACGGATTTTACCCATGGATGGGTTACAGGCCGGCTATCGGCACATTTCCCTTCGAACCGAAGGTAACTTTCCCATGTCCCTGCCCATGTTGTTCATCTGTATCGAGCTTAAAATTTACGTTCCCGATGGACTGGGTGACTTGATGGATGCTCTGTCTGATCCAAGGGCCTTCCTGTCTGCTCAAGAAAAACGAATGGCTCAGATGAAGGCCATGGGAATTGAAGAGACGGATATACAGACTACCCAGGCAGTAACCGTGATGGACAAAAAGAGAGAGGAAAAGGAAAAGGCCGAGGAAACTCAGATGAAACCCATTTCATTGGAAAATTTAAGGAATGATAAAATTTATTTAAAGTTGATTAAAAAGCAAGACAAGGTTATTGAAGGTTTACGTAAGAAGCATCACAAGGAGAAACAGGGAATCCAGAAGACTCAGTGTTCAGCCGTTGACAAGATAGTCAAGCAAAATGGTAAAAATACCAATGATTTGGCCAATGATCCGGCCATTAAAGACATGGTTGTCGACCAGATGAAACAATGGTCAGAAATGATGGACAGACATCGAAAAGAGGAATTGGAATTGATGAAGGAAAATCGAAAGCAATTGGGTGATTGTTTGGAGAAATTGTTGATTACAGCTCAAACTAATCAAATGAAACAACTTGAAGGTGAGACAATTTAATTCTCTTTACTCACTTTTCGTCAAAGTCTTTGATTGTTTCAACAGCTAATGTATATTATGATTTATGGGTGCAACTGAAAATGATTATCAAAGTTGCTATTTCATGTTATCTTTGTGATCAACTTTAAAGCTGCTCTTTCAATTTTTCATCTCTTGTAAGCTGAAAAGGTGTAACAGTTGCAATAATTAGGGCCTAAATTGAGTGAACCCTTAATTTGTTGAGCACAGGCTAATGATGATAACAATTAAGAAATACATAATCATAATCCATTTCTTAATTGAAGTTGTATGAAAAGGATGAACCAACGATGATGGTGATGAAGAAAATATAATTAGTAATTAGATGCTTTCCTTTGAAACTCCCATGATAGATGAATATATTAAACTATTATTGAGAGAGAAAATTATTATCATTAAGCTTTCCTTCTCGTTTACCTACTTAAGCAATCAATTCAACTTAATTAAACAATCATTTCTCATGATATCAATACAACCAATAATTGTACCTAATAAACTTGAATATTAAGCTTCACCTAATTCAGTTTACATTAATCTAATCAAGTGAATGCTTATTCAACTCACTTTGCTTTTAATTATGAAATATTTATCTCAATCTTTCCCTGTTCAAACCTTGGCCAAGTTAATTTGATTAATTGAATCCACAAAACCATAAATCGATCACTTTTTTTCAGGGCAAAAAAAGAAACAATTAAAACCATTTTCCAACATTTATCATTTCAATATTTTACATTTTACCTCAAAATTTTCATACAATTTTTACCTTTTCTTAACTTTTTTTGTGATAACTCTAATGATAAGTTTGCTGATGATAACAATTTTGATAACTTTTGTTTTTTGTGTTCAACTCATCTCACCGTTTTCCTGGCTCATTTATTATTTATGCTTTGAGCTTTTGGTGTTTTCAATCAACTAAACTTGAACTATTTGTTAGCAAACAAGAAATATCAAGAAAATGTTTCTCTCAATTTTACTTGAAATCCTTTTCTTTATTCAATTGTAATTTTTGCTCTCTTCAACTATCTATTTTATTCACCATTTCATCTTCTCTCCTCTTTTTTTCCTCTTCATCATCATTTCAGCTCAATTTTTATACTCTTTTTGTTTTCCACTTTGTTTCAAACTCACTTCTTGAATCTCTATTTATACAGCCATTGGTATAACAACCAGGTCAAAATTGATAAGCTTGAGAAACGAACAAGAAGAAAAAACTATTTCAAGAAAAATATTCAGCTCATTTTATAATAGGCCTTAGTACGTTGTTAATGAACCTTCGCCAGGGAATTGACTCTACATTCAGTTTCACCTTGCATCTTCAGTTTCATTGTTATTTATTTATATAAAAAACAACAAAGTAATTTATTTTTTCTACATTTATTATCTTATTTTACCTTTTTTGCCTTCTTTTTCATATCAAATTTTTTCCTCTTTCATTAAATTACAATTACTAGAGGATGCTGCGATCATGACTGATCGCAAATTTCTTTCCACTGAGTACGATAAATCCACATTGAAAATACTTAAAATGAGAATCGTCGATGAGAAAAAATAAAAAAGGAATAAAATCTGGTTCTGCACAAAAGGCAATCAAAGTTTGAACTTTGAAAGTTCATCATTTCCTTAAAAGTCCATCAGGTCGCAACTCTTACCTTGAAAGCTAGAATTTTGCACTCACTAATCGTCCACAATTCAGTCTTCAAACAAAATAATTTTTACCCTTTCACAATGCTTTAGAATACAATTTTTTTGCCAACATTATGTTGGAACTTGATTTTCCCAGAAATCTGAGTTCCTAGAAAACTCAAAGCTCAAGCTCCTTTTTCGCTTTAGTCAAATGCTGCACATCAGTTGATCGTAAAATTTATTTTAGAACCCTTTCCGTTTAGTAACCATTTTGATGCAAAAATCTGTTGCTGCTGCGATCATGACTGATCGCCATCGTCAGCATAAGAAATCCAAAAGTTGAAATCCCTAGCTTTTGCCTCTTTGATAATATTCATTTCAAAAAGCCCTTCTTTGCTCATGGTAAAAATTTCTGTTCGAGTTGAGACTTGATACTTTGTCGGTTGTAGGGGCGCAAATTGATTCCATTTGTTGAGTTAAAAAATTTCTTTGATGATCAATCATTGAAAAAATTGGTTCAAAGTGGAGACTTCGATATCCTTTTGTACAGTGGAGGGACCAGATTTTTAACCGACTTTTTACTCTTTACTCGAAAGATAGTTTTAAATATACTCCTAACAACCTTAATCCAACAACCATCAACCTGAATAAGCAAAAAAGTATTTCTCCCAAACTCAATAATATAAATACGGATTCTGCATTCATTCCACCACCCTGTCCATACATGAATTTCTCAGTGACCTAAATTCTGATTCACCTCCGACTATTTTCGGACATGTAGTTCAATCTTGGCTTTCAAGCTGTGCAAAAATTTCCCTAGAATCCTTTTAGTTACCCTTAAATTTGATACATTCCCTTTGTATATTGTATGCATGGATTATACTCCATTGGATGTCATTATTTACAATCTGTATTTTGATTAAAATTTTTTCTTCTTTTTCAGTAAAATTTGAACGTGAAAATAAAGAAATGAAGGCTCGTCAAGCCAAAGTTTCAGTGGAAACGGCCAAAGAAGTCGCCCAAGACCGAACCTTGCGAAACAAAGCTGAACGAGAACGACGTTTACGGGAAAAAAATTCAAACAATACCAAGAAGTTCATTGATGAACGTAAAAATGCTGCCATGAGGCAGAATAAAGAGAAAGAAAAGCTGAAGAAGTTGCATGAAAAACAATTGCAAGACTTAACCAAGGAAATGGAAAATGTAAGTTTCGATTTTATTGTTTAAAGATTCAATTCATTTAAACTGTACCAATGTCAATATTTTCAGTCTTTCATTTTCTTCTGAACATTTCTCGCTCCAAACAGGGAATCGTGAAAGGATAAGATTTTTTTTTCTCGTAATTTTCTTCATTGGTTTAGTTTAATGAGTTTTTACAGTTTCTGCCTTTGAATAAATCAAGATTCAACACTTTTACGGATTTTCTTGGGAATTGAATTGTAACTTGGTTTTTATCATGATATTTGAATTTTAAAGGTTTTACATTCTGATTTTTTTTCCAATGAATTTCAAATTTGCATAGAAATTAATTCCAATGAAATGTTGCATTTAAATAATACCATTGCCATTACAATTTGATTCACTTACATTTTCAATTTGATTTACCTCAAGATTACAAATTTGTGGTGTAAATTGAAATTTTCATGCTCATTCAAGAGTTTATCTTATCAATTTTGAAAACACAATTCATTTTTTTTACACTTTTGCTTTTCTTATTTTTGTCATTTCACTTTGAAAACCTTCAAGTTTTTTTATTCACATCTGAATGCAAAATTGGATCAAAAAGGAAGAGCCAAAAGTTGCTTCTGCAGATTCAATTGAACATTGAAATAATTGTTGACAATTTATCACTTGAATCATCTCTTGTTTATCAACCATCTTTGTTTTTTTCCCTGACAATTGCAGAAAATATTGTTAACCAAAAAAAGGTTTATCCAGGAATCGTTGAGCTTTATGAGATTCTTTACGTTTTTTGCCTTCTTTTGCATTTCATCAAATTGTTATTCCACTGATTTATCTGTTTAATCTTGTGTTTATTTACTTTGGATGTTATAGTTTATGTGCTGAGAAATGGGAACATGAAAAACATAATGTTTCAAATGATCATGTTGTAATCATGTAATGATAATAAGAGCAAGAAATAATGTTGGGTTAAGAGAAAGAAATGAGTTTTAAGATGAAGTTGAAGAGGGAAGAGGGAAGAGTGGAGGAAGAAGAAGAAGAGACAAAAAAAGATGAGAAAAAGAGAGTTGAAAGAAAAGGTGAAAAAAAGGAAAAGCAAGTCTTAGCACGTTGCCATGGTAACCATTGGGTGGTAAGAACTGAAATTGACTTTGAAGTATTCAGTATTAGCTGTACGTGAGCGGAAATGGTTATTGATCGTGACCATGGTTGAATGCCTTAAGGTTTTTAGACATTGGATTGATGATGAAAATGACGATGAAACTGGGATGATGATGTTGAGGGAGGATCAGAGGAGTGCAAAGTGATGAGACTGATGAGAGAAAAGGTTGCGTATAATTTAAAGACTATTGATGATACAGGAAATGTTATTCCGGAAGAAACTGAGGAAAGAGTTAACATTATTCTGTTTAGTCAATTAACGTTGAAATACATTTTTTTGGCCTCGTATTTTGTGTCCCTTTTTTGCATTATTATTATATCTCTCTCTCTCTCTCTCTCTCTGTGCCTCATGTTTATACATTATGAAAGTATTCACATTTGGACAAATTATTAAACCTGATATCGTGATTATTTTGTCTCAAATTTATCATTCCATGTTTTTCCGTGTTTCCAAATGTTCATTAGATAATCAATAATTTCCATGTCTCACCATTTCCATTGATTATTCAGTCTTTTTTTGCCTCCAATTGTTTCTTCTTATTCTGCTTCTAATGCATCAGTTTGCATGGTGCTTTCAATCCTTTTTTTTTGTTGATTTGTTGTCGCATTTCTAGTGTTGTTTAAGAATGTCAAACTGATAGCTTTCAAACTCAATTTGGTTCCACTAATAATGAAAGTAGAAAGTTGATTCTCAGTAATTATGAAAATAGTGTTCAAGTCTTGAGTCTCTTTGGGTAACTTGTTCAGTTTACATCAGATGCTTGACAAGCCTTTGCACCTTTTGGGCAATTAGTTTTCAGATTATTTTCAAATCGATTCAAATTGGTCCAGTTTGATGGGCGATAATTTTCATCGGCCGATTGCCTTTAGGAAATTATAAACCATTTCTTTACAGTTTCATCCACTCATTGACAAACTTACAGATTAATTCATTTCTAGATTCAAGGAAAAATCGCAACTTTTAACTCTAACTCATGATGTAACTTTAATCTAAGCTATTTGAAGTTAGAATGAATTAGATACAATTTCGCTCTAAAAATTCTGTTTATTTCTTTTAAATGTTGGCTCAGTTTTTAAAGATAAAATCTGCTTAACTTGACAGGTTCAAACTAAAGCTTGACTATTTTACGTAAGAGTTGGAATCTATTAGATAACATAAGATTTGCCTTTAATAAACATTCAATTTGAAATGTTAGTTCAATTTTGCTTTTTTTCTGAAATTAAAGTTTAGCTGAAAATATTGACTCAGATTTCTTGAATATTCAACCAATTCTGTTGCTAAACAAGTAATAAAGTGAAAAGTGATTAAATTATTTCAACTTCAACTGTGACAATAGTTTGGTGTGTTGATTGGCCTAAAGATATCACTTTAAAGGCTAGAGATGGTATTTGATTGTGATGAGATTTGCAACATTTTGAATCGTTTGAGACGGAAATTTATTGTTACTCTTTATGATGTTTTATAGAGAAAAGAAGAAAAAAAAGTGAAAAGATTTGATTTACTATTCTGAAGACATATAAATGTGAGAAATGCTATTCATGATAATGATTAGCATGATGATCATGATGATCATATATTATTCCTCTCTTTGACCTGTCATTGTCTATCAACATCTTTTAAACAGATCAACAACCAAAGCACACTTTGAAAAGGGAAGAAGAAAAGGTTTCACTGACAAGACAAAATGTTTCATATTTTGATCCTCTTTTTTTACCATCATCCTGATCAGATTAAGGTACCAACTGTCGGGTGTGGTTTTACTGATTAAATTGTTGCCATTATCATGTCAAAATTGTGACAATCTTTTTACCCAATCTTCTTGTTTCATTAGCATCCATTGTGTGTCTTCAAAACAGAGATTGACCTGAATCATCTTCACTCTTCTCTTCACTTTTTGTCTTCTCTCTTCATCCACTATTAACCTTTTCAATCAATCAATTTTTACTTCAAATTTTATCCTTTATCATTTTTCTTCTTCTTATTCATCTTCTTCATCATCTGTATCCTTTCACTTCACACAACCATATTTACATTGTAATCATGATAATAATTCACATTCTTTCATTTCTTTTTCATATATCAACAGGAACTTGAAATGTATGATAATGTGGAAGCTGAATCAAAATTGGCTGCAAAAATGGAATGTTTCATATGATTAAAGGTTATCATCACCATCAAGACTTGGAATCTCTCCATCATCACAATCATCACAATCATCAGCTTTTTAATTTTACTTTTTTCTCTCAAAACAACTTCTAATGTAAAATGAGCAAAAAAATTCAGTTGTTGTTGCTTTGAGCCAATTCAATATTGCAAACCTTTCATGTGTAACAATCAACAGATTACATTTAAATTTTCCAAGCGCAATTTAACCACGTTTCTTGAACAATGTTAATTGTCATGTAAACATGGTTAAAAGGGTCGAACACAGAAAGTGGAAAAAAATGATTTCACTTAATGAGCATTTGATGCATCCAAAGTGATATAAAATTGAGTTACAAGAAACAAAAGGCAAACAGTGAAATGAAATTTTCCATCATGAAATTGATTCATTAATTGAAATTTTCGTCAAAAATGTTGCCATGAATAAGAAAATGTTTATTGTGAAAACACAAAAATGTTAACTCACGGTTTGGATATTGAATTGTGCTTCAGGGTAAACTTGAAACATTTCAACCTGAACAAGCAAAACTGTTTTTTTTGTTCATTGTAAAACTAAAATCAACATTTGTTTATTTAGATGAGTTTATTTATCGTCATCATGATCATCATCAACTGATAATTGCCAAAATTTAGGGACAAATGATTCTTTTTGCTAATTGTAATCACAGTTTGCCATTACTTGATATTTATGATCAAAAACCCATGAATTATGATAAATGACATTATTAATTATATGATGCTAATGATGATGATAATTGAAGTTAAGGAATGAGATAAAGAAAAGACAAAATTGTTATCAAAATGTTTATTTTCTTACCAAAGAATCAAAATTTAATTTATATTCAATGTTCACTTTGATTTAGAGGCAATGTGATTAATGTGCATTAATTGAATCAATTAATTGGCATAAATTTATCAACTTAATGGTGTTTAAATTGTTGGCGAAAAGCAAAGACCAATTTGATTGTAAAGTGAATCCAATTACAACGACTTTTTCTTGTTTCCATTGTTAACCAGTGATGATGATTATGATGACTTTCATCGGCCCATTTTGTTAATGTTGGCAAATGCCTTAAGCTTTTTGTGTTTTTTTTTCATGTTCAATGTTTGCTTCTGTTTAAAGCTTTTAATTTTCACAATTTAATCTAATTAGCTTCAGGGAACTCAATTGTTGTCAACAAATCAACTCAAGTTGATGAAAGTAAACAATGAAAATGATCAATTTTTCATCTTTTTTTCACCGTCTTTTTGTTTTGTTTTTCAATGTAATCCTTTTTTTATTGCTGTAAAACTGATCAACTCTGGTTTACGGTAATCATGTTTTAATGTTTATCAAATTGTTAACTTACCTTTATTTATTGTCATTATTAATATTTTGCTCATCATTTTGGCAAATTTTTTTGTTACCTCAAAATGATCTCAATTTTACATTTCATCATTTATATCATTGATGATCAATTTTGTTTCCCAAAAATGCTTTATTTTTCATTTGTTGAAAGCGAATCCTGTAAATATTGAAATTTGTTTTTCCTCCTTCCATTCAATGATGATTTCAATGTTAATGATGATATTGATTACGATATTGTGATGATAGCGGTGATGAATCAAAAGAATCAAGTTTTGGATAAATGATAAACCTTTAACTCCCAGCAAGGAAACCAAAAAAAAGTCCAAAAATTGAACCTTTTAAATCATGTAAATCATTTTACTTTGTAATTATATTAATACATATATTTAAGCACTTAGCACTTTGAAACAAGCAAAGGACCGCAAATTAATTGAAAAAAAAACAAACCAAAACCAAATCACAATCAGGCAATTTTGTTACCTTCACATTAAAATATAATGAAAAACGCAAAAACAAAAGCTTTTTTTGTCCAATTTTTTTCATTCTAAACAAAAATTCATCAAATTTTTTCAGATTATCTCAAGGAAATTTCATGAAATTCAACTTTTCCTTTGAACAGACAATCAATAGTTTCTTGCTCTTAAAGAGCCTCAAAAAAAAGGTTGAAAGTCAGGCCTTTGAACGTTTGATTATTTCACCTTTAGGCTGATATCGTTTGAAATTGCAATTAATAACAAAGCCAATTGGCAACTTTGCCATTTTACAATGGAAATGAAGTTAAATGGTTAAACCTAATGAACATTAGTTAACAATTATTTGAAAATATTAAATTTGTCAAGTTAATTACTATGTTTAAATTGTATCGCCTTGGGTTGTTTCATGTAAACATGTTAGCTTTAGTTTTACCTTCACTTTTTATCTTATCAATTGAATAACAGCCGTTCAATCCTTTGAAATAAACATTTCTCAGTGGAAAAACATTATCTCCAAGTCCTGTTGTTGTTGCCGACTGTTTAATGGCCTTCTCTGAGTTAAACTAATAACCAATCGTTTGCCTTGGAAGTTTAATTCATGATTACATAAGAGACAATCAACGATATAAATGAACTTCATCTACCAAGGCCAATATCATTTCAACTTTAAACACAAGACGCTCAAGTTGACAGACAATTCTTTATAATCAAGTCTCTGAGTAAATTCATTCATATTTCAATCAATCCATTTCAATCCTAAATGCTCAAAGTTCAATCTGTTTAATTCAATTTCAGTCTAAACATGGTTGGTAAAATGATCATTTTATTGTTTACATCTTTTTGTTGTCTTACACTTGCTGCTGCTCAAGGTATTGTATAGAAACCCAATTTAACCCAATTTTTTGCCCTTTTGGTTTTACCTTTTTTTGGGTTCATTTTTTGATTCTTTTTTTGATATTATTGTTTCTTTAGGTAAGGCTAAAGGTGAAGATATATTTCAAAATTCAACAGAATCTTGTGAGCAGATATTCAATGAAACGGCTAGTCTGGTTGAACCCATTTTACTGGTTGGAAGTAAAAGCTTTCCAATTACTATTCCTGAGATTGATGCTCATTGCAAGTAAGTTTTATTGTTGTTATTATGTGCTAATATGTTTTGACTTTTTTACTTAACTTGTTGACAAGTTAATGATGATTAAGAGATTCACAATTGGTGGTGTTTTTAATCATCGTTAGTTTAGATTGCAAGGGAAATTGACTTTCTCTGGATCAACATTTTGATGGAAACATCTTTTTTTTTGTGCTTGTGCCTTTTTTTGCTCAACTTTGCTCAAAAACTATCAATCATTTTATGCTTTTGCCTATTCATGTCTACGTGATATCAATTTCAGTTTATTCAAATAGCAAGTTTTAAACACAATTTAGCTTTCAAGTTAAACTTGGAAAGTCTAAATTAAATTGAACCTGAAATGCAACAGTGAGATTGATGTATGAAAAAAATGTGATTCCTAACGATTCATTGGATGTATTAAGGTTGAAAATGTCAACAGTTAGTTGACTGTGCTTTGTGTTGGTTCATTTTTATATTGATTTGTGTCTCTTTTTTGTTGCCTCCTAACGACTTCTTGACTTCATCTGTTTTCAGATCATTTAATTGATACAATCCATTTAATGTATTGATGATGATGTCCCATCAAAAGCACAAGTTAATGGTATAATTAAATTCAATTAGGTTGATTAATTTGATTTAAGCTTAATATTTGACTAACAATGCATACATAATCAATCATATAACTAACTTATTTACATGTCCAAGTGATTAGTTTCATTTATTTTTGACAACAAATCTTGTTTCATTTCCAACAATCTTATGTGTATCGATATGATAACCTTGACTATATTTGGCTTTAATAATACAAGAATAATAATATCACCCTGTTTACTGAATAGTGTTACAGAATTGTATTATTGAAGAGGGAAAGAAGAAAAGAAAGAAAAAGAGAAAGGGAGAGTGAAAAGAGAGTGAAAAAGACAGTTAAATATTTGTCTGTATAGAGAGATACTATGCAAAAGGGTAAAGTGAGATCACATGTTTATCTGAGAAAAAAAAGCTTCCAATTGCAAACCCTTTAGGGCTTAGCTTGTTTCTAATATTTTTGTCATTTTTCTTCCTGTTTTTTTACCTTTATCATTGTCATTGTCATCAGTATCAACAATATTATCATCAACAGCTTTCAATTCTTGTTTCTTTATCCCTCAGACTTGGAAACGATGTTTACAAAAGAGCCAGAAAGTATGGTAAATGCTTACAAGGTTTGGCTCGTCAGACCTTGCAAATTTATCTCCATGGCCTCAGGAGATTCATCCGAAGTATCTGTCAGTCAACAGCTAAAAAACAAGGTAAGTTATACATTATTATTATTGTTGTTCCCTGTTCATGATCAATATTAAGATCATAAGCTGTGTATTAATAGTCTAGGCTTTTCTCTTTTCATTTTTTTTTCGTCGATACAACTCATTCAATTTTTGCTTCCCATTTGTATCTTTTACGTTTTTAGATGCCATCAATGATTTGAAATGTGCCACTGACGGAACCCTTGAAGGATGGAATATGTGTCTTGATGCCACAAATCGACAATTGGATTTTGTATCCGATAATTCAACCTCGGTAGGTGTTGTAGGCGATGTTTGCTGCATCTATTCCTCATTATTGAACTGTATTGACCAAAGGACTGGTACCAAATCTGATTGTACACCAAAAGGAGATACTACTAAATTTTTCAAAACCTCGATTGCTCTGGTCTTGAAGGAAGTTATCGAACTGATTTGTTCTCGGTACGCAACTGAACAGGAGTGTGCAGCAAATAATCCCGATGGACTTGTTCGAATCAAGTTAGCTGCTGAGACAAATAGAACTGTCGATGGCGCTTATCTACTTAGTCCGTTGCTCAAAATTGTAAACAAATTGAGCGATGACTCGGATGTTTGAATTTTGATTCCCGCAAATTGCCTCTTTTATCCTACCTTCAATTTTAATGACTTAACCAGTTGAGACTCTAATTTAGAGTCGTTACGTATATAAATACATGTAACTAAACTCATCCAACCAATTTTAAGTCATTTCCATCAATATTAAGTGATTTATTAAAGCTATTATATTACTATGCTGCATATAATACATGTACAAAAATCTATCCAAAGCAATGTCTCATCAATAAATCTCGGTCTTTCAATTTTTTCGCCAATTATATCAATATTTACGGCACAATAATGATTCAAGATTACATCCAGACAATTAAACCTGACTTAAAAGCTTTAAATTAACCAAGAAACTTAAAAGCATAAATTTTGTTCAATAGTGAATTGAGCTGGAAGAGTTATTGGCTGTTGGCCATTGGCTGAAAATTTGGGAAATGCAGTAGACGACAAAACGATTGTTTTTATTTTGATAACTCAGTCGTTTCTCTTGAAAAATTCATCAAAATTGGCGTAATTATTATCAATTTGCTTAAGAATAATAATGTTTAAATAATTAATAAATAAACCAGCAAACGACTGAAGTTATCAAAGCCATCAAAATTATATATAAAACGCGATTCCTAAAATTTTGACTTGCACAGGTTTACATTGAATTTGTTCATTTGAGTAAATTATCTGTTGAAATGAAATTAAACTGGTGAAATGATAATGTTGACATTTGTTGATGAAAAGAAATAGTAAATTTAAGTTAGTAAAGTCACATTTTATAATGGCTTCATTGGAAGTGTTGCCTGAAGGTTTTTTCCCCTGAATAATACACTAACTCATTAATTGATGATCAATGGGCTATTTGATAATTCTGGTAAATTGGTTAAGAGTGCCTTTGGTATAATAACTCTGTATTGATGGTGCAAAACATTGATACATCAAGGGTTGAAGGATGACAAAATGATCACCTTAAGGCTGTTTATAATTGTACATATTTTTGCAATCTCATCAACATTTAAGATTGTGATTCCAAAATCTTTGGGTTACTTATGAGTTAACAGACCATTGATTAGTGATTTAAGTCTTGCTAAGTATTGAATCTATAGATTGCATTGGAATTGGAAAATTTATTTAATGTTATTCCTGGGAATGTACTTTGATTGCTAATTCAACTGAATCTGAGATGTTTTTTACCTGCTTTAGTAATGATGAATTTGTGGAGATAACATTTTGAAATGTTTTGAAACTGTTTACCAAAAATTTTTATTGCTATTTATTTATAAAATTGTATTTCTTGCTCAATTTGCTTATAATTTTTAACCATTGATCTTCAGCTGATCAAGGTTGAACTTAATTGAGTGACGTTCACTCACAATTAATGAATTATTGGTGTTATTGTCTGGAATCAGTGAAGTTAATGTTAGTGGCTAAACTTGACAATCATCACCTTTTCGGGTTTACAACGTCAATGTGATGTTTACTGCGTAAATAGAAACTAGAATTTTAAAGTTCAAAGCAAATTTAATTGATTCAATCTCAATTATAAACTTGAATTATTATGAAATATCATCTTGTATTCAGAGTTAGCATCCCTAGAAGCCAAATTTTAAGTTCAATTGTGAGGAAATCATTTACTACTTACCTAGATTGGTTATTTTTAGCTACTGAATTTTCTTGAATATAAAGGAAAATTAAATCCATAGTTTCATTGCAGTTGATTAACTTATCTTGAATTTGACGCTTCTGTGTGTGACTTGTTATTGGATAACGCGGTTCCCTCCATTTTTGTTTCAATAATGAAATCTCTTGTCATCATATTTTCCATTTTACTTTGTTCACTTGCTGTAAATGGTAAATTTATTTTCTTGTGTCAATCATTGTTTAAATTGTTTAATAATTTAACTAATAGTTTTATTCTTTGATTGTTACAGCTGCCAAACAAAAATTAACAAAACAGAATAACGAAGAGCTCTCCAGTTCAAATGTAACTTCATCTTGTGCAACTATTTCCAATCAAATCTCACCTCTCATTGAACCAGCCTTGCTTGTTGGAAGTGATAGCTGGCCAACAACTGTGGAAGAAATCAATAAACATTGCGAGTAAGTTAATTCAGTTCAGTAATACTTGTTGATAAGACATCAATAAAATAATTATATGGAGTGTTATAATGTGAATTGTTTAAAATTGGCAGACTTGGAGCAAAGGTTCACAAAGGCTTCAAACGCTATGGTAAATGTTTTACCGGGATAGGTCGTCAGGCCTTCAATATCTTCAACCGTGGACTCAAAAAGTACATGCAAAATATATGTTCATCTGAAAAAAAGAAACAAGGTAAGTTATCTTAAATTGGAATAATTATTCTAATAATACATCAGAACAACAACCGTAGTTCTTGTGATCATTACTTTTATTTTTGTTGTGTTGTCTGAATTCAAGAATTCTGGTTAAGAAGTTAACCGTTTATTGCTTGGTCATTGATCTAAATTCATTTTAATTTTGTTTAATTTAGATACTGCTGAGATATTGAAATGTGCTTCTAATGAAACAATTGGAGGTTGGAGTAAATGTTTGAATAAAGCAAACCAACGACTCGATATTACTGCTACCAATGCCAGTGATCCAAACATGGTTGGTAATATCTGCTGCACTTATTCAGCTGTACTCGATTGTGTTGCTCTAAATACTGGTTCATCACCTGAATGTGGAAAAACTAGGGATCCATCCAAGTTCTTACAATCATCCATTTCATTTGTTTTAAAAGATTTAATTGAATTGTTATGTGCCAACTACGAAACCAAAGAGGCTTGTGTTACTAATGCTGCTAATCAAGCTAATATTGCTGATGATAGTCACCAAGTGAACGGAACTTTCATACTGTCACCTTTGATTAAAGCTGCTAATCTATTAGGAGAAGTGCACGCTGATAGCATTTAGCTACTAATCATCAACTTTATATACTTTACATTAAAATTCGTTCATTGTTGCGATTCTAAACTGTGTACAATTGAATTTATGTTTTAAATTTGTGATATTTCATTTATAAAAGTTTTTTTTTCTAAAATTTTGGTTTCATTTCTTTTTAATTGAATCAATCAAAATGTATGAAAATTACAGTAAAAATAAGCATTTTGATTGTAAGGATTTAATCTTGGGAAAAAACTAATATTACATTGACAATTTAGAGCTGATGAACAGACGAGCAAAATAATTCTGCTTGCTGAACCTGAACTATGTAAATTTATCATGATTGATTGAATCAATCATCAATCAACTGATTGGCAGTTTGATTTTTCTTTTAATTATATCGATCTGAAAATGGCTCAAAGATTGAGATTGAACATTAACTCTGCTATTATGACTCGAGTCTGGTTTTTATTTATCTTTAAATTAATGAAAAAGCCAATTGTCTAATTAATGACAACCGTTATTTGCATTTAAGAATCATTTTTGTTTTTAATGATCATGATGGATGATAATTTATGCCATTAATTCGTTGTCGTTCCACATTGAATAAGAAGCCTATTGAAACAGCATAATCGAGCTTTCCAAATACCAACCAATACTTTGGATCCAAACATATTGAATGATTGTTCACATTTAATCATGCGTATAATTTGAGTCCTAGCATTGTAAATTGCCCATAAAGGAGTACGATTAAGTGACCAATTCATTCGACGCAGATATCGAATAGAGCGGAAAAATATATTTGATCTACGAAGAGGAGACTCTGGGGGAAGGCTGAGACGTCTTTTCACTATAAGATAAAAGGTTTGAGCGACACGACGAAGCAAATCATATCTCCAAGTCTTCAATGAAGGAAATTGAATGCATTGATTGATTGGCGGTTTCACTGAAGGTTTTGGAATATCAGTTACATTTGGAGTAACTCGAGTAGGTGGAATCATGGTTGTTGGTGTCATTGTTACACCCGAAACAGTTACTGATTCAGACGTGTTAATTGCACTCGTTGTCTCTGTTATAATTGGTGGTGGTGATGAGCTTGTTGTCGTTGTCATACTTGTAGCAATTGTAGTTTCTTCTACTCCAGTTGATACTGAGCTGGAGGTTGACGCTTCAGGCTCAGTTGATGATGATTGGATAGTTGATGGTACGATTGTTGTTCCATCAGCATTTTCACTAGTAGACTCTTCTGAATCAGTAGGAATTGGTGAGGTGGTGGTTATTCCCAAAGTTGTGGCTGGTTCAGATGATTCGTTCGAGTTTCCCTCAGAACTCTGTGTAGGAGAAAGCGAAGATGACTCAGATGTAACTGATGAAGCTTCTGAAATGGATTCGGAAGATGATTCTGTGACCAAGTTTGTGGCTAACTCAGAAGTTAATTCAGTCGAGGGACTTTCAGAGTTTGGATTTGGAGATTCAGATAGCTCTGTTGGAACTGTTGGCGGCACTGTTGAAGAATCGACCGGGGATTCTGATGGTAAGCTTGATGAGATGTCTGTTGATGTGAAGGGTATTGTAGGTGAACTTTCATCTGAGGCTTGAGTTGTTGTACCTGAATCATCAGGAGTCTTTTCAGGTGTTAGATCTGTTGAAACTGTAGTTAACTCTGATCCTTGAGTTGACTCTTGTGATGGACCTTCAGTCAAACCTTCAGTTGAACTTCCGACTGATTGTGTTGAGCTGACAATAGTTGTAACTGATTCAGAGTCATCATCTTTCGTAGTTGTTTGACCAGATTCTGGTTCGCTTACTTCCATGATCTTTGTAGTACTTTCAGTTGTACCAGCCTCAACATCGTTTATCTTTATTGTTGTTGTCTCGCCAGCTTCATAAATTTTTGATGTACTTTCACTTTCACCCTCTGTTGTAGCTGTTATTTCCTTGCTTCCTTCAGTTGCGGTGGTTTCATATCCACCTTCTCCCTGTGCCTCTGTAATTGTCGTTACTGGCTCTGATGACGTTTCTTTATCAACAGGACTAGATGTTGTTTCAGCAACCGTTGAATCAGTGACTCCTTCACCTTTAGTTGACTCGTTAAAATCAGACGATATTATAACGATTGTTGATGGTTCAACTTGTGGATATATTGTTGTACTTTCTCCATTATTTGAACCAGACACATTAATTTCTGGTTTTGAAGTTGTTGAGCTTTCACTTGAACCAGATTCTGGTACATTGGTCTTCAAATCATCCTCTGTCACAATGGATTCGTTCGGATCAACAGATGGAATCATCGTTGATCCAGGATTCGAGCTGTCAGTCTGTAACGCATCTTCACCGCCCATTGCGGCATTAGTAGAAGTTTCTTCAGGTTTCTCTGAGTTCACTGATTTGGTAACATCCACTGATCCAGCTTCAGTTGTTGCCGGTAAACTGACTGATCCATCATCTGTTGGCATGTTTGGTTTTGTTGACGATTCGTCCTTTCCAACACTAATTGAAACTCCATCTTCTGACTCTCCACTAGAGTCATCAGGATCAACAGTAACATGAACAACCGTTGAAGGTACAAACTCGACATCTTTATCATTTTCAATTGTTGTTCCTTGAGGAAAGTCGCCACCAATACTGATTCCATTGTTCTTATCTTTGCCATCACTGATAACAATCTTGCTAATTAGTTTTGCTTTCTCATTGGTTGTTGAAGATGAACTCTTTAAGTCATCATTTTCACCGCTTTCATTTTCTGCTATTGGCAACTCTGTTGTTACATACTCATTGAAATCGGGTAACAATGTTGTAGCTATCAAATCGCCACTGGACATGGGATGAAATTGACAACCACATTGTTGTTCAGTTGATTCAATTGCAATCCAATCAGAGTCATTGTAAACATTAATTAATTCAATTTGAGAACCATTTTCACTTTGAGTATCTATTGTTGATTGATTCCAATCACTTTTTGAAGCTTCAGACTTTGAGTCATAATGTAACATTAAACCTGCCAAATGGTATTAATCTTTAGCGTTAATCACCCAATTCAATCCTGTTTAATAAACTATATCTTACCTGAGTTGATCATCCAGAAAAGGGCAGCTAATCCATGGATCAATCTCATTGTTGGTCTAATCACTAAAAATTTAAAAAAAGAGGACAAAATTGAAACAAGCAACAATTTAAAATAAATCAATCTATTGTAAATAAAGATTTTCTGATCATTTTAACATTTCTTGTGACATTTACAATCAAAGTTAAACTGTTTCAAATATCAAATTCATTTCAACTTAATTTCATTATTATGTCAACTCTTGCAACTGATTAAGCTTAAGTTGTTGGCAAATTCAGAAATATGATGATGATTATCCTAGTTTTCATCATTAACATGCTTCTCTTTCATACAATTCAATCAGCATAATTATGAAGCTGGTAAATCACGTAAATACGGGAGGAAATGGCTTCTTTTTGAATCTTTTTTTTTCAATGTTATTATTGTTACCTTTTTCCCCATTTTACTTTGTTATTAATTGCAAATACATTACGCTTTCAACTTGATTCAATAACTAATTAGCAGACATTACAGTTTAAATCAATTTCAAGCAGAACTGGAAACAGAATCAATCAGCTTAGTTGTATTCACTTATTGGCATAGATTTTGTTTGTCAAGCTATTGAATTACAAAGCTTGTTTAAACTAAATTGAGAAATTAAATTTCCAATGTAACACTTATGTTTTCTTATGTAAACTTGAGTGGTGATTAAGTGTAATTATCATCAAATTAATTTGCTATAAACTTGTACAATTCAACAATAAAAGCCTTTGTATTCAATTCCATCGGAAATCCCTTTACATTGTTAACCCAAAGTCAGACGATACATTATCATACGATTAACCAGAAAAATTTGTCTGGTTTAACCCAAACTACTTTTCTATTAGCATTGGAAATGGGTTACAAAAGGAGTTTATGATAATTTGTTGTATCATTAATCAATCAGATGGTTCAAGAGTATGGCATTGAATAAACACACTTGACCAGATCTTTTTTTTGGGTAATCTTATAAATTGTTTCTTAAGATACAAATCTGGTTTCAGTTGGTCTATTTCACTGGCTGATTTCTCTGGATAATTCATCTTGATTTAAGGTTAACATTCAGTTTTCTGGTTATTTTCTGCTTCTCCTGTGTATTATTTTTTCATCATCATAATTAACTAAATGACCCTCAACAAGTTGTTTATGTCTACTCACAGAAAGTCAGAAAGTGTCCACTGAAAATAACCAACATAGCAATTCAATAAATTATTTTGATGTCTTATTTTGTTGATGAAATAGATTGTTTGAATTTAATGAAAAACCATCAACCAGATTATTTGTGTTAGTAAAATTTTACAAATTTATTAGTAAAAAATGAATTGAGTTCAGAGAAGAATCACAATTTGGAAAAGTATCCTTAACATTGAGGTATTAAGTAAGCTATTGGGTTCTCTAGTGACCTTTTTCGGTTGTGGTGCTTTGTAGACCGATTTCAGTGCTGTACTTCGTCTTCATCGACAGCAGCCAATTTCTCCGCAGTTTTTAGTAGAGGTGTCAACATGAAGGCTCCTTTAACTTTATGGTTTGATTCACCAACCACTTTGAGCAATGAAACTCCTTTTGGATTGTTGATGTTACATTCCTCTTGATTTGAATATCTTGAGCAAATCAATTCCATCACATCTTTCATTACCAATGATATACTTGACCGGAGAAAGGTTGTCGTGTCACGGGTTTTGCCACAATCCGATCTTGATTTAGTATTGGCAGAGACACAGTCAAGCATTGATGAGTAAATACAACAAACATTACCGACCATTTCAACTCCAGTTGAATTGTCAGAGGCAAAATCAAGCTGGCGATTGGCTTGATTTAAACACTTGTTCCAACCGGGAAGACTCTCAGAACTGGCACATTTAAGTATTTCCATTGTATCTAATAGTTAAAATAAATAATTTGACTTTAACTTTACATACTTCGAGATGAAAATTTTGGTTTCTTGGTTTACCTTGCTTCTTTTGCTGATTTGAACAGGTGCTTTGGATGAATTTTTTCATTCCATGAAGGAATACATTCAAAGCTTGACGAGCTAATCCAGATAAACATTTGCCATATCGTCTCATGCTTTTATAGACAGTTGCTCCAAGACTAAAGTATATTAGGATAAAATTAATAGATGATTTAAAGGTTTAAATTGTTGCTTTTCATACTCACTCGCAGTGTTTGTTTATTGCATCCGTTGTTGTGGGCCATTCAGTTCGATTGACAAGTAACACTGGTTCAACCATAGCAGCTGTGTGATTGAAAAGATGTTCACAGGATCCAGTTGCATTGTTTTCGAGTTCATCGGGAATTTTTGACGAGGACTTCTTTTTATCAGCTAAAAAATAACAGATGTAAATTTAAATTAAAGTACGAGTAGAAAACGTTGACAAACTGAGTTTAATTTACCTCGGATGGTGATAATACTTGCGAAAATTAAGAATATCGTGAAAAGAATGAGCTTCATGTTTGAATGTTTGATTGGCGGTTGTTGCTATTGAAATTGGTTTAATGTTTAACTGATAATACCAAGAAACTGTTGACTCACCAACTTTCAATTACTGGTTATTTTTATACACGGAATAACATTATTTATATACAAAGGTTGACGATGTAGAGTACAAGATTCATTTCATGGATCAACAATGAGATAAAATTGAAAAGTTATTTGAATCATAGCCTAAGGATATTGAGGATGTAAATGCTTGATATAACTTAGTGAGACTTTTGATTTAAATCTATCGTTTTGGAGGTCAAATTATTCACTAGTTTTTCACCTAAAAAGTAATGGAAATATTTATACTAAATTACAATTAAGAAATGTTGTTTACCTTGTTTACCCATATTTTTCCCATTTCTTGGTTTGCCTTACCTAAAAACTGGTCAATACAGGAAAAAAACATTTGGTTCATAGAGTCAATCTTTTCAATTGATCAAAGCTTGATTCACTTGTCGGTTTCCATTAAATCAACGGAATTATATCAAAATTTTAGGAAATCATTTGATTTCAGTTTTTCTGCCTGAAAATTCAGACAATAAACTCGGATACTAGAATAAGATTTACTAATGAACGTTCAACTAACACAATCAACTTGGGTTATTAACCTAAATTATTAGGCTGCTTAGAATCTCATACAAAAATTATAAAAGATGAACATTATTTTAATTGTAATTAAAATTACGTGATCTTTGCTTCTTGCAATTTAATAGGTAATCAGAGTTTGTATTGTAAAGATGAGCTGCTATTTTAAAATAACAGCTACGCCAATTATGACAGATTTATTTTGGTAACTTGATCAAACCAGGAAAAAACTGGTAAATGAATGGAAACAATTGAACTCAATTGTTAACATTCATGAATACAAATCACTTTTAATGAAGAATTAATTGGCTGTGATTTGATTCTCAATCTGTCACCATCAATAGTGTGTTATCCTCATCAACAATTGCAGACAATTGTTGACCAGATTATCAGTGTGAAACACTTATCAACCGTTAAGGACTAAATTAGTGTCTATTTGTTTTACGTGTTATTAACCGTTTCTTTCAGCCAACAATTCCTCAATGTGAATTAAATTTGAATTAATCTTGTATTTAAACACGTTCTCTTCATCATCTGCTTGCCTATTGCTATTGTTATTCTGGTTTCGATTGGGTTATCACTAAAAATTATAAACACAATAATAGCAATGGCCAAGCACTTAACTTTACTCGTTATCATTTGGATTGGTTTGATTATTCCTCAGCAATTTGTTAACTGCAATGAAGCTTTCGATGTATTTGGTAAAGTTTTAATGCAACGAATCATGAGAAATGATGAAATTGAATTTGCTCTGGAAATGGTTAAAATTAAGATTGATGGCTTCTTGAGTAAAGCTAATTTAACTGCACCTTGCTCACAGTTTCGTCGATTATTAACCAATGAATTAGAGAAAGGATCTTTTTGGACTTTTCAATGTGAGTATTATCAGACAATTCAACTCGAATCCTAAATTTATCCGTTTTTGCATCAAATATTGAATCAGGTTACACAGAAATCAAAATGACAATGTACAATTTATATTGTATTGATTCAATAATTGCTTGTGTTAGTATTGAAGAAATCCAAGTGTCTAAGGTTCCTTAATCAATGTATTGTAAATGCCCTTTGTAATCAGTGTTGGATTCCCAAGCTAAAATTCCAGCCGGTTTATTGAGAGGGAAAATGAGATTGGTTGGATCTTACGATCAATGTTTGTCATTAAATGTTGACCTGCGTCCATATAAACCAAGATATCCAGCCTTACCAGATTTAATGACAACTCGTTATTGTCATCTCAGGATTTCCGTTCAAAATATACTCCATAAGATGCCTCCTGGTTTATTGAAGAGTAAAGAGTTTGAGGTAACCAAAATGATCAAACTTTACCCATGAAAAGCACGATTTAATCATTCTTTTGGGCCTTTTCTTTATAAATTATTTAGTCATTGGAATTAACTAACATCAGGTCATTAATGAGCGAATCCAACAGTAACCTTATGGATCCAGATATACACATTTGTCTTCCCTCTGTTTGCACAAATGATGATATTAAATCCATTATCTCAACTTTTAAAAGAGGTAAGTTGATACAGTGTTGTTGTTGTTGTTTAAACCACAATAAATTAATTGCCTTTCAGCAATCCAGATTGGCAAATCCATTCCAACAGAGATAAATCATTGTGATGATGGTAGCACTTCACCGTGGGAGGATTATGAAATTGTTATATTGTAAGTTGTAATGAATAGTGTTGCTGCTGATTTATGGTTCAATGCTTTATTTAATGACGCGTATCTATTTCTTTATATCTGATCCCAAGTGGATTCTTATTACTAATCGCGTGGATTGTGCTGTTTGGGTCAGTTATGGATTGGTATCATTCAAAATATAAAATGAAACCAAAATTTAAATTAATTTCCCTTGCAATTAACTTTTCAATCATTAAAAATGGTGATAAATTGCTAAATACCAAAGAATCTACCAGTTCAATCACTTGTCTTCATGGACTCAAATGTATATCTATGTTTTTCATCTTTCTTGGACATTATGGATTGGCTCTTATGGCAAGTTTTTCAGGTAAATCTTGCTCTTATTCAATTTCATTAATTGTTCAATCAATCTAATTAGAGCTTTAACTGATTTTTGACTTTATATTTTACCCAATTTAGTTGATACCATGGAACTTGACAGTCGTGCAAAGGAATTTTGGACCCAAATTGTGGTCAATTCATCTGCTTGGGTCGATACTTTTTTTGTAATCAGGTGAGTTGGTAGTTATTGTAATTTATTAGACATGTCATTGATTCAAATCAATTTTTCACTATTGCATTCAGTGGTCTTTTGGTCTCTTATCATATGCTGGATAAAGCAGGATCACATTCAAAACTTTTCAAGGGTAAATCAGTAAAAGAGCGGATTTCGATGACAGCTGATTATCTTGTAAATGCTTACATTTATCGTTATTTAAGGTAAACTTATATAACTTTGTATTACACAAGTTTATTATGGGTTTAGACTTATGAATTAATCTCTCTTATTTCAAGATTAGCTGTTCCAATGGTAGTTGTGCTTCTACTTGCAATAATTTGGAAAAGATTTGGCTCAGGTCCCAATTGGTATATTTGGTCAGCTGAAATAACCGATACATGCATCAGAGATTGGTGGAAATTAGTATTATTCATTAATAACTTCTTTTCTCAGAATATGATTGGATTCGAGGTAATTTTGAAAGCCTCAAAATTCTGGTTGAATTTAATAAAACCTTAAAATCGTTACAGTGTTTAGGTCCAGTTTGGTACATAGCAAACGATTTTCAATTTTATCTGTTTGCTCCATTCATCGCTATGTTGATCCTGTCAAGGTAAATCGTCTATTTTAATTTTAATTTGTCAACTGTTAAAATCTAATGAGTATATTTACAGACGTCGCTGGTTAAGTTGGTCTATTTTAATCTTCATAACTGTTGCATCAATAATTATTACTGGTCTGATAATTGACGAAAAAGACTTGACTCCGACGCTTGTTTGGCATCCTAAGATGATCAATGGTTATTATGCTCATGTTTATATCAAACCTTGGTGTCGAGTAGGTGCTTATTGTATTGGTTTAGGTCTTGGAGATGTTTTAATAACAACTAGGCGTAATTTTAAAATCAATAAGGTAGAAGTCATTTTATAATTTTCATCATTGGCCATTTCATTAATTTTCATTCCATTAACTAGGCAATCAATATTTGTTTGTGGATTCTCTCCATATTCATACTTTGCACGGTAATTTTGATGCCATATCGTTTCAATTCGCATAATTTTGACAAAGTGGAAGCAATTATTTATGGATCACTCCACCGCCCTGTTTGGGCTTTAGCGATCTCTTGGATTATCTTTTCAATTGTAACTGGTAATGCTCCATTAGTTGATCGAGTGTTATCTTGGTCATTCTTCATTATCCTGTCGAGGTTAACCTATGGTGCTTATCTGACACAGTTTATTGTTTTCTCGAGCTTTACTCTTGCAAATAGACTTTACTTAGATACAACATTCCAGCTTGGCGTAAGTATAACTTTAGTTTACAATCAATTTAGTTTATCAAGCAATATATTTAGTTTCAGGGTTTTTCATTTTTCAATCTATAGATCGTTTTATTTTGTGGTATTTATACCATTGGATACATTTCGGCTGCAGTCCTTTCTTTAATGGTTGAATATCCAACGAAAAATTTTATCGAAGAATGGCAAAGATCAAAATACGGTGTTTCATCTGGACCAGTTAAATCTAATCAGAATGGATTTCAATCAACGGGAAATGTCAAATTAACGGCGATCAACAAATCTATTGACAATGTGAAATAAAAATTGTCAAATGCAATTTGAGGCGACCGATAAAATAATATAAAACAAATTTATTCAGATTGACTTTTTTACACTTAAATTAGCTAGTATTATAAACAATTGAGAATTTAAAAAATTAATTAAATTCATCTGAAATCAGAACTTGAAACTTTCATTTATTCTTGCATGCATAAATATTCTATGCAATTACTTTATTAACAAAAAATATATTTACAATGCTTTTTCATTCAATATTTTTTTCTAGAAACAAGATAGGATTCAATTATCTAACTTAATATTTGAATATAAAAAGTTAATAACACTTATCTGTTCGGATAATTTATTGATTCTGTTCATGTGTCTACTAGTATATGACAAGAAACCTTCCACGATTTCTTTTGATTCGGGTAAATTTAGTATTCCTTCAAGTCCAAGGAAGTTTAAAGTTACCCTGAAGATGTATTGAGCTGCTTCACTATTTTTACTATTAGTATTCCAGTTGATAGCATATTTGAGTAAAGAAACAAGTTGATCTTCTCGTAAACCCTTTAAAGATGATTCCAAGACTTGTAATTGATCTTGATTTGTCGTGAAAAGTATCTCTTTTACAATATTCAAAGCTCTAAAGGGTTGCTCCAATTTTATAGCAAGTTTCAATGCTTTTGTCCATTTCTGTTGTTGTATTAAATTCATGAGTTTTTGTTCATTAGCCATGAAAAGTTCTTCTTTCTTGGCTTCTTCCTCCTTCTTCTCAACAGTATCATCTTTCCACACAATAATCTGAGAATCTTCACCTCCAGTTACCAGTAACTTCTCATCTTCACTTGCTGTTAATGCCCAAATTTTAGCTGCATGAGCATCTAAAGTGGTTGAACACTCTCCAGTTTTTACTGTCCACAGTTTTACGTTACCATCGGATGAACTGGAAATTATTTGCATACCTCGATTAACAAAGACGAAGTTCAGTACTGAGCTTTCATGGCTCTGAAGTGTTTTAAGACAAGAGAAATCATTGAGAGACCAAAGTTTTATAGTTGTATCGGCTGATGCGGTTGCAACAATCACATCTACTGGAGAGAAAGCGATAGACCAGATTCCTCTTCGATGTCCTTTCAGAGTCCCCGCAAGGCTCAGATTTTTATCGAAACTCCAAAGTTTAGCGGTTCTGTCTTGTGAACATGAAGCAATGAACTTATCATTTGGAGCAATAGCTAGTCCATTGATATCTTTATCATGGGCTTTAACTGTTTCCAGGGTTGAAAGATGAATTTCTTTAGAGTCAGGTTCAACTTTTATTTTCGTCGGAATCTTCCAAACTTTCATAGTAGTGTCTTCAGAGGCCGAAAATAGCCAATTTGTTGATTTGAATGGAACTGCTAAAGTTATGACAGAAAGGGAATGACCACTTGCAATATATAAACACTGTGCTGACATTGTATTTGGATTGAAAGACCAAAGACGAATATCATTGTCTTTTGAAGAGCTGGCAAAAAGTGTTTTATTTGTTGGGTAAACTTGAAGGGATAGAACTATTCCTGAGTGTCCTTTGATTATTGATGATTCCATAGTTTCAATGTGGAATATTGTCATATTAGGTGAGTTAGTAGCTACAACAATGTGTTTCTCAGCAGGACCAATGAACTTGATATCTGAAACTTGATCAATGTTTCCAATTGCTTGACGAACTAGTTCAAAGGATTGAAGATCATAAAATAAAATGTTCCTTTCATACGAAACAACAAGAAGTTTATTCAGATCAGGATGCAGAAGGCATTGAATAATCATTTCTGGAGTTTGGTTTTCATTTTGATTATCATTGGCCAATATTGAATTACTCTGAGTAAATAAACATGCACCGCTTGATGTATCCCATGCTTTTATTATACCTTTAGGACCACCAGTTAGGAAGACTTTGCCTTTTGGTTTTTGATCACCAATAAAACCGAAAATAGCATTGTCAGGTAATAAGATCATGGATTCAACTGCTTCAAAAAGAGGGATTTTTCTCAAAGAAGTTCCATCGTCAATTGACCAAACGATAGCTAACATATCACGACTTGCAGAAAGAATCAAATTTTTTTCATCATGAGAATAAAATTGCAATCCAATAACTCTGCTACAATGACCAACGAAATTAGAGATGAGCTGACTGTCAGCCAATTTCCAAACATTAACAGAGTAATTCAAATCTCCTGATGCCGCGATTAATTCAGTTTTGTCAGCTTTAGTGTAAAATTGAATACAGGAAATGACACCTCGACATCCCTTTAAATGATGAGTACAATATTGTTTTATCACATCCCAAACTTTAACAATAGTATCACTAGACCCGGTAGCTAGAAGATTTCCTTTACCACCATCACTAATTGCTAGCGTTGACATTGGTCCAGTGTGTAAACCTCTCCAAGTTCTTCTCAGCGTAGCACCCTCACTATTCCAAGACCACTCCTTGAGAAGGCCACTGCGATAGGCAGCATACACTTTATCCACGCCATCGTGATATCCAGTAACAAAATCAATAACCTCATCCTCAATATCTGAATCTACTTTCTCTTTGATGGTTGCAACTTCGGACCCGTCATTGATAGACTCGATTTTAATCGCATTGCCAGATGACGATAAGAGATTTGTACCAGATTCATCAACCTGAAAATTGAGTAATTACACAAAATTAAATAAAAGAAAAAAATGTGGATATTGAAAGCTTCAGGTACTCACCTTTAAGAAACCATTGGTGAAAGAAGGATGAATACGGCTCTGGACTTTAAAACTGAAAATTGAATGAAAATGGATGAGAATTTAATAGTAAACAAATCAATTCATCAACTTACCTCTCTTTAAGTTCAAATTTCATGATTCTAATAGAATACAACAAAAAGTAATAGTAAACAAAAACAAAATATTGATGATTTTAAAAATAAGAACACGTTTTTTTCTTGGTTTGAGTTTTGAATGCGTTGTTATGGCAACTGTGGCATCAAACATTACAACCAGCTTTGCATCTCTTTAAAGTTGGCACTAAGGCTATGGGCCAAAATAGACCTGATAAAGTTGGATATAAACGAAGTTCTATGAAAGTTGCATTGAAAAATTATGTAGCTCTTATCAAAAATTTCGTAAGATGTAGTATTTAGTCATAATTGCGCTTCAAAGTTGAAACAATTTTCGATAATTTCTCAAGAATCAGTTCTAAATTTTGTGCAAATATCGTTCTTAGTTAATTCTATCGATTAAAAAAAGTAAATTTTTCAAGACCTGAGTCATGTGTTATAGCGGTCAAGTCATTTAATAACTTTACAGGGCCGACAACCGATAATGAAACAATCAAATCTGTTCCTGTTCGACATGGTATGTTATCAGAAATGAGATTTTTCATGATTGGTCGTTTGTGTTTCGGATACTTTTGATGAAACGACATTAATTCAAACATGTAAGCTCATCTTATTAGAAACTTATCAACGCAAATACAATCTAAAGGAAAAAGATTCGACGATTCTCCTAATTTTTAATCGATTTTGCCTTGGCGACAACTTGTACATCAATTATTGCTAACTTTTGACTGGCTATGTTAAAATAAATCATTAGCATTAAGGAACAAGATCGTGAAATTTGTAAAGTCAAGATTATGCTAAGACTTGAGCCTTTAATGATGACAATTATCTTTCTAAAGACCGATCCGTTCGTCGGAGTGCTATTCGTCGAATAGGCTTTACCTGAGAATAGGTCTTTTTATCGATGGTATCGATATTAGCCGATTTTGTATCCGTTGCTAGGGCAATTATGTCATCAACTCCAATTACTGTGATGTCACAACAGCTTTGTATCTTTAAAGGGACACTAATTTGTTTTGTGTTTCCTTATGAAGATCTAATTGTAAATTGTTTAATTAATCCGTCGTTGATTTTGGCTTTGTGATTGTAATAATTCAATTGAGAAACAATGAATAAACCAGAAACCAATACTCATGGGCCTTTGATGCTGTAAGTAAAATTATTGTTTTGTTTAATCTTATTTTTGCTGATCAAATTTGTATTTTTTTGAAGATCATAAAGCAAATATTTTGTCCTGAATGATGTCTATATTTTTGAAATTTGTATCTTTCTTGCAGTATCACTGGACCCGATAAGTTTTATATTCACCCAATAGGCAACGAAAATGAACTTTTAGTGGTAGACAGAGTCTCGCATACTATTGGTCTTGAAACCAATACCGGCCAACTTGCAGTTGAAGGAATGTTCGGCCGTCAAATCCAAGGTATTCTTGGAATCATCAATCTGCTTGCTGGTCCTTATCTTGTCGTTGTCACCCGTTCCACTAAAATTGGGCAGATATGTAATCAACCCGTGTATAGGGTTGAAGAGACTGATGTTATTTCTTACACTCGTAACACACTTCACCTTACTGAAGAGCAAGTTAATTATAATAATTCTTATCTGACAATGGTTAAAACTGTCCTTCGAACACCATATTTTTATTTCTCGTACTCTTACGATCTCACTCATTCATTACAACGTTTATACAATTTTGGACCCGATTTCATCAAAGCCTCTCTATTTGAAAGAGTATGTAAATTAAAATTTTGTTTAAAATTGTTCAGGATTAATCATTTCCTTTCATTCTCCGTTTCCTAGGCGGAACATAGATTCTTATGGAATCATCATTTGATGAAGCCTCTCCTCAATCAACCCGAACTGTCGAAATATTGGTTACCTTTAATGCATGGATGTAAGTTGGCTTGATCTTATTGCATCTCAATTATTAATTCTGAGCTAATCGTATTATTCAGAAGCTTAATTAACTTAGTCATTCACTTAACTCTTTAAAAGCTTGTAAGGATTTTATGTAAAACTTGTTTTATTTTTATTTTGGCATTTACCATGACTTTTTTTAGTTTTCACTTTCCTTTCTACGCCTTTATCCAGCAAATGATAATCTAACTTCTCTTTATTTATCTTCTTTACAGTCATAAATATCAGTTCAGTTGTTCTTAATAGAAAGGTCTTCCATTGGATCATAATTTCACGAAGAAGTAATACTCGAGCTGGTACTCGACTTTTTTATCGTGGGGCTGATCTTCAAGGAAATGTCGCTAATTTTGTTGAAACCGAACAGATAGTTGAATTTGAAAACAATCGGGGAAGTTATGTTCAAATTCGTGGATCAATACCGCTGATATGGCAACAATACCCAAATCTTCGATACAAACCAACACCTGTTCTTATTTCTAACCAAATGCAACAAGAGGTCATCTCGAGACATATTGAAAGTCTTCTTCCAATGTATGGTAAAACTGTTTTAGTCAATTTGATTGATCTTAAAGGGGGAGAACTTGGCTTGGAAAATAATTTAAGACATGCTGTTGAAAATTTAGCAAACCCTATGGTTCGCTATGAGCATTTTGAGTTTCACCGAGAATGCGGTAAAATGCGATGGGATCGTCTTAATATTCTTATGGAAAGATTATCCCAAGAGCAGAAGGAATTCGGTTATTTTCTTATGCTTTCCGATGGTAATGTTGCATCACAACAAGATGGTATATTTCGTACCAATTGTATTGATAGTTTGGATCGAACTAATGTAGTTCAAAGTTTGATTGCAAAGAAAAATCTAACTGATCTATTACTTCGATTTGGAATTTTGGCACATGGAGAGCGTGTCGAAGATCATACAACACTTTACGGTTTATTCCGAAACAGTAAGTGTCATTACGATTTTCTTTGGAAGATTTTTTAAATATCTATTCATTTTTTCATATAGTTTGGGCTGATAATGCTGATATTTGTAGCATTGAGTATGCTGGAACAGGAGCCCTCAAAACTGATTATACCCGAACTGGTAAACGAACGCAAGTTGGAATGATTCGCGATGGAATGAATTCTTTGATAAGATATTATAAAAACAATTTTACTGATGGATTCAGACAAGTAAGAGACATTTTAAAGTTCTTTTTTTATTTTCAATTATTCTAAATATTTGTAATTAATTTAGGATGCGATCGATTTATTCCTTGGAAAATATGTTATCAATGAAAACGAAGGTAAAACTTTACCGAGTCCACTGAGACCAAGAAGAGATTGGAAATATCTAGCAGTAAGTTTTACTCATATCGAAGCTTACAATGCATTTTATCAATTGTTATACTTAAATTTAATTTATTTTCTCGTTTAGCTACCCTGTATCTTCCTTGGCTCAACTGCAATGTTTTTCTTCAGTTTATTCATTCCAACCGGTAAGTAACTTTGTTATGATTCATAGTGAATAAGCTAAAATTGAATCTAATTGCTAGCACTATTTTGGTGGTCGAAAGCAAAAATATTCATTCATAGCAAACACGAATAAATCTTCCATTTTCACCGTCTAAAAACCTTTGTTTCTTTCGTATAGAACACTCAACCATTACCATGATGTATCTCTTATTCTGGGCAGCGATGATCGCTGGAAGCGCAACCGTTATAGTTTATTATGGCAATGAATTTGTTGATGTTCCGAGATTATGCCCAATCAGACGAAATGAGTCCAACAATTGACTAGAGATCGCGTGACATTGAGCAAAAATCATCGTAATGTTTGTTAACAAAGATTGCGGATGATTATTTATAAATTAAATAAAGATCAATGTATCAATATGACTTTATGATGGTAAAGGTTGATCGGCAATATTTATCGATTCTAAATTTAAATTTAAACTTGAGATGATATTGATCGATCTTAATATTTATTCAAAAAGCTGAAATGGAAAAACTTCAACAAAAAAAAGCGACAAAAAATAGAAAAGGCAAAAATTAAGATAAATACCAAGTTGATTACAGCTACCAATTTTTGTAGGTGTAACAATTTATAATGTAATGATCAAATTACAATGTAATAGTCATGAGACTTTATCATCTTATCTTTCATGGCGTATTCCGTGCATCAAAGGGCTATACTCTTTAAGCTACTTGCATTTGAAATCTGGCGAACAGTTTGGTTGATAGTATTGAGTCAAAAGTCTTCCGTTTTCGCTGCAAAAAAGATTATTTTCGTTTTTATATCATGATTCATGATCCATCTCAAAAGATCGATAACCGATAGAATTGTAAACTTCAATGATCGATTTTAGATAATTCGATTTTTACAACTTCATTTGTGAAAGCAAAGCAAATCATTTTGCTTTAATCGCATCATGTTAATTAATCTAAATATGTTTTAATTTCATCAATTAGCTCATTTTGACTATCATCTAGCATGAATGGCTGGAGCTGATGACGTAATAGTGCAATGATCAAACTATTCTTTATTTCCAACATTGTTAAATATTGTTATTGTGTTTACTCTACTGATTTTCACATTTTCACCTTATGCTGGCGAGACCATTCAAATCTTTGATCAGACCAGCTGTTTACCTGAAACTAGTTTTAAATTTAATTGTAATTCTGATCGAGACTTAAGGCCATCAACCATGACCTTATGGCCATTGACGCTAGAAATTATTACAACCTTTCTCCTATCTAGTCTTTTACTTTACCGGTATGGCAATTGGACGGAACAGTCAATTGGAGTAACAATATCTGTCTTCATTGCTTGGTTTTTCTCATTCATTGTAATTTTTATATTACCTCTGGATATAAGCTCTGTAAGTGTAATTGAATAGCTAAGTTAAAACATATTCGTAATTCCATCCATAAGGCAGTGAAAATAATTTCAATTTTTCATGTTTCATTGTTTATTTTTCAGACTGCTTATCGCCAGTGTTTAATTGAAGCAAATGTCACAATATCAAGCACAACCACGACTACTACTACAACAACTACTACAACCACAACTGTTTCACCAAATGCTACTGAATTACCATTGCACAACATTACCTCTCCTCCAGTGAGTAACACCACTGATAATGGCTCTTCTAGTACTGATAACTCTGAAATATTGGAGGAAATTTGTGGACATCCATGGAGTTATGCTCAAAAAGACGTACTTCTCACTCTTTGGGGCTTAGTATATTGGTCTATTCAAGCTTTGACGTGGGGAATCTTGCCTATCATGCAGAGTTACTCTATGGCTGGCGATTTTACCAGACTTGGCAAAATAAAATCTGCTTTTGTTGCTAATGCCATTTATTACGGATCATTTGCAACAATATTTTTCATCATTCTTATATATGTTGCCATTCGCACATCATTGGGTATGGCTGAATTAAAAGTTATTTGCACAACCGCTTCAAACACCTGGGGTTTATTTCTATTGGTTGTACTTCTTGGGTATGGTCTGGTTGAAATACCCAGAAGCTGTTTCAATACATCACTTCATGGCAGAACGTTAACCTATCTTTATTTTAAAGTAGCTAAGCTAAGCGCTGAAAAAATTGAAGCAGAAGAAAGATTAGAAGATGTTCTAGATGAGATAAATTGTGCATATCAAGCTATATCACCAAACAATACTCGTTTCCGTCAATATATTAACGAGATACTGGATAAATGTCCAACAGACTGGAGAAATAATTTACTTTCTCGATATCAGAATCTCGACCGTGGCTCATCATCAGCTATCAGATCGGGCGGAATTGCTTATACGGAGAAATCGCTTATTCGAATGAACCAACAAATAAAGAAAGCAGTTCAAGACAATCATAGAGTGCACTGTCAATGGAGAAATCTCATTACTAAAGCCATTGATTGGGAAGATGTTTCCCGTAATCAAATCAGTCAAAGTCAGTTGTTTAAACCAACCCTTAAAAGAAGCCCACCTGAATCTCCTTTAGTGCGAATCTTCTATGAAATATTTTTTACTCCTCGAGTTGAATGGTATTGGAAATGTGCCATACGAGGACCTTTCTTCAGGTGTTTAGCTTACGTTACTGGGGCCCTATCTTTAATCGTAATTTGGTCCGAAATGACCTTTTCAATCCATCATCCACCTTTAAGTATATTTGCCAGCATATTTGTTACTCTTAAAAGAGACCACAATTATTTCTTAATTGAGGTAAGCTAAATGTCAGCTTTTTATTCTTAATCATGCTTTAATTAATTAGTAAATATACTTATGCTATTTTATTTCGTCTCTTCTAGTTTTTCTCAATCCTGTCTATTGCATATCTTTGCGTTTGTACATATTATACTGTGTTCAAAATCCGTATATTTAATTATTATTATCTGGCGCCACATCATCAAACTGATGAGTATTCACTCATTTTCTCGGGAATGTAAGTAGTAATGTAATTGATAGAAATTTTTCTATACGTTATTTAATCTTCATACATTTTTCCACAGGTTATTATGTCGTCTAACTCCTCCTTTATGTCTCAATTTTCTTGGACTTATAAATCTCGATTCTCATATAACCAGAGCGAGCGATCAAGAAGATGCATCATTCACCAAGGTGATGGGCCATATGGATGTCGTTCCTTTAATTCGTGATGGTTTCAATATTTATCTCCCAATTGTTATGTGTATCTTTTGTATGGCTACATTCCTCCAATTTGGTTCACGTTTACTGCATTTCATGGGTATTGAACAATTCATGATTGACGATGAAACAAAATCCGAGCTTATCAAAGAAGGAACAGAGCTTGTTAAAAGAGAGAAAAACAAGAAAATCAGACTTGAAGAAGGTAGCAATTTGAATCGTGATAGACGAAATTTAACCAGCTATTCGTCAACTCGCAATCAATCTTCCTTAAATGTTGATTCAGATGATCCCGGTCGAACTCCTATATCTCGTAGAGAATACCGTGATAATGGAAAAACTGAGCTGCTAAATGATGTTGAACCAATAGATTATTCAAGTACAACATCAGCTCCGAAAGATTATCAATCCTTTGAATCTCGACAGCCACCAACCAACTTATTTGATGATATTTAAAGAATTGTTATTATTTATTTTTATGGCTGATTTGGAAGATCATCCTTATATTTTGAGAGATAATTTCATCTCAATAGCTGAATTTAGAGTTGAAAGTTCGTTATGAAAAAGACCAACATATTGAATAGCGGACAATTCCGAAACTCAGCTTTGAAAATTCATACACGAAATTGTTTCTTCATCATCTTATCTATTATGATTCCATTTTCTTTTACATCTTAATTCACAGCAAATCTAATTGTAACTAAGACATGATGATATGTTTGTGGCGACTTGAAATGCCTATAAGGATCATTTGGATTTTGGCTTCTTAACAATGTGTAATATAAAAACGGATAAAATGATATGATTTACATTAATTCAGTGTATTGTCAATCTATTGATAAATGTAAAAATAAAAAATATTTTGAAACTGATTCATATTATTACTATTTTATTTTATGTAAAAATTTAAAATCATCAAATTTGAACTTTAAATCAAATTTTCGAGCCTTTTACATCACTTGATCAATGAAGTCAATCAGTCAAATTAGCAAAATGAGTTATAATATGAAAAAATCTGGTTGATCAACTAGTTAGTTATACAAAGGCGATTGAAATTTCAACTTTTACTTCGATTTCCTCGAAAACTTGGGATCAGAGAAATGGATTTAGTTTTTATGCCCCGTACAAACTAACAGAGTCTAAATTTGAAAGAAATCAATTTTACCCGTTTTTGCCTATTTTGTCAATTTGTGCATGAATGTCATAATTGTGTTGATTGTGTCTATTTAGTATCAATCTACTTTTTCTATTAATTTTTACTTAAATTGCTTTGCGTCCAGGTGAATATTTGATTGATCTTCCTTAAAATTTGTCCACCTTTAATAATTTTGACTCTTATACAATTTAGTGAAAAAGTGTGAAACAGAAACTATATTATATAATTACATGGATTGTATGAATTATATTATTAAGAATGGATAAGTGAGAAACAGAAACTATGTGTTATGAACATTTTAGCTTTGCAATTGTATTTTATTTTCGTTCAAAATGATACCAGTAGAAATCAACTAAATAAATCGATTAGGAATGATATAAATAACCTCAAAGTTAAACATGGATAAAGTATGGCCTTACAAATAGTATTAATTGAATGATATTTTCATTGTAAATGCATTTCGATCAATCTCAAATTTTTTTGCTGATATTTGACAAGAAATCCGATTTTTTATTCATTTTTCTTTTCAGTTTATGACAATGTTATTAGTATTGAGATATTAACACTTAATTTTGAAAGGGCATAACAAATCACTTTAATGAAATAACGAAACAACTATGTTTTTGTTTCTATAATTTATTTTTTTCAATCATATATTATTTAAATTGCAATTTTTATAACATCTTCTTTATATTTATATATATTTAAAGTTTTCTAAATATATATGGGCACTTAAGCGTATTTTCATCTTTCTCTTTTTGTGTTTTGATTAACGAGATCAAGAGAAATGTTTTAGATCGTTATAATTTCGTTTTAGGCTGCCTCGCCATTCAATAAAAAACAAATTTGACTGTTGAAAGATGACTGATGAAGAGATGAATAGAGATCGTTAGTTTCCAATCTTTGTTCTCAATGACTTGCTCCCCATTTATGATTTAAATATCCTGACAGCTCTGACAACATATTGCCTGCAGATTGGACATTCGTTCATTCTTTTACCGCAATCGATACATGTAACTACATGGCCACATTCAAGGAGGACACAGTCGATTAGTTTCTCCATACAAATTTTACAAGCATTATCATCGTCCAAATCTTGCGATCCTGTAAGAGAAAGAGAGCAAAAATAAAATAAAATTAGTCAATATCAACATGGGTGTTTTAATCAATGCAACGCTAATGCTTACCTCTTTCTCTAGCTTTATTAACATCTCTCCATAATCTAATAGCCTTTTCAAGAAGCTCTTCCTTCTCACAGCATCCTTTGAAATCAACAAAATTGCGGGTTAGTAGCAATTTTATTTGACGAATGCTTAGATCACGAATCTGTTCCTCGCTTGTTAGATCAGCAATGTTAAATGGCTTGAAATCAGTATTGAGACTTGATGATGAGTTGCTATCATAATTGATATTTTCTTTAGAAACAGTTTCTTCATTTCGATGGGTTGAACCAGATGTAGTGGCATCCGTGGTTGAGCTATTTGAACTGGAATTACTGTCAGCTGTTGAATCAGTATTAGATGTCAGTATCAAAGGAGTATCAGTAGTGGTACTTGTATTTGTATTGGTGTTGATATTATTGGCTTCAGAGCTATTGTCTCGAGGTGGACGATTTATGTTAGATGGCCGATTAATTGGATCTTCAGTTTCAACAAAAACCCAACTTTCTTCATCTTGACGAGGAATACGATTTGTAGAATGATTTGAGCTTGTATTTGAGCTAGTATTTAAGTTATTCAAAGGGCTTGTTGGATAAGAGTTAGAGGGCGAATAGTGGCGCCGACCATGGTCACCATTGCGTAGGATTAGATCTACCAATTCAGATTTTTCCTGTTTAAAAGAGAAAGAAAAATAAATTAAAATTATTATAATTGTTAAGTAGATTGATACAAAGTAGTAACAAAATGAGGAGTTCACATTTTACCTTACAAAATCGATGAGGTATACGTTTTTTATCCATGTACCATTTAAGGTCCTTGATTCTTAATTCAAGAAGAGCGGTTCGTTCGAGAGGTTGCATATTGAAGATACGACAGCGACGACATCGGGCACGCCTAAGACTTGCGAAGAAGTCATGATTCCCATCTTTGGGGAAGCAATTAACACAGTAATCCATACTACAGTCAGAGCAGGTTTTCTGTTAGAAGAGAATGTGAATGACGGTTAAAAGAAGAATACATTTTAAATGCTTCATCTGTAATCTTTTTAGATAGAAGCTCATAGGAAGGAGTTGAAGTAAAAAAAAATGAAGATTAAAAATGTAGACTCAAATCGTTTATCATTTGATTTTACATCTTCATAAATACCAAAAGCATTTTTAAACTATCTCATAGCTTAACAGCTTTTTTGAACTATTTAATCATATTCTTATTATCTGATACAGCTAGATAGCTAATTGATATACTCTAATCGAATCAGTTTTTAGTTGTCAAATTCAGAATGGCAAAGATAACAAGCAGATAATTTTTTCTCCAGCTGATTCCTCATCAGCCAATAGTTGACTATTCATTTGATCCAAGGATAATTGTGCAAATATTAAACTCAGGGACAACCGGTACTCGAGGCGATCTCATCACTTAAATAATGATTGGATGATCATACTAATGGAAAATTGTAGCTACATTTCAATTAAAACATAATGCACGTAAGATTAGGCAGTGTTGGTTAGCTATTAATGTAAAAGGGTGCAACATTACTTCAATAGTTCAAACATCGACTGATAAACGTTTGAGTAATCAAATAAATACAGAGGTACTAATGTTTTGACACCCAAGGGACAAAGAATTCCTTCAGGAATTAATATAAAATCACCCATTGAGTCAAGTGATCTTGATAAGTGATTGGGAATAAAATCAGGGAAAAAGCCTGACAAATAGCCAGCTTATTTAAGATGAAAATATTTGAACTCATGCTAAACATAAATCATAATAGACTTGGCTCAAGTCAAATACGGATCCAGAAGGTTGAAAAAACATGTTGATAGGTTGAGGCCTTTGTATGAGATAGATTATAAAGAGAAGATGGATATTTGGAGTGTGGTAACTCTATGGTAACCAGAGATGATTTAAAATTTTTATGAGAATAAATGAGCAAACCTTTCGCTTGAGAAAATGGAATTTGGTACCACAATTTTCACAAACCATAATTAAACGTGATCCCGAAGAGGGGTTGGATCCAGTCGAGGTTGATGGCGATGGTGTTTCGTTGCGAGTAGTTGTTGTTGATGATCGTTGTTTAGGAATCAATGTTGATAAATTGGGTGGAGAGAATCGTGCGGATGTGAGGGTGTCAGTAATGTTTGCAAAATTAATACTAGGAAATTCAAAATGAAAGTTAAACCCATTGGCGGTTGTTGATGATGAAGAGCCTACAGTAGGTGATGTTGGTGAGTTAGCGTTGATTCCAGTTCCTGGATTAACCCGAGGATTACTTGGTCGACTATTGGTTGATGCTTGAGGTCCCGTTGAACGATTAAAAAATGTACTTGCATTCATCCCAAAATGGTTTAATTAATTATGGATACCAACCAAAGAGAAGAAAATGGTTTACACGTTACTCCAGTTGGTTTAGCTTATTTTGCTCACAATGTTTGGATCACAAAACCAAAGCAAAACAGCCAAAAAGGTGGAGAATATTCTCTCAGTTAACAGCAATAATAATCATTTATTCACTTCAATTGTTGAAAATTTTGACTAATTTTATTTAACCATCAACATTAGAACTCCTTAAAAACATGAGAATAGTCAATAACATGAGAGATGAGATGTAGAGAAAAACCTTAAACCAGAAATAAGAGTAGAAGGGAGTAGGTAAGCCTGGTTTATGGGGGAGAGTTGAAATCATCTATTGCTTATGGGTTGTGCAGGAGGAGCGATTAAAATAAATTAACTTCTCTAATCAATTGAATCTTTTTACAATTGATGATTGACGTTACAGGCCAATTATTTAATACTAATTAAGTATGGCAAGTCCATTTTAATTTTCAAAACAATCACAATTGATTTTACATGATGCTTTTTGTGTAAACATTTTCCACTTAAGGGTTTACCCATTAAGCTTGTGTGTTCAATAGGCTAGCCAAAGCATTTACCACCCAATTGGATGTAATTACATTCCTCGCCAAACCTGCTGTTTTAATTACGAAAATTAATAAAATAGCTATTGAATCATGATCATGTTAAACTGTGATGATAACTGATTCAAAGGTGAATTTCAATCTTATGTCTTATGGTAATGCGAAAGACTGTTTCTCGGATAATTGACTGGTATCGATCATCAGTCCAATTCCCATTTTGTATCAATGTATTCCTTTAGTTGCCATTTCGATTGTTGATTGACTGAGTGTCAATGAATTATTTGACGTAATTAAATGAAAAATTATGTATCGACGGGTTAAGGCAATGGTAATAAAGATTTATAAACAGTGGTTAATCGATACAATTGCTATCAAAATGACAGATTGTGATGTATTGAAGTAAATGTGCTTTTGTTCACAATTTCTTCTCAATCCATCTTGTTTTTTTCTTGACTAATCAAATAGAATTATATTGAACTTTTATTGAATATTAAACGTATTAGATGACTGGTTCAGCATTTTCCTGACAATTTCTTGATATACTCACGCAAAATCCTTGAAAGCTCAGAGAAAGATAAAAAGGGTAAAATAGTTTGTTTAAAGCAAGGAAGCGAAACTTGAACAACAAAATTTACTTTTCATCCTTCGGTTAATTGATTGTTATTAAGGTATAATTTCCAATACAATTTAACTATTTTTTGATAATTCCTCTACTAAAAAATACTGAAATGTATACATTGACAAACAGTTAATAAATGATTCCTAACTATTCAAGTTTTACCTTATATTGAACATTAACACTCTTAATGGTTACATCAAGATAACAGCAGCAACAACAACGAAAGTAACCACATCATTGCAAACGTAAATCTAAATTATTGTAAATTGTTTCTGGAAATGTATCTGTTCAATACCTTTTGTCTTACAAAAGATGCCTGAATGGTGATGAAACCTTGAATGTTTTGCTTGAAAATGATATCACAAAGGAAGTTAACCGAACCCAAGAAATCAGCAATTGGTGGGAAAAACAATCAACCATCTATATCTATACTGTGTAAAACCATTAGCCATTCTCGATTTGACTAATCAGTTGAAAAGAGAATCAGCAATCCGTCTGGTTGTTGGTGTATCAAGTATAGAAACAGTTTGAAATGAAAGAGGGTAAACCACGGAAAGGTGAAGTGATCTTATTCATCGGTCTTTTGGGTGTTTTGATCCTAATCATGTACGGCGCTTTAAACTATTTGGAGGATAAACAGGGCAACACTGAGGAATCCATTGTAATCACAGCTGACCAGGTTCAATCATTCCTTTGGATTCTTGGTAATTATACAAATCAACAGTCCTCTTCTCTAGACAATAATGGTACCTTGGGATATAATGAGTCAAGTGGAATACAATATTATTCAAGTGAAGTTAATTATGCCGAGAGTATTGATCCAACAGTCAACAGAACTCGGCACAAATTGGTTGCAACTATTAATGATAATAAATTGGAAAATTGTCCAACCTTTACTGGATCCAGTGTTAATCTTATTCACCATCTTTGTACTCACCCACATGTAATCTTGTTTACACCTCGAAATCCAAATCGTGTCAAGATTAATGGCCAGTTTTATTATTCCATACGTGTCCTCCGACCATTCAAGTCCACACCAAGTCTTAAGAAAGCATTACAGCGAAAAGTGATTGTCTTTGTTAAACGAAACCAACTAAAGGGAGACAACAACACAAATGACGCCATTCAATTTCAACGCGGTCATATTTACTTAGCAAGTGTTAATTTGGCAAACAACTTACCCTTTATTACAGACTGTGATCTCAAATTAGATTGGGAAAAAATGCCGTATGAGCTGAGAACCGCTGTGATACGATTTTTTGACCAACCATCCTTATGTATACTATACAATTATAAAATTAAAACAACTGTTTAATTGCAAACTTTAACTCGCAACCGTTAGTGTAAATTTTCATCAATAGATGACTCTGGTGTAGAGATGAAAACAGTCGATCATTGCGAATAGCATTTCGTATTTCGTCTGACATCGTCTGATGCAATGTTAGATGTCAGCTCTTTAGGACAGCTTGAGAGACTTGACTTAATCCATGATAACTTATACAAAAAAGCAAATTCAATGCAGACTAATTGTTAATAATAATCACTTTAAAATCATCAATTGACCTGTTAAACAGAAAAAAAATTTCCGATCTGAACTGGAGCTAATCCGATAACAAACATGCAACTCAAAATTGTACTGATTAAAAGAAACTAAAATTTTATCAAAACAATTCCAATTGCAATCGTGTGAACATTTTTATCTTGTTTATTTTAATCTTGATCATTTTGCATGAACAATTCGTCATTGCATTTCATGCTTCCATATTTAATTAAAAGCATTAAACTTGTGATCATTTGATTTTTAAGTAAAACTCTTAACTCTTACAACTCAAAGGTAAAGAATGGTAATCAGTAACTTGATAGAATTTCATTTTTCAACCAATTAGGAGACATTAATTGACCTTTTTACTGTTTTTCACTTGTAACAGTAGCGTGATTGGTGAAGACCATTGAAATTTTGGTTGTAAATTCAGTTGAAAATTTTCCTCAAAATGCCGAGACTCGTTGACAATTAACAAGCTATATTTGATTAGTAATGTGAAACGATAATCTGGATCAATTAATATTAATTGTGGATATCGATTTTGTTGAAAAAACAAAATTACAAATTGAAATGAGGTTAAACAATGAAGGTTGAAACATAAACACAGCTCTCACTGTTCTTCCTCTCCATGTTAGTCTGTCTCTAGAGCCATTTTTCTCTATTCTGGTTCCATTTTTGAGCCAATGTTTTTCGAACCACTCTATCCTCCTCCTCTTCCTCTCTCTCTCTCTTTGCTTTCTCTCATCTCTTTCGCCCTCTTTCTCATCATCATCATCATCTTCAGCTCCTTCTTCCTTTTCTCAGTTTTACCTATTTTTATTCTCTCTTTCTTTTCTATGTTTATCTTTCAGTTCTTTTTCCTTTCTCTTCACTCTCTTTACTCTCTGTTTTTACTGTTTTTACTGAATATCACGAGAAGGGAGAGAGTGAGGGAGAAGGAGCCTATGTGTTTGTGTTCTTCGAGTTTGGATGTTTCTGTTCCTTGGTTCCTCGCTGTGACTTGTTACTGTAACCATTGGTAATTTTATAAATATTATAATATTAATTTTGTGTATTTTTGTACCTTTTTACCAAACCATCTTTACATGAGACTTTTACAGTCAAGTTACTTGTAATCTAGTTTGTGAAGAAACCAACAGTTATAAAACTGTAAATTTAAATAAAACCAAAGATTAAACTGTGTTCAATGGAAACCAAGATCTCACGAAGTGCACCAGAACTTGAGTTACAGCGAGCAATTCATTGCCTTAAGGTTAGTATATTTTGTCATTTCTATTTCCACCTCACACCAATGCATTTTTAATTTTTAATTTCATCTTTTCAATAAGTTATATCATTTCTCAGAGTAGTTTCGTTCTTTTACTCATTTATCGCATCTCAACCTTTTCAGCTTCTTCTACCTTCTCTTACTCTCCCTTTTCCCTGTTTAGATTGCCCTCTTTCTCTTCTCATCTCTGTGCTATTTCACTTTTACCTAGTTTCTCTGATTGTGGTGAACTACGGCCTTCACCTTATTGTCATCAACAACCCACTTTCCTTTTATCTTTCCTTCCTTGCTTACCTATTCTGTTGGGTAATTCACCACATAATTTGAACCTAATTTTTCTTCCTTTTCTTTTCTCTCTTTGCTATTCCACTTGGTCTCCTGGTTCAATTGGGTACTGTTAGTATGCTGAAACATCAACTCTGCAACTGAAAAATGTTTACAGTTTTGTTTTAAAGCTTAATGATGGTCTTAAATCTGCTATAATCGGCTTAAAAGCTACAATACGAAGTTTACGAAGAGTAGAACAAGAAAGAGACTATTGGAAGATGAGATTCGAAACATTGCAAAAATGTGAAGATGGAGGCAATTGGCGACTAAGATACGAATCTTTATTGGAAAGAAATGTGCAATTGGAAGAGGAGCTGAGAAAAATATATACGAATGAAATGGCAATTGAAGATTTTCACAGCCGTGTGGATGTGAATTCGCATTTTTTTACTAGATCAAATGGCAATGGAAATTGTTCAAATAGCAATGTAAGTCAATCGACAACAAATCAAAGACGGGTTAATGCAATTGTTGATGGGAACGATGATCTCGATGATGTAGAGGAAGATGAATCAGATTTTGAAGATGACAGTGAAGGTGCTGGTGTTGGTGGTTTTTTGCCCATGATCGAAGGATCCTCAACTAACTCCTTTGCTGAACCTGCATTTAATCCCACGAGTTTACTAAAAATAAAATGTGAAGTTAATGAAGACGACGATAACGAGCCAGAGGAAGAGATTGAAATTAAGATGCAAGAATACGAGACTAATTCAAACCCAGGTGAAAGGGCTCTCATGATCGCAAACAATCTTAGCATTATGAATAGCGATAATAATAATAATGAGGTTGGTGTTCAGGTAGACTATGAAGCACTTCGCAATTGCCTCGCAAAGGATGCAAGACAGTGTCCTGTTTGTCCAAGAATCTGTTCTCAACGTAATTCAACTGTCCGTCATCTGATTGAAGTTCATCATCTAGACAGATCAGAGCTGATGATTCGTAAATTTCACAAAGGCTACCATTTTGCCAATTTTTCCAAATAATTTTTCTACACCAAAAGACAAATGCATGTCTCATTTATTTAATCGTATCTCAATCAAACATGGGTTGTTGTAAATTTTTCAACAAATCACATTTATTTGATTATATCATAAAAAAATATGATTGGTCAATATTTTTTTCACCAAAATCTTCATAATCTTTGTTCATTTGATTCAAAAGCACCATGTCAAATACTTACCAATTTAATTTTCTGCCATCCGCTTTATGCCTTTCTTTTTCTCTCTGCATCTTTCCCACCTATCTTCCTTCCTCCTTCCTTTCATCCCACTCGCAATGCTAAGTCAATGGCCATATAAATGCAATGGAAACTAAATACGAATGAATGGCGATTAAAGCCATTTTTTGTCTACTGACGATATCAAACAAAATAAAAATATAATTTAATCTGTGAATTCATTTTTAAACAAACAAAAAGCCAAATGAATATGTCGATTATATAAAAACAGACAAAAATCTCATCAAGCGGGATAAAAAATTGAATCTGTAAAGGAAGCAGAAAATTTAATTTTTAGATAAATTGCAAAGTTAATGTTTAAATATTTGATGAGTAAATTAATTGAATATCTCAGATCAAATGTTCTTCATATGGATGACTATCAGTTAAATTGTGAGTCAATTTTGTTCTATTGCTCAATAATCTTGAAATAAGCAATGAATTAAAAAAATATGACTAGTTTATTGTCGAGTTGAAGATAAAATGTGATCTAGCAACTTTTTAAGCATCACAATTAACCTTAAAACTCTTTTAAATTAGTGATAGTTCGATTCATCCTCAAACCTTTTACTGGATCATCATTGATATCTCAAAATTGCTGAAAATTGAAAATAAGACTTACCTTGATAATTAAGATCCTTCACTGATTGATGAGCTACCCAGTTAAAAGTGTAAACAATTTATGATACAAATTATTTTATAAAACAGAGCTTGGTTTTTCATAAAAATTTATAAATCAATAAGAACTTTGGGAATAAATAGGTTTTGGAATAATAAGTCTACATATACTGGAAAAAACATCAATCACAAATGTTTCTGCAAAAAAATGTTTTGTAAAATGATTATTAAATAATATAAGTTTTAATTAATTAACAGTGTCTTCATTAACAGCACCTCGATGTTGTTGCAACAGGATTGCAGTTCTCATATAGATTGGTCCACCTAAAGAGGATGAAACAAAAAAACGTATTAAAGCAATTTATAGAACAGTTTCTGATAAAAGATCGCATCAAACCGATAATATAGAAATTAAAATCGGCGAATGTAAAATTACCTTGATTTGCTGCATGAGCTGGATGAATTGGTGGTTGGAAACACTTAACGTGTTCAATTGTGTTTCCTTCGCTTGATGGCGAACTAAGGTATTTGTTTAAAATGGAAAATATTTGAGAGTTTAGGATTTGAAACCTTCTAATACGATCAACCATTCGTTTAAGCGGTATTCCCCGAACAATTTGATCTTTACCATCAACTCTTTGTACTTTGAGTAAATGATAACTGAAATCGAGTGTCTCAAATCGTCTCTGTTGACCTAATAAAGATATCATAACACAACCTGCCCAATTCAGACCTTCGCCAAATAACTGTTCAACTGTCCATTCACCATCTCCTACTGGAATTGAATAAACAAATTGTAAAGCTGACCAGAGACGATGAAATTCAATACATTCGTCAACATAGATAACTCCATTTGGTGGTGGCCCATCTGTTGGTCCAATCCACCGGGCAGCTTGCTCTTCATTTTCAACCATAATATCTCTAATACGACCAAGAACAGCTTCAAATATTGATAAACCACAAATTAACCGTTCTTTGGTTAATAGATCACCTTCCCTGGCAATTTGACCTTGCTTGTTGGATCCAAACCGATCAATATTGGCAACTACCTGTAAAGGTGCGTATTTGGCTTCCATTCTTTTAATTTTAGTCTCTGGTTTCTCTTGGTCTTTACAATAGGGACGTGGGAAAATGTTTTGAAATGGTGCGGCTTGGACGAGATCACAAACTTCTTCTTGAGATAAACTTTGTTCAATTAAAAGACAAAAGATGACTGCGTTACCGATTTCTCTGAAACACTGGAAAAGCTCTGTTTTAACATCAGGATATTGAATAATGTCACGAAGTTGTGCTTGGTAAAACTCCAATACACCACTGGAGCCGTACTCATATAGAGGTAATTTACATAATTTTGGCATTGCTTTCATAAGTGTTTCAACATATTGAGCAATGGTTCCTTGAATACCAGTTTTCATAATTCTAAGCAGTTCTTCAATGATTACCGCTATTCCTTGATAACCCAAAAGACGGCACATAGCTCGGAAATGGGGAGCACCAATGAAACTAGAATATTGACCATAGATTCTTCCATATGCCACATTCAACGCCTTGGTACCATAAAAATAGTAGGCCGGTTGTGCATTAGAATTATGAGCTGATCTTTCACGATGATAATCCATGTGAGGGGCAAGATTTGGTGCTTTTGATGGAACTCTAACGAAACGATTAGTTGATGAATTGTAACAGTAGGTAGGCAGGAAATTGTAATATAAATCAAGGAAAACGTGAAGAGTAATGCTACCATAAGGAGCGGAAACATTATGATTTGCCTCTTTGAATAGTGCATCAAAATCGTCAAGTTCAACATGCTCAGACAGTAATTTATGAGTGTATCTGTTAATTGATAGCAATCCTTCAAGCTCAATGATACCACTGATATCACCCAATTCAAATTTACGGATGGCCAATTCCAAGCTTTTCAACATATGAGCATTCAATCTTTGGGCAATTAATCTATTTAGATCAATGGTTCGACCAAGAAGTTGAAGATGTCTCTGTCTCATTAAAGTCTCATATCTGTTCGCTTGAGGCCAAGCAAACTTGATTCCATGAATTTGTGCTTCACTACGGAATCTTTTATCCAACAATATGGATCCAGCGAGATGTTTATAGTAAGCGAAAATTTGCTCTGAAAGTTTGTAGACAAATTGATCAAAACATAAATTAACTTCAGCCTCAACTTCATCGTAAAGATATTGCTTGTTAAATTTGTAAAGAGCGCAGTGAGCAGCATCGTTGTAAAGATCTAAAGGATAGAGAACACATTCCATCATAGAAGGGTCTTTAGTATTTAATATTTGATCAGTCAAGATCCAGGGCAGAGACATCTCAATAGGAAACTGCAAAGGAAATTTAATAAACATTGCATTATGTATCAGTGTAATCGGAACTGTTTATATGATTAACTCGATTAAATATATTTTCTGTATTTACCTGTATTCTTTTGCCCATAGTCATTTCAAGGTAAAATTCTCTGTACCAAAGCTGTGACAAATCACAACATTCTCTGAGAGTTTCTGTTAATTTTACAAATAAAGAGAATAAACAAGGCGTGAATATATAGGATATAAATAAATAAACTGAATAAACTTACGACTGAAGTTAAGCAAATAATTCCAGAAAAAGCTATTTTTATGAAACTGATCAATAGCTAAAAGATAATTTCCGTCAATGTCTTTCCTCAAAGTCCGCTTTCCACTGGCTGCTTTATCAGAAATAAGACTTTCCAACATGGTTCGAACCATGTAGAGTTGAGTACTTCCAGGGCCAACATTTCGTCGTGGAACTTGCATATCAACTTCACTCATTGAACTTGAAGATAATTTGTTTCCCTTTGTCAATGGATCTTCAAATCCTTTAGCCCAATCTGCACAAGTATCCCGAACAGAAGACAGTAAAGTGCGGACTAAATCTTTACGATTTTTGATAGCTTTACGAAGAGGTTCTCTCAAGGTTTTCTGAACAAAATCTTGTAGCTCAGCATAAATTGAATAGCCGATTGCATCAGTAAAAACAGTTTCCATTCTATGCATAAGCACTTGTAATCCTTTAACCATAGCAATCATTTCAATGAGAGCAGCTTTTTCGTCTTCACTATAATTATATCTAGTAACTCTTTCATATTCTTCAGCCTCAACTGGACAGTCTTTGTTTTGATGATGATCAGTAGGGTTCATTAGTTTCCACGAATAAAGTTCCATGATATGAGATGTCCATTCAGATAATAGTTGAAGACCTCGCAAAGCAAGGCAAAGGAGTTGCTTGTTTTCTCCATCAGATCTTGGCGCTTCTTTAACAGTTGTTGTGACTTCATTGGAATAACGAGAAAGCTCGGATATATAAGATACATAATCTTCCCTGATACCTGATAAATGTTGAAGTATATCAGCCTGTGTAGATTGAACTTGTGTATTGGAGCTTAATGGCCATTTAGTTGGGTCGTAATTTGGAGTTTTATTGATATATGTAAGTAGAGGTGAAATTTGCATATCCCCAAAAAGAGGAACCATTTCAAGAGATTTAAATATTTTATCGATTCGACTTATGTTGATCCGGCGTTTAGTGTCCAGTTTATTGATGTTACAGTTTTTAGAGTCTTTAGAGTCTAGGAGAAAAAGTCCAAAGCCGATTACCTGCAAAAGTAGATTCATAGAGAAGAAAAATCATTAGATAATCACAAATTCGTAAACATTCCCAGCTTGAAAATTACCTTAACTAACATATGTTTCTCCCAAGGAAGCATATACATTTTATTTTCATACATGTGAGTAGCCAAATTAATGACATCGGCAAGTAACTCTTCATAACCAGAAATTGTTTCTAGCTGTTCTTTCAATGAGTCACGAATTTTATTTCTCATCGCCAAAAAAAGGGACAATTTTTGACTTTCTTGTAATGAATGTGAGTCAGATAGTTGTTTAAGAGATTGAGAAGCTCGTCGATATGCAGCATAGTCATTTTTCACAGAAGCTTTGATATTCTTAAGCTCATCAAGTACAGCTAACATATTCAAAAATTTTCCAAGAGTCAATAGGTAAGTTTCAGATACGAATGTGTCATGTTTACGTTTTCCGGAGCTTGAGTCTGGACCTGAACCTGGTCCTTGATTATTATTAGGTGACATACACAGTCTTTTAATTTCAGAGCAAAATCTTTTTATAGCAGCTTCTTGAAAATACATAAAAGCCAACAACTTATCAACCTCAGGACCTAATACTTCAACTGTCTTTTCAATCATTTCCAGCCTATTGGGTTGATCTTTGTCTTTAGGTTGAGGAATGGCTCGTGAACAACATCTCCAAGTATATAGCATTACAGCATGCTTTTCGCCTGAAATACGAAATAAGTATGAGATATCATACATTTTTTCTTAGAAAATTTTACGAAACTTTAATAACATCTTAACATGAAAAACTTACCTTCTTCCAACATTTGATTTAATTTGGACTGATAGTTGGCTTCTTCAAGATATTTAGCCACACCACAAACAAAGGCATTTTTATCCTCAAAATTTGTATCCAAATTGAAATGATGGACAATTGATTTGGCTTGTCCCTGAATACAATGTTGTTCATCTGGTAGATCAATTTCATCCAAAACTTCAACATTAGCAATGGCATCAGAGAGGCTAACTTTGGGTCCCTCCTTGTTATTCAATTCGTCCATTTTACAATAGACCACAATCTTAAAAAATTTACAGAAAGATGATTTCTAAAGATATTTAACAAACAATATCAAAAAAATTATAAAATGAAAACACACCCAAATGGTTTAAATGACAATCATATTTTTACCAAAACATTTTTTATCAAGATTTATTTTAAATAAAATTACACCGAGGCGCTACCAGCATCTCTGATGGAGTAGCTTCATTCGCCCTGAGCCGCGAATTTTGAGATTACCTAAGAAGCGAGCAATATCTTGTCCTTATTAGTGCAGTGAATAAATCTGATTATATTTTTTAATTTAATCTCTCAATAAATCGCAATCCATCCAAAAGAACTAATATGACATTTGATAAAAAAATTATTATTTTACAAGCTGTAAAAATAACATATTGTATTGCTATTCTTACACCAACTCACTAATATTGTGAACTTCACAGTGTGAGGATTTTAGTGTTTACTTCTAAATTAGTTTCTATCAAATCTAACAATTATTAATTTTTGTGATTAATAAACTTGATAATCTATATGCAAGTTTATATTTGTTTGGTTTTTACACTTAAATCTCAATGTTAATTAGCTCATGTTAGCTTAATTTATTGTGTAAATACAGTCAAGGGTAAAAGTTAAGCAGGCTGATAGGTTTCAAACGGAAGACGTTTATGAATGGTTAGTTGGTTACCACCAAATTAAAGATTTACTTGGACAATATATTAACAAAAATGATACCATTTTAATTTTAGGTAAGAACACTAATACATTCTAATGATTATGTATGCTTTTGATTTCAATTTATAGCTTCATTACCAAATGACATGTAATGTTTTAATTTAACAAGCTTATATGCATTTAAAATTAAAATGGGTTGCAATTTTTGTTATAGGATGTGGTAATAGTTTACTAGGTGAAAAGCTTCGTAGAGATGGATTCAATTTAATATTTTCAATGGATTATTGTGAAAATGTAGTCACTAATATGTCTAATCATTGTGATACTTGTAAACATATTAACTGGTTGACCATGGACGCTACCAATATGCCAATTAGAGATGAAACCTTTGATATTGTTCTGGAAAAGGCGACAATTGATACTTTTTTAGTGAATGAGAAAGATCTTTGGACATTGTCAGCGCCAACAATCAAGATTATTGACCAAACTTTGAGTGAAATAAGCCGTATTTTGAAACCAAATGGAAAGTTCATTTCATTGTCATTTAATCAACCTCATTTCCGTGGCCTTCTTTATTCTAAAGATAAATATGATTGGAGTATTCGTTCAATAGATACTATTGGAGATGATTTTCATCATTATTTATATGTTGTTCAAAAAGGGTTACCCATTTCATGCTCAACTAGTTATTATGTATATGAGCCTCCAAAGATCATTGAAACAATGGCTACTTGTGATGAGTCAAAAGAGAATGATATATTTGACATCAATTTATAAGATTCAGGTAAATAATTTAAAATACAGAAACATTAATTAAATTCCAAATCAAATTGATTCGATTGGTGAAATCTATTTAAAATAAATTGTAATTGCAATTTTCGGTAACTTATAATAGAATTTGAAATTCGCTCTCAATCTTATTAGTTCACAATGTTTAATATTGTTCTCCACAAGATGCCACTACTGCATAGCATGCTTCAACGGATTTCAGATGTTCATCCAAAACCTCTTACTCTTAGAAATCTAATTGTTGTAATTTCTTCAAATTAGCCTTTAATTTAATCCTAGAGTTTAAAATATGTTCTGATTATTTTATTAGTTTACTGGCTTCAACTCCTTTGTCTAAAAAATGGAACGAGAGCTTTACCATTCAAATGCCATGCTTGGCCTTAATCCTTTAACGGATGATAGTGAAGCGATGCACTTCCATTTTGGTAAACTTACTGGTGATTCCAAAGATTTTTTCAATTGTGATACTCCAATTGGCCTAGATTATCCCGATAGATCAGCTTTACAACCTATTTGTGTCCATTTTGATAGCGGTGATGGTACCAATGATGGAGAAAAGGCTGATGAAAATGTCGAATTGCTTGACATTTCAAGTAAACGTTTACCAGTTGACTTGGGATTCAATGGCCTGGATAAGACTACTATCCAAATTAATGGTAATTACACGAGTAGCCAACTCGTGGTCAATTCACCGCCTACTTCTGAGTCAGGATCTGCCGAATCCAATGATTATATAAATTTACAGTGCAATGATAATTATATGAGAGCTGATTATACCAATCAAGTTCCATCCGTTGACAATGAAAGAGTATTCTATAACAATAATCATCTATACTATTCAAATCATTACCATGAACAACCTCATGATAACTTAAACCATCATCAGAGTCACCAGAGTCATCAGATTTATCATCGAAATCATCTTAACGTAAATCATACCACTCACCAGCAAAATTATCATATCCATTATCAAAACTACCAACAGCAGCCATCAACACCAATACACTATTATCAACATTATCAGCCACAAGCTAAACAACAGTCATTTCAACGCTACCATCACCGTAAACACACACCTCATAAGGCGCCTCAAAAACCTATACAAAAGCCTCCACAAAGCCCACCAAAAATTACGAAACTTGTGAAACATAAACAAAGACAACAGACTCAAACATCAACACAAGTACGAACTCCGCCACAGCCACAACCACAGCCACAGTCACAACCTAAGCCGCAATCCAAATCACAAGTTAAAGTACAACCTTCGCTTAAACGCAAACACTATCGACGTAATCACATCAAGGCTCTGGAAGAGAAGCCAGTGCTTAATCAACCCGTTGTACAAAAACCGAAATTGGGACGACCCCGTAAATACAATTATTCGCCTCCCAAACCTGTCAAATTCAGGTCCAATAGGTTGAGACTTAAAGTACAATCGGAAAATTTAGAATCGGAACAAGATTCAGAAAGTATACCGGAGTCGTCTAAGAATTCGGATGCAAAAAAAGAGTCAAAGAAAGAAAAAGAACAGGAAATTTTGCCTGTTGAATGGGATCGGCCAGAAAATTTGAGCTTTGATCGCAACAATGTTTCAGATTTTGAAAAGGCTTCATTGCCGGAGTTTTTTGCTGGAAAATATGACAGAACTCATTTCCACCCGAGTCAATATTTGCAAATACGCAATATATTCCTCGATGAATGGGAGTCTAGAAAGCCAAATACTGTGCGTTTCCGCGAGATGATAAGGGTACACAAAGGAATTGGAAATGTTGTCAGCTTTTCTCGAGTTTGCAAATTTTTGACCGCCATTGGTGCAATTAATGATGTCGATAAAGACGACACCATTGTAACTGGGAACAAAGATGAAGATAGTTGCAATTTATCTCTTCCATCGATTGAAGATAACCAAGATAACCAAAACAAAGTCAATGACGAGGAGTCTGAGGAACCTAAAGAATCTCTTCAAGCTCCATCATCGTCATCATCACCATCACCATCCCCATCACCTCCATCTTTATCTTCCTCTACAGAAGCTAATACTTTATCACCTTCAGCAACTCCATCTGAAGACAGTATGCTTCAAACAGCAGCTCCTCGTCCAAGGAGAGGTCGTAAACGTAAAAGTTATTTCCTCAATGAGATGACTCGACTTGGTATAGATCCTGCACAAGCTGGTTTCCCTATCCCTGAAAATGATAAAGAGAAAGATGATGTTCAAGAAACAATTAATGAAAATGATGATAAATCTAATGAAATGGATGATCTTCCCGAAAGTGTACAATCTTCTCCGTAATAGTCTACTCCATTCGAAGAAACATTTTTCACTATCATCATCATCTTCACTTTCATTGTCATTTCCGAATTGTGCTTCATGCACTTTCATTGCTGATACCTCGATTAATCAGCAAAATGACCTCACTTAATGACCTACTTTATGTAAAATTCAAAAATATTCGTCCATCTATCTTTTTTTCACCTTATGAAACAAAACTCAAAATGTTATCTTTTTTTCTCCCTCTTTTTGGCCATCATCAATCGTGAAAGAGTATATTTAGTTTGTTAACAATGTAAAAGTATTGAAACTAATTCTCCTTTTTTTTGATGGTCAGGGATATCATAATATTAAATAAAAATAAGTTAAATATTTTATCCTTGGATGTATATCCCTTAAATCTATTTGTATTTAAAGAAGACTTTAATAAATACATTTAAATGTCATATTTTCCATAAATTGTTGCTTTTTTCAAAAATCGGAGAATTAGAAATCATCTCAAAAAAATCTCGAATATTACAAAACTAAAAAAATAATACAGATTTTGGATTTAAAATAAGGATAGAAGCAATTATTGCCCCGATGATGTTTTGAATGAGCCTTGAACAAGAACAGTCAAAATGTACGTAATTGACAACTGAGCTTCGATGATAAAATGTTCAGTAGTTTTGGTGTCTTTCATCACCATAAAGAACATTGTCACACTAACTACGAATTTTCAGTTTATCTAAAGATAAACATAAAGATGATCGTTCATTCACATTGTAAATACTCAAATCCTTTGACTTATCAGTTTAAAATTTAAACCATGAAAATAAAGACCAATGGATTGATGGAAAGAGTCAGGATCGGGAAAGAAGTTTAGAGAAGGTCATTAAAGATACAAAGCTCGAATGGTTAAACTGATTAAACTGATAAGAGTATACAATATTTTTAACCTTCAAGTGAGAATTGGCGGGTTTGTAGCAGCATAAAAATGAAGTTTATTTGAGCAATGAAAAAATTCCTCTGATCGATAATTTTTGATAAAGTCGCGATAAAAGTTCACTTAGATCGCTTTTTGTACAGTTTGAAACCGGATTCTGGAATCCAGTATGAACATTCTGGATTAGAGTCTGATCAGAGATCACTAGAGTTATCAAATCTTTGAGTATCACAAGCCTCATAATACTCGTGTATAAAACACGACTCTTAAAAAAGAAAATTTTGTTTGCTTTGCCTTTTCTCCAATTCTATTATCGCTATCATTGACCAAAACCAAGAAAATACTTTACCAGAAAGTTAAATATAATCGCTAGTTTTGCGCTTATGATTTGTTTGTTTTGAGAAAATTCATAATGATCTAGTGTGTGGTAGTTAAAATGCTCCACGAAACATTTATGTTTTTTTCAATATGATTCTTTGAAAAAACGGAATTCAGAACATCATACATGTATTATTCAAGGATGATGAAATTGGGAAAAGATCATATTCGAGGAAATAGGGAAGCATGGTAAGATTTTCAAAAATGAGAGAAAGGTAAAGTAAAGTTACATTGTTTGGTTTGATCCATTTTTGTTTTTTGCATAAACTAGATACTAAAGTGATAATTGATCTTCATAAAGAAAATGATCAAAAAGATGAACGTTCTCTACGTGCTCGTCTTAATCTGGCTTTGCCGTTTTCTTCTCTTTCTTTCTCCTCTATCTCAGGTTCTTCTTCCTCAGGATGCGACATGGATCACCCGAATTGTCCATAAATGTAAGAGACGCATGTTTTGCTTATGATGAAACCTTTTCCCATATTAATGTGTACTTAATTGACCTTCTCTTTATTTAATTGTATTAGCTTGTGAATCTAGAAAGACAAGCCGCTGTAGTGTATGGCTAGTATGAAGGTAATCCACCAATTCATCAATATGAAAATGATCTGGAAAATGAAATATTGCCAAAATTATCTTTACTATGCCGATCCTGAGGACAGAGTATTATCAGGTGTAATGGAGTCTTGGTATCGAGCTGAAGAGAGGAAATACAATTATGATGATCCAGTTGCACCAAAGGATAATCTTGATTTTGTACGGATTGTTTCCAAAACAACACAGCAATATGGATGTGGCCAAGCTCGTGATCGTGGATCTGGTGGTGTTGTTTTTACTGCTACCTGGAAATGAGCAAGAAAATCAAGTTACACATTTGATGGTTTCACTTCTGATCAGAGTTTAAAACAAAGGAAAAATCTTTTTGTCTTTTAAGAGAATCATTTCCAATACGTAAAATCACATTTCTTAATGATTACATTTATTTCCGCAATTATATTGTAAAATTGACTATAAAAATCAACTGAATAACTCTCAACTGAAATATTTGAAAAAATCCTGCAAAAACAGTGTATACTTCAATGAAATCTGGAATTAAATTTAACCTTTCTAATCTTATTGTGACAAATGTGTTGTATGAAAAAACTCAATTAACGACTCTATTCAAATATAAATTTCCTTGCAAATTAACTATTCTATTTATTGACGATTATTTTTATTGTTAACGAAAAAAATTAGTAATTTTACCTTTCAAAGTGTCCATCAAATAAAGCTTTACATTTAAATGCGTAGATATTAATCAGGATTGCATGGTGAGTAATTAATCAATGTTTCACTTAAATCTTTGTTGAATCACTTATTCAGGATTTTGAGCAACATCATCTTCATAAAAGGTTCACTCAATTACCCTTGTTTTCATCACGGTAACCTAAACCCTCTAAAAAAGGATTGAATAATGCTGTATATTAATTTTATGTGGTACTAATGTGGTTGAAAGTGACAATCCTTTACCAGTTAAGATAATCAATCAGTAAATCAGGTCAAATACCAAGGTCAAAGATGAATAAACTATTGAGGCCAGAGTTGGGTCTGTTAACTTTCACATTCAACAATTGACATCTCATCTTGTCCACCCATTATGATGTATATTTAAACATTTGGTTAAGGCAGAATGACCATCAAGTGTGCTGGGCCTGTTGATAGCTGAGGCAATTATTAGAATCAGATTAAGATCAATTTAGTGAAATAAATAATGAATGTGGGTCGTTTTTGCAGGACAAATTTTTTTTGTGTTGTTTCACTGACAAATTACCGATGAAGGATCTTTAAATAGAAAATTTAATCTTGCTCATTAGTTTCAACTTGATCTTGATCGTTTCTGATTTTGATCTGTTAATCTTTTTTTTCTGTTATAAATAATCAGTTTGAATTAGTGGTTAAAAAGGTGACTTTGTAAGAATTGGAACTTACTTGATAAGTTGATGTTGACTAGGAGGATGGAGATGAAATTGAGGGAGCAAAACTGATTGTAACTCATCAACGTTAACAACCAGTGAATTGCAAACCAAACTTTAGTCTTACTTTCGACTCGAGATAATTGATGTAATAATTGTTGCTATTGATTGAAAATTTGTTAAGTTTGTCCATAAAGTATCATTCCTAGCCATTATTGCTTTCTGTGTTTTTGCCAGCTAAAAGCAATGAATTTAACGGCAAGATGGATTTTCAATTTGTTAACAACTGTCATCTTCATGTTCAAACTGTTTGCCAGTGTTCAATCAGTGATTGAATCAGAGGAGGATAAAGTTGTAAGCTATAAAGGTTACTCCGTTATTCGTGTTGTACCAAGAACAAAAGACAGCTTCAGTTATTTAACCAATTTAACATACTCCAAGGTAAGTTCACAATCAATTTGCTTCTTTTTCATACGCTTTGTCCATCAAATTTATAATGCTTTTCATGTGTCAAATAGGATGTTAGCTATTGGTTGGAGCCATCCTCGATTGCTCGTCCAGTTGACATAATGATTAGTCCGAAGAAGAAGGCCTCGGTCATGAAAGGCTTGTTTCACTATGGAATGCACCCAAAAGTACAAATTGAAGATCTTGAACGGTAAGTCATCTGCAGCCTGTAAATGTCAAGGAAACTGTAAAAATTGAGAATTATTTGAATGGGTTAGGTTTTATGGTTGGTTTTTGTGTCTCATTTCAAGCGTGGTTGCTGACGAATAATACCAATCATCTCTTTTTTGTATTAGATTAATTTCCAGGAGCAAGAACGACAGTGATGAGATATCTGCACGAGTGGCTACATCGGAGGAATACTTTTTCAGCTCATATCGTCGACTGGATGAAATATACAACTATCTGGAGGGTCTTCAAAGTCGTAATAAAGATACCATCAAGATTGAAAATTTTGGTAAATCTTGGGAAGGAAGAGACTTGAAAGTGGTTAAGATAGGTGCCAATGTTAATTCGTCACCACCAAACAATTCAAAGCCAATTATTTACATTCAAGGAGGAATTCATGCTAGAGAATGGATTGCACCGGCAACAGTTGTTTACATTGCTACCACCTTGGCTAATGAAGCTTTGGATGAAACAGATAAAAGATTAATTGAATCATTTGAATGGTGGCTGGTTCCTTCCGCTAATCCTGATGGTTATGAATATTCCCATACACATGTAAGCATAAAATATCTAGATAAACATCAAATTAAAACAAATTTAATGATAAACTCTTTTTGTTTCTAAAGAACCGTAACTGGAGAAAGACTAGATCAAAGCAAGTAGGTATCTGTAGAGGAGTTGATCCAAATCGTAATTTTGGATTCTATTGGGGAGGTAAGGATTCAAAGTGGATTGATAGTCTGTGACGATCGGATACATTTCAGAAAATAAAACATCATCTAATTTGTTGATGTACTTTTTATTTTCAGGTAAAGGTACCAGTGGGGATACATGTAGTGATATTTTCAGAGGGTCCAAGCCATTCTCAGAACCAGAAACTAGAGCAATTAGAGATTTAGTCTTAGGTGCTTCACCACGAGTCCTCGCTTTTCTCGATATGCATTCCTATTCTCAGGTTTGGCTTTATCCATGGGGCTATGGAGAGCAACTTCCTGATGACCATCAAGATTTGGTAATTATCCATTGATATAATCAAATAACCTTTGATGCTATTTGATTTACATTTCCAAGTTTTTCAGTAAAAAAGCTAAAATATAATGCTTCTCTTTTTGGGTTATAGCATCAAATGGCTAAATTAGCGACAACTGCCTTGGCCAAAGTTCATGGAACCCGTTATCGGGTTGGAAGTACAACGAGATTGCTATGTAAGTAGATTTAATTGTTATTAGCCATTATTTACTACTAGTAATGTTTTTGGCTACCATTTGACATTAGATGCTGCTGCTGGTGGAGCTGACGATTGGGCTAAAGGGACAGCCAATATCAAGTATGCTTACACTGTTGAACTGAGGGATGATGGACGATATGGTTTTGTCCTTCCATCTCGATACATCATACCAACTGGTCAAGAAACTTGGACTGCATTGAAAGCTTTCGCTGATGGTCTGAAAGAGGAATTAGACCATCCCAAGATCAAATCGGCCTAAAACCGTCAAATCTCATAATTTAAGTTATTTTAACTCATGTTGTTTTTTTTCCAAGTAACTTCACACAATCTCATTCCTATATCGATTTAAATTATTAATAAATCTTAAAGTTAATTTAAAGTGTTCATTATTTTCAATCCAATTTGATAATTTAATCGACTGGACTACTGGGAAAGCTGAGTGACCCTTTTGATGAAATATTAAAAAATCGCCCGACTAGTCTTTCCATACAATTTATGATGACTTGATGTTATTTTATTGACAAGTTGATTGATTAACAGCTTTTCAGGTTTCTCGATGTTTCTGACATATTTGTTTCTCATGCTGGCAATTGTAATTTAATCATCAATTGAGTTTAGATTAAGCACCACTTGAATGTAAAACTTCAATTACAAGAAAAACTATCCTTTAATCATTAGACACAGTCTTGTAATTTGATCAACTTGAAACAATTAACATAGAAAGCATAAAGTAATGTGACTTACCAAGTCATGTTATTAATATTGTCTTCAGATATCAATCAGGAATTATAACCATGGTAGGCATTTTTTTATTGCTACAAAAATATGTATTCAGTTTCCTAAACTCAATCTATTCAGTTTGGTTTGCAAATTGAACTGAAATTAATGAGAAAAACGGAAAGATTAACAATCGACATCCTTATTATTTCCACTTAAACCATTTTTGTATTTCCATTGCATCGACAAAGTTGACATTAAATACAGTTTCAATTTATGTGTACATTTTAATGTTTATGAAAAAAGTTGATCAACAGAAGGCAAAAATAAATTTGCTAGATGAACAAATAAAAGCATAGATTTAACGAGAAAAATCATTTACAATTTAAATCAACTGAATTTCACTGATTTCTTTCAGTTTAAATTCATCTGAAAAATATCTAAATAATGGCTGCAATTCAATGTTTGTAAAGCAAAGTTTACCAATTTTACCAATATTGATCAATTACAATCATTTCACTTGAACCAGTTCTTTAAATAGGAGACAATGATTTCCAAAAAGCAAGCAATGGTTCCTAAAAAGGATAAAATATTTGGTAATTAGACGGAAATGTTTGTGTTCTTTGAGTATTTTCAGTGAAAATGGCTTGTAAAGTTCATTGGGCGATCAAAAAATTAATTGTTGAATTTGCTTTTTGGAGTTGGTCTTATTAGCACAGAGGTGTTAAGAGTAACACTTCTTGCTTATTGGAAACCATTGTCTCCTATTTAAAGAACTGATTCAGTCCAAGTTGAATCACATAAAAATGAAAGCATCATTTTTAAGGCAAGGGTTGTGATTAATATGCAAGTAAAGTTGAATAAATGTATTTCATTGTCCTTTGACCTTCCTTTAGATACCTTCGAGTGATCAAAATAGAGGCGAGGGAAGAAGAGAGGAGTAGAGTGGAGTGGAGGACAATGAAGAGTACAGATTGGGGGATTTAAAGTCCTGCTTTAAAAGGAACCCGTGAAAACCCATTTTTGGGTCCAACAAGAGAAATATTGTCATGAGAAAGCAAAGAAACCTTGAGAAAGTCAACTAACCAAACTTATCACTGATTTGGAATTGATAGTCAGAATTCGAATCTAAACAGTCCAAATTATTTCACCAACGATTGGTTGGCATTTGGTTATTAAATTGATTAAATTAGCTTTTGCCTCTGTTGTATAATCTTTATTCATTAAGAAATGCAAATTACCAAAGCCTAAGTCCTAAGCCTTCAATGGCTATGATCAGCAAAAAGACTGGCCTGTTTCTGGTTAATTCACGCCTAAACCAGGAAAATCCCTCTCTGTCGTTTTCTGGGTCTCTATTTTTCTTTCTTTTCCAGTTTCTACATTGTCTTCTTGCTCTCTTGGTTGTTTCCTTTCTCCCACTCTTTCTCTCTCTCTCTTTTCTCCCCCTCGCTCCTTATACCAGTTTTCAACATATCACAACAAGAAGATGCTTTTTAAAAGTTGAGCAAGTTTCTGAGCTTTCTTTTTTTGTTTTTTCACCTTTTATATCATTAATAAGCTTTTAATACTGTGTTTTTTGAAGAATTAAAATTTTGACCATGATTTAAGTAATTTAGTTTAATCGTAATTGTGTTTAGCTTCCTAACCATTAAAACTTCATGGCAACATTTACAACATGTACCAATCCAAATGATGTCATTGTAAAAGCTGATTTTGTTTTTGTCCGATTTCATCAGGTATAGATAATTATTTGGTGTAAATTTTGCTAACTGCTGATGAAGGCATTACTAAGTGCTAATTGTAACTCACATTGTGTCACACTGTATTACATTTTCACAGTAACCTATCGATCTTGTGTCTTCCATTTTGTGCTTTGTGTCTTAATGATATCCAGCTAAAGTAGCCTGTTAATGTTACCCGTTAATGTAAAAATAATGTGTGGTTGACTCGCTAATGAAATCTCTCTTTTCTTTTCTTTATTCAAGGTGTCGCCAAAGTAATTTGTTCATCTATGTGCCTAAAAGACTAAAAATTTGTTTATACTGATCTTGATCATCTCTACATCATAGTCATCTCATTGTTCCGTTCTGTTAACTTAACACCAAGACCAAATTCAATCATGTTGAGGCTTCTTTGTTTCATCTGCCTTTTAGTGAACATTGCTGTAGCCCTTGATGGCCCTAATACTTGTATAGAGGAACATGAAGTTCCAGTAGTGGTCAAAGTACCAGCCAAAGTTCCACAAGAAGTTACAACATACAAATGGTGTGCAAAGATCCCACCGAGATGTAAAACGAGTAAAATTGTTCAAGTTGATGGTTATAAAGAAGAGATTCATTATGAAAAGAATAGAACCCGTGTTTGTTGTAAAGGTTATGCGGAAGCTCGCAACAAATGTGTACCCGTATGTTCAAACGCTTGTCTTCATGGACGCTGTATATCTCCAGAAAAATGTGATTGTGAACCGGGCTATTCTGGACCAAATTGTGATTCAAGTAGGAATTTATTTTATCTCTAAATCTTCACTTGTCATCCATCATTTGGTTATAACATTGCTGTAACAACTTTTACTCAATCCTCTGTAACCAGAGCTACAGTTTTGTGTGTTTATGTTACTCTATTTGTCATCCTTAATTGATGATGGCTTTTGTTAGCTAATTTGAGATTATTCTTTCCTCTTCCTTTTCTGCCCTCTCCATCTTGAGATCCAATGAGAAGCCAAAATAGAATATGATATCAAACTGTGAACTTTTCCGTTCACCCAAGATCAAATTCAGATACAAAATTTTTATCCATCTCTCTGTTAAATAAGTGTTATCAACAAGTATCAGGAGGTAAAGAAGGCACAGTTACATATGGCATTCTCATTGAGACACATGTTTTTGCATTAGTCGTTAACACTTTAATTGATTCATTGTCAGCTCATCTGTCAGTTTTATTTAATTAAAATACATTTTCTAGATTCAATGGATGCTATAGATTACTCATAACCAATCATCCATCAATTTACGATTTCAGTAATTCACCTTTTCAAACATCAAAACAAATTTTATCTCCATTGTCTTTGAATGATCGATTTCTTTATCAAATACTAATCTTTCTTCGTTTCTGTTTCTTTTTCTTCTTTTACTATTATCTACATGATAAACAATATGCATACCGTGATTGTGTCTGGCTTCATGGATGGCATAAAATAGAGCACAGTAAGTTTTGATAATGATAATGCCCTGAATCTGATTTTTCATTACTCTTGTGTAGTGTGTTAGCAAGCAATTTACCTTGAAGGCTTATCCCTATTTCCTCCTTATTTTCCCTCTCCTCCTTATTTAGCCTTTGCGAGTTAGTCTTGACTACTTTTTTGCTTCATTTAGCTATAGCTCATCTTTTTAAGATTTACTCTAATCTCTTTTTTTCTCTTCTGTTCTATTTTTTCACTCAAGCTTGTCCCAAAGGTAAAAAAGGAAAAAATTGTGACCAGCCTTGTTTATGTAAAAACGATGCTCGATGTGATGCTGTTTCGGGAGAATGTATCTGTCGCCCTGGATGGACTGGTCAAGACTGTACAGAGCCTTGTCCACCTGGATATCATGGATTCCGTTGCCTCGATGAATGTCGATGCTCAAACAATGCAGATTGTGATCCTGTGAATGGTAAGACGAGCTCGGTCAAATGGTCTACGTAATCTTCAAGATTTAAGCTAGAAATTTTTAAATCGGTTTTCCTCTAATCAGTGATTACTTTGGTGTTCCAATTAATTCCAAAGTCTAATAGCATTAGACTTTTGAAATAATGCTAGTCTAGTGTTGTTGGGAAAGTGTAAATTGAAAAATGTCAACCTTAATCACAACCTTAGAAGTGTTTTTATCTTTAAGAGATCCAAGGATCCACATTACAATTAGGAGTATCTCGATTGAATACTAGGTCATTTTCATGGTGCATCTTTGTTTGATATCTTCAACTTTTTACACAGTTTCAGGATATTCATATTCTTTTGTTTTCCATCACATTGACTCATTGTGAAAGAATTGTTATCAGATATGATAGCATGCTGTCATTAAGTTCTTGTTAGATATACATCTTGTATTCAACTTTGTTTTTTACTGATTCTGACCTCAAATGCTATTCATCCTGACCTTTATTTAGAAAAAGCCATTTTAAGAAACTGGTTTAGTCTAACCCATGATACATTGCTTAAGAAATAAGCTTAGCTTTTTAACTCGGTTTGACTAATAAATTATAGCATTAACAGGATTTTATTATGAGATTTGACACTATTTTGAAAGAAATTAATTTTTTCCTTAACATAGCAAAAATCACAAGTTCGCTGATTACTCACATATTATTAATCATTAACTCAAACCTCTCTTATTCAGTCGAACAAATTTGTTTGCATTTAGCGTTGAAAATGAATCAAGTATTTCTGTTGAACAATGAAACTTTTCTTCATAGGATTAACATTAATTTACATTACTGTTTTGTTTTTCAAAATTTCATTTTTCTTCAACACTAAACTTGCCAAAATTTGTTTGACTGAAAGTCGCTTTAAATTACTTAAAAATTATTATCGCAGCTTAATTGACATATATTTTGATCAGTGATCCATTACAGTATTTAGACAACATTAATATGCTATTTTAAACATTACCCAAAACATCTATCATAGATTGGATTGTCTTAGTATCAACCTTTGACTTCTTATCAAGGCTTTCAGGTCAAACTTGTTTACGTTTAGCTATCTTTGGCCTACAATTTTTTAAAATAAAACTTGCAATTTTCAATCTACATCTTTTCGGAAATGAAGTCATTGAGTTTCAATTTTTGAAATCATCAATTGAAATCGTTTTATCATGGCATTTATGCTGATCTTCAGACAACTTATTGCTTTTGATTTTGCTTATTGATTGTTGCAAATTTAATTGTTCATCTTTCACACACTCCCAATCATTACCTAGATTATGATTAGATTGTTAATTTTACCGTAACTCTTTCAGTGTTGTGGAAAATTTGACACACTATTCACAATTTTACTTTGAACGGAAACTGGTGAATGAAGTCATCAGGTTCATCTTGTCGTTTCAACCAACCTCATCTGATTCATGTTACTAAAACTCTTTCTTGTTACACTTTATAGGTCGATGTAAATGTAAACCAGGCTGGAAAGGCCAACAGTAAGTATTGATGAATCGACTAGACTTGATTGAGTTTTGTTGTAATTTTGTGCTCTGATTGAATCCCTTTTCTCTCCATTTTTGTTTCAATAGCTGTGAAATTGAATGCACTGAAGCTGAAAATGACTGCATCCAAGGCTGTTATTGTGACCATGGTGGATACTGTAATTTAACCACCGGTCTTTGTCGATGTCCACCAGGTTATACTGGAGATTATTGTAGCGATGCATGTCCATATGGAACGTATGGGTTAAATTGCGCCCAAAGATGTAACTGTAATAGTGGAAATGAATCTGAACCAGATAGTCATGTTGTTTGTGATCATATAGCTGGCTGTAAAGTTTGGTCTTCATCGCCTTTAAAGATTGTTGAAAGTGAACCCAACGGTAATCATGCTTCAGCAACATTGATCTTGCTTATTGGAATGATAATCATTGTTCTCATAATTTCTGGTTTCCTTATTTTAAAATACCGCCGTGAGTTACGTTTATTGAACTCAGAGCTTGCTTTTGTCACCTACATATCACGGAAAGAGTCAAATGACCGGTTTGATAACCCTCTTTACTCGTACCAAGCAACAACAGCCGATTGTAAACCACCTTTACCCAACTCGGTATCCCCACCAGGACCACCTCCACAAGCCTCATCATCTACCAAAGCAAGCCTATTTTCTGGTTTCAAGCGCAATTTCGAGACAAACATATGTAAAGGCTCTCAAGATAAATCTTCTGGTCTTCCAAATGATTTCCTAAAGCCTAACCTAAATGTAACAAGTTGTTATGATGATCTTAAAACAACCAAACGAGAATACAATTCAAATATTTATGAGGAAAATGATAGCTGTGGAACAAGGTCATCGACTTTAACAAAGGAACCAGTTTACGCTGAGATTCCGGGCTCTGATAATAAGGATGATCTCAAAGAGAGCCCCTATGATTCACCAAGACCAATAGATTCTAATAATCAAGTTAACAAATTGTAATTCATTATGATTCGATCCAAGCAGCTCAACGCCAAACTTCATTGAATGAATTTTCGTCTGTTTTATACCAACGGCACAAAACCCATTTTATATGTATTCTGAGTCAAGATTTTTTTTGTTGTAGATCAAGGAAAATGGTTGAAAAGATGAGGAAATAATCTATCAATCATATTATCATCTTATTTTGCTCTCTATGTTATCCCCAGTCTTGTTCATCATTTCCTTGTTCAACAAAAGAAAACAAAAACGCCATCATCATTGCATCTTCACATCATATTTATTACCAACTTATTATTGGAAAACAATTGCTAAATCATGACTTCTCTTTTCATTTCATCCATTCTTATAATCGCAATTCAACAAAAGAAATACATTTTCACCAAAATGATATTTTACTTCATAATTTTTAAATTCTCCATATTAAAGTCTTTCCTTTTCTAAGACATTTTAGCTTCTGTTGATATATAAATTCAAATGGCAAATAAATAATGAAACTAAATTTATTTAACGATTAACTTGTGTTTACTTTTATTCAATCTATTATAAGAAACGAAACGGATACTATTTCATTTTAAATCAATGATTTGTTTCTTGATCAACAATCAAGAATCGCTGTTCTTGTCTATTTTACGTGTAATCACATAAAAGCATTGGCTTATCAACCGATCGGAAGCTTATTGTGTTTACATTGAGTAGTTTTTTATTACATTTTAAAAGCAAGACAACAAAAGCGTTTTCTTGAAAAACAAATTGGTTGAGTGATTGAATCTCTTGGATCAACAGCATTGTAATACAAGGTTTTCTTGGTCTTAAACCTTTACTTCCTCTAATGGTTGAAATTTTATCTCATTTTGTTTTTCAAGGATGGCTTGATATCTGACTGACTCTCGTAATCATGCTTGGTTGATAAACAACATGAAAAGGGTTGATACTGTAAACGCTGTGCGAGTTCCAAGTTGTTCGTCTTAATTCATTTTTCTGTAGCAATTATTTTACACATTGGGTGAAAGATAATCAATTGTTTATCAAAAAAGGATAACTTTAATATACTTTTTCTTTGGACATTCAATTCTAATGCAAGTTTTTTAAAAGAAACAATTCATATTTTATTTAGTCATCCGTGAGTTTTAATTGAATATCTATCGAGTATCAAGTTGTTTGATATTACAGACTCACAAAATTATTATTAAATTGGTAGCAACCATTAGTTCAATTGAGTTACTTGAATGTTCACAAAGACAAACAATTAACCTAACGTTATAAAAACAGACCTTCAGCTTTATTGAATGTTTAGTCTGATTCCATTATCTTGATTACCATGTAATTAGTAACGAAATTGGGTAAACTTGAAAGGATTTCAATTGCATTTGAATCGAAGGTGAACAGAAATAGAAATTGTCAAAATAAGTGCATTTTCTGGTTGACCATCAAAAGTTACGTCAGTAGTATGAGTCTCATGAAAAAATCTGCTTCCATTAGTGTGCAAAAGGCGATCGAAGTTTCAACTTTGAACTTGATTTTCTCGAAAACTGTCCATCACAAATGGACTCAGCTCTTATGTTCCTACAGACCAACATTATCTAAATTTAAAGGAAATTAATTTTAACGTTTTTTTTGCACATTTGTGTCAATCTATGCATAAAGGTGACAATTGTTTCTTTTAAATAACAACCATGTATTAATACCATATACAAACGAATGCATTGATTTTGACGGCTCTTTTGATTTTATTTGCGCATCTAATTCCCATTGGTGTGATAGATGAATATAAGTGTAATGCCTAATTGTCAAACTAAGCACCGTCAAACTCAATGCATTCGTTTGTATTGTATAACAACTGTTTACATTGAAATTGTAAATTTTCATTGGAATGATTGAAAGATAATTGATATAACGATTTTGCTGATAGCGAATGAATGTCAAAATGTCATGATTAAATATACATATTCTCAATAGATCGTGTAAATTTTGATTCTATAATAATAATAAGTGCAGAGAAAGTAAGGTTATATGACTTTTCAGAGCGACTGGATAGAAGACATATTATTCAATTGCCCCATGAATAGATTGACATTTGTCAGATTATCACGAATGAAAAATAGAAATGGCCGATCCGCAATGAAATTAATGACTTTTGATGGTGCACGTGCGGACGTGCATGCACTTTTAGTTACAGCAGCTGCTACGGTACCAGTCTCAGTGACTTCAATTAAAGCTTTTTGTATTGATTGCGATATGTATACTAATCTTTCAGTAATTTTGGGAAATTCAGCACTCATTCGGTCGAATGGTAGAATCATTCCCATGCTTGGTAAAATTTCGTGCAATTGATGTTTGTCTTCCAGTTTGAATTTTGGTATCATCAAACTATCCAAACGCGTTCTTGTCATGGAGTCTATCAATCTGGAAAGCTCAGCCGAGTCTAAATTATCGACCATCTTTTTTAGATTGTTGTCACCAATTGGTAGGACCAATATCATGCTCATATTTTCACCATATGGAATCTCGACAATCTGTTGATGAAAAACGATTGATGTAACGTATATTATAAAAGTTGAGATTAAAGAATGTATAATGTTGATGAAATTATTACCTTTAATTTTTTTTCAGGAGATTCTAAAAAGTGGTATCTACCTGCATGCAGCATCATCTTAACCTTAGTTGTTGATCCATCTGAATTATTGAATATCTTATCATGTGTACACCTTTTAGGAAAAGGGTTCAACCAGCTACCTTCGAAATAAATTGCATTTAATAGCAAACAAACAGCATCAGGGTTTGGCGGTTCGTTGAGAATAGTTGCAATTTTATTTTTTGTATTTTCGGAAACCCAAGAGTTGACTTTTTCCATGACATTTTTTCCATTATTATTAAAATCCTCATTGAATGCATCGGCAGAATAGTTAGTTTGTAAGCTTTGAACAAAAGTATCTTTTAGCTTGAATATTGTGTTGCCCACAAGTAAATTGCCAAACTCTAGAATGCAATTTTTATTTGTTTTATAGCTTTCTAACAGCTGAAAATAAAATAAAATTAGTAACAGTTAAAGACGGAAAATGATTGCAATCAAATATGAATAGTTGTGCTTAATATATGCATAATTACCTGTTTGATTATTTCAGAAATACCTCCATGTTGGTTATCAATTTCATCCAAATCTAGAACTTCTTTGATTTGTTTTTCTGTTTCACCAGCGGCTCCTTCCAATACCATACAATAGGCAATGATAACACTTAATGGTGACAAAAGTAAGTTGGTTGAATCAGATGCAGAATTAATTTTTTTCAAAAACTTCAAACCAAATTCAATACTAGGATTGCTTATATGTGACATCTTCAACTCTGCAGAATATTTTAAAGCACTGTTATAAAGGATAATGAAAAAACATTTAAATTTACGATCAATGTATATTTAAAGAAACTAAAATAATGATATTATATTTCGAATATTTACAGTTCATCGAAAACTCAGTTAATGAGAGTTTTATCTCATTACTCGTTCACAGCAAAATGTGTTATTCATAAGACGTCCTCGTCGGCTCACTTTTCTTCTCATTAGTCACAGCTAGTTTCTAATGTGGCTAATTATAATAAAAAAACTTAATATATAAGAGTTAACTTTAACGCTTAACTTTGTTATACAGCCTAGTCCATTATATAGTATTAAAATCATCTAGTAACTGTGAATAATTTTTTCAACGACTCAGAGATCATTTCCGAATCAGTAATGCATTTTAAACATGAAATTGCATCATTTGATCATTGAATTTAGGAAAACTGAAATTAAGACGAGACTTATGTTTGTTGAGCCTGTGGAATTGCTATTCTCTTGCAATTAAGTGAATAACAAAGTTAATTGTTAAATTAAACCCTTAAATATTAATTTTTTCAATTAGCCACTCGACGAGCGCCGAAACTAGCTGTGGCTAATGAGAAGAGAAGTGGGTAGACGAGGACTTCTTATGACTGCAACAAAATGATCAAAATCTTAGATTGAGAACTAAATCCTTCAATATTTAATTATAATTAATATGCATAGATGGTATGCATAGATGGTATTACAATTACATACCGAAGTCAGCTGAATTAACCAATCAATCAACCAATTTTTTAAAAAAAACTCGCGCAATCAGCTTGAAGTAACATTTCAGATTAGATTTGATCTATTAAGGATGATTGCAAATAATAAATTACGCTGCCGATTATAAAAAACATTCAAAATATTAAAAGTCAAATATTTCAAAAGCCGCGTGTTTAGAGCAATATGCGTAACATCATTGGAATCAGAACAAAAAGTTATCGATTGATATATGGCCTGAATCTTAGGCCGAAAATCTAGCATTTTGGCTATCCTCCTTTGATAATTATGTCCTTTTATTATCAACCTAAAAATTCATTTATTTTTGCACTGATCTGATATCTTTCCAAAATTTTGATGCAAATTGTTAATAAAATTCCCACTTAAAAATGTTTTATTGCCGCGATAAAATTTCAGCCACAGTCGAGAATCATTGAAAAATCATGAAAATTGATGATTTTTCTACGATTTTAGTTGCAAATTGTGATTTCGATAATTTGTGAACAATTTTGGACAGCGAATGTGACAATAAAGTTTTGTCTAGATTTATTATCATCAATCAATAAGACAAAAATAAAAAAATTAATTATACATTAAAATAATCAGTTAAAATCACTCACGAGGGAAGTACCCGAGGTCATCCGAATAAAAGTTAATATTTTTATCATAAACCAATCAGGTTTAATGAGTGTTTAATTGTCTCGAAATCTCCCGGGTAGCAAATTAAAGATTATCGAGAAAAACGGAATTAAAATTCAATTTTTTACATGTAAAGTATGGTAAAGAGCATACAAAACAAAATGAGTGAAACAAAAAGGCTCATCGCAATGGGTTCATCTTATTGCTTTCACATTGATCTATGCATAGCGATAGACAATAAATGGCGCTTTTCGACCCTTCTGTCCATTTGCTACTCAAAAGACGACGAACTATATTGTTTTTTGCTAAGACGAATTCAATGACACACGAATCATTGAAATCGGTTCGGATGACCTCGGGTACCCCCCTTGTCAGTAAGATGGTTTCATCCTGGTAAATATTTCAAACGTTATGTTTTTCAAGGATGGCTTAATAACTATCTCTTAATGATGCTTGTTTGATAAATAATATGTAAAGGGTTATACTGTAAACGCTGTGCGAGTTCGAAGTCAAGTTGTTCGTCTTTATAATTTATTCAATTTTAACGAAATTGGGTAAACTTGAAAGGGTTTGTATAGCATTTTAATCAAAGGTGTACAGAAATAGAAATCGTCAAAATAAGTGCATTTTCTGTCAAAGAGTCTTATGAAAGAATCTGCTTCCGTGGGTGTACAAAAGGCGATCGAAGTTTAAACTTCAAACTCGATATTCGTAAAAACTGTTCATCAGATAAACTTTCCTACAAGCCAACAGAGTCTAAATTTAAAAAATTAATTTTAACCGTTTTTGCCCATTTGTGTCAATCTATCATAAAGGTGACAATTGTGTTTCTTTTAATTAATAGTAACAACCATGTATTAATTCCATATATAACAATTTTTTACATTGCAATTGTAAATTTTCATTGGAATGATTAAAAGATAATTGATTTACCGATTTTGGTGCTAGCGAATGAATGTCAAAATGTCAACAATTTGAAAATTAGTAAAATCAATGAGTAAATATACATATTATATTCTCAATAGATCGTGTAAATTTTGATTCGAATAATAAGTGAAGAGAAAATAAGGTTTAAGGAAGGGATAATAACGGAAATAAGGTTATACTATAAGGTTACTTTTCAGAGCGACTGGATAGAAGACATATTATTCAATTGGCCCATGAATAGATTGACTCTTGTCAGATTATCACGAATGAAAAATAGAAATGGCCGATCCGCAATGAAATTAATGACTTTTGATGGTGCACTGCAGGGCACTGCTTCAAGTTGAGTTACCGCAGTTGCTACAGTACCAGTCTCAGTGACTTCAATTAAAGCTTTTTGTATTGATTGCGATATGTATACTAATCTTTCAGTAATTTTGGGAAATTCGGCATTCCCTTGGTCGAATGGTAGAATCATTCCCATGCTTGGTAAAATTTTGTGTAGTTGGTGTTTGTCTTCCAGTTTGAATTTTGGTATCATCAAACTATCCAAACGCGTTCTTGTCATCGAATCTATCAATCTGGAAAGCTCAGTTGAGTCTAAATTATCGACCATCTTTTTCAGATTGTTGTCACCAATTGGAAGAATCAATATCATGCTCATGTTTCCACCATATGGAATCTCGACAATCTGTTGATGGAAAACAATAAATATTATAAAACGGATATTAAAAAAGTTGAGCTTAAAGAATTTATAATGTTGATGAAATTATTACCTTTAATTTTTTTTCAAGGCATTCTAAAAAGTTGTATCTACCTGCATGAAGCATCATCTTAACCTTAGTTGTTGATCCATCTGAATTATTGAATATCTTATCATGTGTACACCTTTTAGGAAAAGGGTTCAACCAGCTACCTTCAAAGTAAATTGCATTTAATAGCAAACACACAGCATCAGGTTTTGGCGGTTCGTTGAGAATAGTTGCAATTTTATTTTTTGTATTTTCGGAAACCCAGGAGTTGACTTTTTCTAGAACATTTTTTCCATTATTGGTAAAATCCTCATTGAATGCATCGGCAGAATAGTTTGTTTGTAAGCTTTGAACAAAAGTATCTTTTAGCTTGAATTTTGTGTTGCCCACAAGTAAATTATCAAACTCTAGAATGAAATTTTTATTTGTTTTATAGCTTTCTAACAGCTGAAAATAAAATAAAATTAGTAACAGTGAAAGACGGAAAATGAAAGAAATAACAATTGCAATCAAATATGAATAATTGTGCTTAATATATGCATAATTACCTGTTTGATTATTTCAGAAATACCTCCATGTTGGTTATCAATTTCATCCAAATTGAGAACTTCTTTGATTTGTTTTTCTGTTTCACCAGCGGCTCCTTCCAATACCATACAATAGGCAATGATAACACTTAATGGTGACAAAAGTAAGTTGGTTGAATCAGATGCAGAATTAATTTTTTTCAAAAACTTCAATCCAAATCCAATACTAGGATTGCTTAGCTGTGACATCTTCAACTCTGCAGAATATTTTAAAGCACTGTTATAAAGGATAATGAAAAACCATTTAAATTCACGATCAATTTATATTTAAAAGAAACTAAAATGATGATATTATATTTCGAATCTTTACAGTTCATTCAAAACTCAGTTAATGAGAGTTTCACCTCATTACTTGTTTACAGCAAAATGATCAAAATATCGGATCTTAGATTGAGAACTCAATCTTTCAATATTCAATTATAATATGAATAGACGGTGTTACAATTTGTGTAAATGTGTTAACATAATGAAAGGAGTAAACGCAAAAAATTTTCCTTTCGAGTCAAGAGTCTGAATTTTTTGGGTTTGTTGGGGCATAAAAATCATGTCTATTATTGCTATCAAAATATTTGTGGTCAAAGTTGAAACTTCTATCGCCTTTTTTACAGTTGTGCGACCAGATTTTTTCATCAAAATCATTTTCTTGGTAGACTTTTTAGCCTCAATAGCTTGAAAATAGTTGCACTTAAGACCATTATTCTCAAAATTCTTATTATTCTTTTTGTAAAAAAGATGAGTTCGATTTTCAGTTGAACCGATCTCTTTCTATGGTCGTAAGAGTTAGATAAACTTATTATTTGTCCATAAAATTGTTGATGCACATCATGAATTGAATACTTTTTTCAATTTAACAACAGTTTTCTTGATTTTGGCCATTGGCCTTAAAATCTTAAAATCTAAAGCTCCAGGACTTAAACATGATGATAAATGTAATCCTAACTGCCCAGATGAATTGCCGCCATAGCATTGAAAAATCATGAAAATTGATGGTCTTTCTACGATTTTAGTTGCAAATTGTGATTTCAATAATAGGTGAACAATTTTGGACAGCGAATGTGACAATAAAGTTTTGTCTAGATTTATTATCATCAATCAATAAGACAAAAATAAAAAAATTAATTATACATTAAAATAATCAGTTAAAATCACTCAGTAAGATGGTTTCATCCTGGTAAATAGTTTAAAATTGTAGTTAATGTGGAAATGGACGAGAATAAGAACCAAACTATAGTCAAAACTGCAATCGAAACATGAAGAAAAATATAAAAAATATATACAAAATAGATTATTTGAGACATCTTTGACGGTTGTTTGTTTGCTGACAATTTCAGTTTACAAATAAATGTAACAATTTGATTATTGGGATCCGATCAACAGCAAGTCTTGCTTTTAATTTTACATTATGAATCGATTGACGATTGCTTTGATTGAACTCTTTGATTATATTAATGATTGAGATAATAATTGATTCACTAAGTATTTCCAATCGCAAGTCATTATCTAAAGTGTCATTATCATTGAGGCTACTGTACTGTCCAAGATGATCACTGTGTGTTTACTTTTAAATTGTTAATCTAAAGGTAACATTGTCCTTGATTGTTAGTGGAATCTACTGTACCAAATAAAACTGAATTTCTTGGACATTTTGATCTTATCTGACCAGCTAAAAGCGGATTAATAGCATAAAGCCAGTCGTGAAGCTCCTTCTCATTGGAACTATAAAGAACGAAGGTTCTATGTCTGGTTTCAATTGAAATGGATCGACATTGTTTTACATCATTCAAATCTTCAGGATATTCAATATTTGCTGTTGCCAAATTTATTATCGCTCTTTCAATTGGATCACGTTCGTCAAAATGAATGAAAAGGTAAGGACGACGAACAATTGCCCAACGTTTAACTGATTTAGCTGATTTCTCATCCGACAATAGAATTGACCCTTTTCTAGAAATAACTGGACTTAATCGTATTTCTTCAATTTCAGGGACAAATAAAGGTTTCAAAGCGGGATCGAGCAGATTTAAAGCATCTCTGTCCTTGTCTGGAGTAACACTATTTCTTTGTGACCAATCACCTGGGTTGATTGGTTTTTCAGGTGATAATAACTCAGGGCTAGAATGAGTTGAAGAGCAAAGGTCTGATTCATCGCCACTTGGAGTTCCAAGGGAAGCCTTTTTCACTGGATGTGGACTTGGTTTCGATGGTATATGCGATTGGATTAAATTGACACACTTTTGACACAATTCTTTTTCTCTTGAAGACATTTCCCAGAGTTTATAAACGGCCTCATCGGTAACAGGAGTTGTTGCTGGACTAGCACTTGCTGCTAGAGCTGCAAGGTTCATACGACTTCCACTGGCTGTTAACCCACAAGAAAGTATTTCAGGTTGACTTGAATTTTTCTCAAGCTTCTCACGAACTGTTAAGATATGTCTAACTTTCTCAGTTAGTTCAAGTCTCTTTATCTTCTCTAGTTCCCATTGGTGATCAAATATCAATGAATCTCCTCTGGGCTGCCAACCGTTCAAATTTTCTTCGCCTCGAACGTAAATCCCTGAAGTATCATTGACTCGTCTTTGACGTCTTTTCACTCCAGGAGACCCACAATCAACAGCTCGTTTGAGAGTTAACTCATAAACAGCGGAAACATGATTACAATCAGCGTTCTTGTAAGCTCCACTGATCAAGTGACGAAGAGCCTTGGTATTTGGAGCCAATCTAGGAAGAGTTCGAGCATCTCGGCCATAAATCATTAGACATAAATCTTTTGTTATGATAGCTAATTGATTGCAATTTTCCAACTATATTTTACATAAGAAAATAAATAAGAAACGAAAGTTAAAAATTTTGAAGTTACAAATGGTTAAAAGAAAGGAAAGATTGATTAAATCATTTACCGCAAGATAAGCAGATAAAGTTAAATAGATTCGTTCACCAGTCGGTGTAACTCGATTCATTAAATCTGAATTGTGAAGTGAAGTATCCCAAGCAGCTTCAAATCGACAAACTGATCGACCATCCATTTTTTCAAGAAATTCAATTGAAAACAAACTAAGAGATAAAACTGATTCATCTTCTTCATCATCAAAATTGTCTGGATAATCGACACTTGTTCGTATTCGCCCCAAAACCAATTCCCGAATATCTTTCCAAACAATGTCTGGATCATCTTCATGTATAACTGTGATCCTAAGACGACGTTGGATTCCTTGGTGAAGGAGTAATGTACCTCGACAAGGTGTATCATCGTGGTGATCAACAACCACGGGAATGTATTCACCAGTGGGTGTTAACTCACAGACTTCAAACCATACTAATAAATCGTATTTGGCATGAATATGAGCTGAGCTTGGCGATGCATTCAATAAAGAGCATCTTTTTGATCGAATAGGTTGAGAGACTGGAATTAATTGTGGAAACATACGACGAGGAGGTTGACGAACTGAATCACTGTTGGAGAAGAATAAAAAGACGGAATTGAAAAAGGTTAATAATTAGATCATACAGAGAAGAGCTATTTTATTAATTTATATTTACTGATTTTGTATTGCTGGAATGAAATCCCTGACATCCTTTGATTCTTTATGAAGTGGATGATGTTGATAGTGACCAAAAACTTCAAAAACAAGCGGATAAGATTGAAGATAATCAATAAACTCTTGAGTAACTTGAATTGTTATGTTTTGTATCCTGAAGAAACCCGGAGGTGGACCTTTTCCAGTATTTTTAATTGATTCAGTTAAAAAGGGTTCATCACGTCGATGAAGGAAATTGAATCGGCACAAAATGTCTTCATACTCTTTACCAACATCAATTATTTGTAAAATTATAACACGAAAGGTAAAATCTTTGCCCAATTTGATATGATCACTAAATTTAGACCATGCTTTATTGTCACCATTTATTACTGAAATTTGCTTATTATTGTTCGAATCTGGACATTCATTATTATCACCGCCATCTTCATCGTCATTATTGTTATTGTTCGATTCACTCAACTCGGGATCATTAATAAATTTTAGTAAATTAGGTATATTAAAATCCTTTGAACCCGCAGGTTGGGTCCATTTTTGCTTAAGGCTAAGTAGTTTGGGATCATCAGGATCAAATTCAATTCTTGCTGATTGTTTGATGTTTAATGAAGCAGATCCAATGTCAGGTACATTTGTTGAATCATCATCATCTAATGAACACAAGAAAACAAGAGTTAATGGTTGATATTCAATAAAACAAAACAAATCTAATAACAAAACAGCAACTTTATAACTTGCGCTAGTCAAATCAATACATAAACTGTTGTTTACCTCACAAAAGCTAGAGTAATTATAAAAAGATTAATTTACGATTTCATTACCATAAATGACTAAATTATTGATTAAATTGAAAGATGGAAGCTTAAGGTTGACAATAATGACAATAACTGCCATTGCGAGTAACCTTAATTCAAAGTTAAGTGAAATATTGACTAAACAAAAAGACAGGCTGATCAGGGTTAGTCAATTAAAGTTTGAATTCAATTAAAGATAATTGATATTCTCTGGTCAAATTTGCATGAAAAAAGCACACAATAATAGTAACTAGGTCAGTTGAAGTTGACTGTAAAAATATATACAGTTTGATTAAAAAATCAATAGCAATTTGCTTACCAGTGACTGGTTGTATAGCAACTCTAAGGAAACCTTTAACATCACCTTTTTCAGTTACAATGGGAACTTTTTGGACTAAAGTTACTGAAAATAATAGATTGGAAATGTAAAGAAATGCTCTTCCAATTAATCGAAACCAGGGGAATCTATCGTAAAATGGATCACCTCCAGTTGAACTGGGTTCGAAGTTACATTCTGGTGATGTTGGTGACATTTCAGCTTCGTTTTTGTACATTTCTCTCATCAACTCCAAACGTTTTCTTTAGATGGTTAATTTTAAAAGAAGCAAAGAACAAGAAGAAACAACAAATTCAAAGATCAGGTAAAATCTGAACAATATATCTGAATATTAATATCAGTTAATAGAGAGATGGAGATAGAGAAAGAAACAAGTTCAATGTAAAGAAAAAAATAAACAATAAAGAAAAAATAATTGGGAATAAAATGCTTAAAATTATGGTATAAAATGGCTAAATGCTAAATGAAATTGAATAGGAAAACACAAAAGTCTATTCGATTATTATTCACTTTCAATTTACTCCTAATGATTTTGCTTTCCTAGCCTAACTCATATTATTATCATTAAATTGTTGGGTTTTATTTTCATTTAATAACCTGTTCTCGATCTGGATTTGATTCATCATCTCGTCATTAGAGAAGGTAAATGATTTCATCAATTGAACTGAGGTTGAATCAGAATCGGTTTGGTAGGCTACAAGCTCAATATCATCAAAATAATGATAGTAAATATGACGCATAAGCTCCAATCGTTGCCTGTGAAATGAGGAAAAAAATTGATAGAAAAAAAGATGGGAAAAGAGATGGAAATACAATTAGGTTAACTAAGTTTTCAAGCAACTAATAAGGTTTGAATGGTTTAAAATTGATTCACAATTAGGGTAACATTTAAAACAATCCATGCAACAAAATACATCAATATATTTTTACATCCATGCTAAGCAAAAGTGATTATAAGAAGTATCATTGGGCTTAAAGTTTGATCATATAATATAATCAAGATAATTGATGTATTTTATAATGAACATGCAATCAAAAATAATGAAACTGGTGACTTTAGATTGTAAGAGCTTATGCAGACGGTATTATCACAGGTTAAGAGGTTTTAACGATAAATAGAAATTAAATTTTTAACCATTTGATAATTAAACAGAGAGAAAAGCAAGTAAATAGCGCAGGACTCGTCAATTTACCTTAATTTACTCAAAGACCAATAATGGGTTGCTCCATTTTTTGTGTCTAAAACTTCAACTGCCACAAATGTTCTTGGACTAGCTTCTCTTGATTCCCCATCGTAAATTTCATCATAATCAGAGGCTGAGGTTAAATCAGCTGGTAACGGTGAATATAATGTATCGGTGAGAAGCACGAATTGAAATTGCACTCGCTTTTTTAGCTCAACCGAAATGGCGTTAGCTTCTTTCAAGAAGATGGCATTTCCCCATAAATCATCTCGAAGACTTGTAAATTGATGATATTTCCATTTGTTGAAAGATACACTCACTATGCTGTATTGTTCATCGGTCCAATTGGACTCTTCACTGAAAACATCTTCGGTTGCTTCTTCATCTGGTAGTATTGAGGTTACCATAGAGGTTACCATTGAAATACAAGCGGACGATGAAGTCATTGACTGCTCATCAACCTGTCTTTGTAGACTTTCAATTTTAGCCTCATAATCTTTTCGTTGTTGCTCGAAAAACATGTCAGCTTCTTCTTTCTCTTTCTTAAACTGTTCCTCAAGTGCAACCAACTTTTTCTCCATTCCCAGTTTGAGATCAATTCCTTGTTTCTCTAATAGTTCCAGTTGAGCAAAACTCCAATCAACAAGCTTTAATCCATTCTTTTCCGGGTCAACTTCAATCTCTTTGGGTTTGGGTTCACGTTGTAATCGTGCTTGTTCAGGATGTTGAAAGCGAAAAACATGATATTTTCCTAAAATTACTCTGGATCCTGTTTTAAGTTCAACAGGCTTGTCAACCTTCATTCCATTAACATAACAAAGTGACTCTCGGATTGGCATTAATGTTACTTTGCCATGTCGATTCTCAAATATACAATGTTCAACTCCAATGTGACTTCCATGAAGTTTAATATCTTGCGGTATTTCAGCATCAGATCGACCCACACGAGTGAAACCATCTTTGATGTAATAGATTAGACACTCGGACATAAGAGGATCTTCATTTAAATTGACCAGATGAGGCGTACGTTGCGGTGAAAACAGTCCCACTGTATCACCATCCTCACGAGTTGCAACTCCCATCTCATTTAAAACTGCCTCTCTTTGAAGTCTAATTTTTTCGGTTCGTTTTAATTTTTCTTCCCAGGTTTCATTCAATTCGGACATTAACTTTTCCGACTCTTGAAGCTGTTCAATTGCAGTCTCGCCAACTTGTGACACCGAACCGGTTCGCCTTTTAACAGATTGTACATCGACTTGATTTGAATCTTCACTAACATCTAATCCTTCAGCTTTAAGCAACGCTTTCAATTTTGCTATTTCTTCCTTTAATTCACGTATCAATTTTGCATTGGCATCCTCATTAATAATTGCTTTGCATACAATTTGTTTAGCTCTATCAGCATAACGTAATGTACTTAATGTTTCGTCATAATTAATATCTGCTGGACTAATGGCTGCAATCATTGCCGTCTTTGAATTACCTCCTGAAATAAATAAAACCACAAAACAAGTTAAAATCCAAAATCTTAAACAAATATAATTTTCTGACTAACCCAAATTTTCACGCAAAAGCCAAGTTAGAACAGAATCTCGATATGGAATATGTTCACCTTTCTTCTTTTTCTTAGTTGCCTGAAACAAAGATGAAAGATTTATTAAAAAATCAGTTTTCAATCCATCGTCTTATAAGACTGTATAAACTTACTGACTGTTTAAGTTGAGTATTTAGATGAACAGTTAATTGTAGGAAATATAACAATATAAATAGATTAATTATTCAATCATAAGACATCAAGTTTTCATTCAACTAACTCACCATTTCAACTAATGCTGAAATAACTTTGCCTAATGTAGTTAATGATTTATTGATATTTGCGCCTTCTTTTAACCGCGTTCCTTGAGCTCCAGTTGAATCAGCACGTTCACTTCCAGCTAGATCAACGAGCGATATTTTGGACACTTTCTCAGCTTCCAAACCTGTGATAGAATCAGTTCTTTGTTGAGTAAAAATAATAGTAAACACTGCATGAGATCGACTGCTCGTTTCATTCATATTGGTTGCGGCAACAGTCCTGTAAAGAATCCAAGAAAGAGGAAAATAAATTAAGTTATTTTGTTTTTTAATGGCTATTGTTGTTCAAATCTGAACGTTATCAAATTAAATACTAAACACTTTGTATCTTTACAAAAAGCAAATGAAAATAATTCCCACTCCCTGTAAATGATAGTTAACAAATTGTAAAATCTGTTATAGACTCCCCTGAGAGATTATGATTAATCATTAGACAAACAAAAATTGTTACAAAATGAAAGTTTTACCAGGTAAGTTCATGCTTTTGCATGTAACTCTCAAAGGATGTGAACTGGTGTAATAAAAAAGTTACGCCATTTGAGACAAAATACGGTACATCATGTTAAAATGAGAATTTCATGTTGAAATAATCTCTTGGTATCATAATCATTATATAAAAATAAATTATCTTGAGATGATTTCAATAAAAGAAGTAAAATCTGTCCATTAAATGTCGGTTTAACCTTTTATTGAGCTGTACCCAGAGATATTTGTTTAAAACTACTGTATTTATTATATATACAGAATTTTCATTTGATTTCTGAATTTAAGTCCAAGTTTCAACACAACATTCAACCCTTTCTACAAATCATGCAATCTATAAATTTCAAAACAATTGATTCATGATTTTTTAGACTATATTTTACAGTTAAGTTTCCTCTTTGAATACATCTTGGCAGTTAAGAGTTGACATTCAGAGTAAAGTTCCAGTCCCAATTTGATGAATCTCTTAAAAGTTCTAGCATTGAATCATTTTCGTGTAAATGCTTTATTTATGAAGGAGAATAAGTTTAGCATTTAGCTTTTTCAAATAATTGTATTTTCTGGTTGACTATTAAAAGTTACATCAGACAAAATCAGTTTGATGAAAAAAACTTGAACATTAACTGTTCAAAAAGCATTCGCATTTGAACTTCCAGAGTGATTTATCAAAAAAAGTCGATCAAAGAAATATTTTGATTACGCAAATTAACTTAATTTACATGACCCTACAAATTTACCAACACTTAACTCGAAAGTTCAAGTTTTTCCACTTTCTCCCTTTTGACTAAATATTATTAATAGTAGTAATTCATGAAGGAATTGAAAAATAAGTTTTTCACCATTGAAAACTATGTTAGATAGACCTCGAAATTACTCATGCAAATGTATTCAAATTAATAACTCTAATTTAGTGCTTCAATCAACATGTATTAGTATTATGACGAGAGCTGTATTTTAAAGTACGATTGTATCTTCGAGGATTCGTCTATGCAAGCTTGGAGCAAAAGCTTTATTTTAAATTTCTTTGAATTGCGTTTCAAAAGCTAACAAGGTTTCGATTCGATATTCGTATGAATCATAATTTTCTTATGTTGAATAGTTTAGCATTTTATTCATTTGATAAAAAATGTTTTTATAAAAGTTGAAAGATTCATCTAAAATAAGGAAACAGAAGGTGATCATGAGGTAAAAGGGTGAGTATAAAAGAGTTCAATTCAATTTTATCATAGTAATCATCGTCAATAACTGTCATCACAACCAATATGATTAACTATTGATACTAAAATTTGAGCGCTCAGGTGATAAAAATAATGTCAATTCGGTAAAAAAACAATTGAAACAATGAGATTAATCTGTCATCAAATCAAAGTCTTAAATCATAAAAGTGCAAGCAAGTTCACGATGACTTGAATTGAAAAATGATGTGAAAAGCCGATGAAAATCTAGATTAAATTTTCATGGGAATTATTTCGAATTTCAAATTTTATTTTTATGAAAAAATGTTGAAATTTGAAAGATTCATCTGTTATAACTAACAGCAGAGGATCATAAAGCTAAAGGATAAGCAAAGATTTTATCATCCTCAATAATTTTCAAAATTAATGATATTATTAACCATTGATACTGATAATTAACTAATATTTATATCCGAGACTTTCAGGTGGTACAGATGATGTCAACTTGGTCAAAAACAATCGAAACAATGAGATAAATCTGTCACCATCGAATCAAAATCAATGTCAAGTTATAAAAGTACAAGGAAGTTCACGATAACTTAAACTACAAAATTGGTATAAAAGGGAGATGAAAATCCACAGTAAATTATCATAAAATTGTTCCCAGTTGAGTTACAATTGAATTTAACGTGAAATCAATCTCAATCAAAATGATGCGTTTACTTGTTGTTGCTTCACTCCTAATCCTTCCATCTTTCATCGTCTCCGGTAAGCCATAAATTTCAATTTCTAACATTGAACAACATTTTCACATTTCAATTTCATTGATTATTTATTTCAGGCGATGAAATCGCTAACAGTGGTGCTGTTACTGAAGCAATCCCATTGCTACTCTGGGCTGCTGCTGACCCTAAAGAGGACTGTCAAGCAGCTAAGATTGACGCAGCTAAGTTTTATCAGTTTACTGAGAAGTATCGAGACGAGTTTCTTAAGTACTACAACTCACTCAACATCATTGGTGCAACTAAATTTTTAAAGGATCATGCTGATGAATCTGGTACTAAAGGAGTCAATTGGGTTCTTGTTTTCGGTAAGATTCTTGAAAAGAAAGTAACTGGACAGAGTGAGGAAAAGGAACACGGACTTCCATCTCTTGTTGCTTGGGCTGTTCGAAACACTGGACCTGGAACTAAATTGACTTCAGTTAAGCGAGAAACTTTAGTCTCTTTCCTTTTGGCCCACAAAACTGATATCTTGAAGTACCAACATGCTGGTGATGTTGATGGTTTAGTCAAGTTCCTTGAATCAACCAAAGCTGAATCAACTTCTACTGATGTCGACTGGAAAACTGTCATCAATGAGCTCAAGGATAACCGACAATTGTTCAAGTCTCGATGTGGTCTTTTAAAGCTTCGATTATGTAACAATATCAAACAATAATTTGATTCAATTCCCGAAACAATGTCAGTTTATAAGCATATCGGTAATGCTGAATAAAGATTTTATTTAAAGCAATTTCAATTTTCATTCCCACTTTCAACAGCAAGAATTGTGATGATCGCCTATGGATCATTAAAAAATCAATACTGCAGTTTCATTAGCACGCAATTTCACTTTCAAAGTTAGCAGTTCATTTCTCAAATACAAGTAAACTTCATTCATTCAAATTAATTTGCAATTTTCAGTTTATAAGCAGCTTCGACTCGTCAAATGACTTGTCAACGTTAATTCAAATAAGCTCCGAGCTGTTTTTCATTCATTGAATGTTTCCAGCAGAAAAGTTAAAAATTTGAAACTTCTCTTCTAACAAGCCAATGTTGAGTTATATTTCGCCCTAGATCCATACACATAATACTGTATCATTAATACACACTTCTTATTTCGATTTGATTGATGAAACGCAGTATTTTGGTCTATGAAAAACAACAGCTTAACTCTAGTTTCACATTTCAGCTCATATTTGTGTTATGCGCTCTAATATGACAGCTACCGATGATTTTGTTTAACTATTAGTTGTATTATAATAGATTGTATTTGAACTAATTGTATTCAAGTTTTGATTTCAACCGAGAGATCAGAATAACATTGAGAAAGAAAAATGGTTGGTTCTGTAATCTAATAATAGACTGTACCATTTTAAGGTTTGGTTGATATTAATGATAGTATTTTTTGGGTAAACTAAACATAATTAATGAAAGATGGTCAAAATTTACCTTGCTTTGTTGCCTTCATCCATTAATTCCCTAATATCTTCATATGAGGTGACTGCAAGTCTTGATAAATCTTCAACATATGGACCAAGAACAGGATGTTCACGAACACGTAGAGATGACCGGATTTTAGGATTCAACAGATCACGAACACGTTCACAGTAAATCTCCATGAATGAAACTTCCACCGAATACATGGCACTCTCATCATTATCAGATAAAATGCGATGAAAAAGATCACGACAGATATGAGGAATTACACCCTCTTCCTCCTTGGTTCCCATCATTGTATAACTTTTACCAGCTCCAGTTTGTCCATAAGCAAATATGCAAACATTGTATCCTTCAAATGCATGTTGTAACATTTTTTCACCAATATCTTTGTAAACCTTTTCTTGGGATGCAAAATTAGGATCCGATGGATTGTGTGACCAATATGAGTAATCAAAATTGAAACTTTTATCCGAATCAGGTATCTTTGGATTTGTAATTGCTGGTGGAAATGCAGAAGACAAGAAAATAGTGAATAAAAGATGAGACAAATTAATGAAGTGATACAGTTAGCTATATTTATCCATTATCAACATTTACTATTAATTATTCGGCAAATTTGCTGGTTAAGGAAGGCAGTTATTAACTTACTTGTTGTTTGTCCATTCATTCCAATAATACATCGACATTTGTAGCCAATTTCACGATTATTGAAGGGTCGTACCCTTACTGCTACTTTTACCGAAGACATGGTTGACTTTTGGGTGACTATGTACTGGTGTCTGCTTCCAACTGGTTACTTTTATTTTTTTGTTGTCAAATTTTTTCGTTTGTTTAGACTCTTTTTGAGTTATTTCAATTGTCTTTGGTTTTATCCAAGAAGAACCTGATCATGCTCGAAGACAAAGTGATAGAGAAGAATGAAAAAACGTTAATATCAAGGTTAACATACGATATGGGAATGGATGGAGATGAAAAGACATAACAGAAGATGGTAATTACAAAAAGACTGCCTTAGGTGGAGTGAATCAAATGGAAGTGAAAGCGTTTAATAGTGACATGTTAATTGAATGGAGTGAATGTTAAGGTTGTAGGTGATTAGTGTAATAAAATAAAGGAGGATGCCGAAAAAGGCACATGCTCGAAAATTTTGATAAGTCTTGGTGAGGTACGAGCATAGAATAAATTAAACAAATTAACATAATGTTCTCTGGTTTGCTTTAATCATCTCATATAAGATGGTGATAACTGATAACTATAGATGGTTACTGTACCGGTCAACTAACATAATCAAAAGATTGTCACATCAATAGAAGCATGGCACAAGAAAGGGTTGATGGTGAACTTGGAGATTTGAGTGTTAATGATGCATGAAAGGATAACAAAACATTGGGTTGATTAGTCAAAGATCATGTAAGTTTTCATATTTAGGTAAATTTGTTACATATTGTTGCAATATTGACGGTAAACAGACTTGAAGAGCAAGTCTACAAGTTGACTGATCGCGCATTAACAACAATAATATTGCAACAACTCAGCATTCTTATACTTTCAAGTCTAATAATAACATGACTACAGTGGGTTAAGGTGTAATATTGGGAAGGATTAACTGAGTTATTAAGACTTACCTTAAACCAAGACAATCATGGAAATTGGTTAACTGATCATGGTTAGAAGAAACGAGACATAAAAGGTTTACTAAAAAGGTTACAAGTAAGCATTATTTTGTAAAATTATAAAATCTGTTAGTAATGGATTAAAATGGGAGCAAACAAAGTAATTTTTTATCTAAGGGCTTTGGATTAACCAATTTAGGTTGCAAATGCTTTCTCATCGGTAAAAAATGTACACAGTTAATGAGAAAGAAAGGAAAAAAAGAAAGAGAAGAAAATATTGAAGGAAAAATGGGTTTTGATTTGAACTGTGAGAAAGAAACAGAAGGTATCTGTTTTGGTTCAACCTAACCTAACCAAATTGCATTTATTGATCGGCGAAGCGGTTCCACAGTTTAACCGATTTTGTCATGCGTCTTGCTTAATTTGATCTTGATCGTTTAGTTGATCATCTGATTTAATGATAACTCTGCCAATCTATCACCCGTCTATCACTTGTCAAAATTCATTAATCCAAACAATTTTGATTAGCAAAGTCAATTTCAATAATGGAGACAACCATTAAGCCCAAAATTAAATCTCATGAAAACAAGAGCATTCTAATGGAAGAATGACAAACCTGATTGTTTTTTACTCAGAGTTTGGGTGACTGTTTAACTGTAAATTTTGGGTTTCCATTATTTTCAAAATGTTAATTTGCATGAGTCAATCTTGATAAATTGGTTGTAAACCCGTTCACATCGCTAATTTTGTAGTCAATATTCCCAAAATGAGGCTTTGTTAAATAACAATGTTTTGTGCAATTATCAAAGTTGTATTAAGACCATTAATTACTTCAAACCTTTGAGAAAAATAAGCCAAAGTGCTAAGCCTATGAAGTCTCACTTTGGGAATATTTACTGTAATACAGCTGAGTGACTTTGTTCAATCAATTACACGATCTTCCTGATCTTAACTCTTTTATTCAAACAAATTTACTGGTTTATCTGGTTTACTCGTTTTAATGGCTGAACCTAATTTTGTCTGTGCATTGTTGGATTAGGTTTACATCTGATATACATGTATTATGTTAGGTGTAATGAAGACAACATTTTTCTTATTGAAATATATCCTTGATACTCATTTACAATCTAAACTAAAAGATTCAAGATAACTCACAATAGATAATTTTTGGATCAAAGAGTAAGGTAACTCTTTGCGTTGGAATACAACTAAAAATAATATTTTCAATTGATAATGAAAAGATGATTCAAGAGTAGTTAATCTTCCGGATTAGCCTCCTTGTGAAACAACATAGCAATTCAATCAAATTCAATCCATTATGTTTTCTGTGAATTTGTCCTTTATTTTAAATCAAATTACAGACATTGCAATACCCGGGTTACGATTGTATGAGGAGTTCAATCACTTTGTATTTCCAGTTTTCCATAAATCTTTAAAGCTTAGGTAATGGTCATTTGAATGGTTGTTGCTAAAGTTGATTAAGAATAAACTTGGTTCTCCGATTTTTTGAATTTTATATGGATGGATTTATTGGAATCAGTATCGGCATTGATTATTTTTACAAGAAATCATCAAATGTGGTTCCTTTCCATCCAACATTTTCTTTGTTGAGATTATGAAACATGATATAAAATTTATCCTCTGGAAGACCCAATTCTTTGACCAGAAAAGCTGATAAAGCTTTTGAAGTTTTTTTGTTCATTTCACGATCAATTTTACCAATTGAACCAAGATGAGCAATGGCGGTTGGCCCTGATTCACCTCCCATAGACATGACAGCAGATTTAAAGGAGACAATCACATACGATTTTGGCTTTCCCAGAGCATCAGCAACTACCTGAGCTGCTTTACCAGCTAATTCTGGAGTTAATTTAGATGCGTCAACATTGGTTTGTACTTCTAAAGTAGGCATTGTTACAAGATTGAATGAAAAAATTGACGGGAATACACAAAATAGCAATTAATATTCACTAATGATCAAAGTAAGAACAGTTGAATGAAGGTGAACAAGTTGTTAATCGTAAGCAATTATCTTACAATTAGGGATGTTCCGATCCCAATTTAAAATCGATCTGATCGATTCCATCTTTATCTTTTTATTTTATCTCAACCAGAGAAAGTCAGTCTCCTTAAAAACACGAAGTTCCGAGTCAGAAGATAATTGCATAGATCCGATGATACTTGTTTTGTTCACGAATAAGTGTTTTTTGGCATTTGTTATGATACAATTATGTTTTTAAAAATCTAAATTCTGGGTAAAATTGACCAGAAAAATCGATCTCAGTTAAAATCGGAATCCTAGTTACAGGATTTAAGATACCGATATCCCAATGGAAATACTCGATATGATCGTAAAAAAGAGAGGGAAATTTGAAGGAAAAAATTTATAAAAAGTGGAAGATAGGTAAAGGTCGATAAAAGTCAAAACTATTTCGTTTATTCCTCAAATCTTTACTGGTTTTTGATACTGAATTTTTCTTATTTTTTGTGGTTGTGAGTGATTTAGGTGAAGTTTAATGTTTAATGCTTTTTTAATTTGTTTACTTACTTTTATTTTGACTTTCATTTCCTAAAATGAACTGAACATACAGATTTACAGTACAATTGAGTAAAATTTAAACCGTTCGATGAAGTCACTAGGCACTAAGTAACTGGTTGAAATGTTACTTAAAATAAAAATTGATCTGAATCTGTTTCTTAGCCGAACTTAATAAACCTAAATTAACCTGTTATGAAGCTAAATATTGACAAGGAATCCAGAATTATTTTGTTTCGTTAAACAGTTTGATTACTGTTCATTTACAACAAAATGTTTGGCGATGAACGTGAGTCGATGATTAATTGATAAGACACCGATATTGAAGCGCCAAATCAAATTCTTATTTGATAATAGCATCTGTGTTTCTTCAAGAAACTTTTAACCATTTGCATGTTTATATTCAATTATGTCTTTATATTCAATCAATGAATCCAGCTAAACCTTAACTTTTATCAAAAACTATTCTTTAAGCTTTTCCTGAATCAGCTGACCTAGTAATTGCTGAACCCCAACCTAGAGATAAGTCTATCAGTTGATCAATGTGTTTAAACAGTAAATCAAATGAAGTAATAATGATATTACCAGGAAGTCTACAAATTTTCATTGAAAAAGTTGATATAACAAACAATATAGTCTCACAATTATGAGATCTAGATAACTTACACATCATTTTCAATTTCATGCAACCGAGTAATGAAATTAAAACACTGATACATTTCATGACACTTAATTATGCCAATTATTGTGTAAATCTGCTAACGTTAGTGCTTAAATCCAATTGGACTGAAAAAAGACACAAACAAAAGATGAAATAAAAGCTAAATCAAAAATGAAAATTTGCAGATTTTTAATCAGCTAAGTTTAAGAGATGATTTGTTGTGGAAATTAAAAGAGGCTAAATCGATTTACGTAGACTACTTTGATTTACAATAATGTTTACGTTTCCATTGATATGATTATACGTTTTCACGTATTAAACAATTGCTTGAAGCTTTTACATGAACATCATTATGAAAATGATCGACCTAATATCAGAAATGAGATGAATTGCGAGCAAATAAGAAATATATGGGAAAAGCGAAAAAAGGAAATGCTTTTTTAGGAGTTCAGGCCAATGAAAATAGTCAGCGAGTAACTGTTGAATATAATTACTCAGATTGAAGAATTAAGTGTTTTGTCATGATGACTTTTTGGACAAATGAGGATTTTATGATACAGTTTTTCTCTTAGTTTGTGTGTATATTTATCTTGCATGAATATATAAAAACCTTGAAAGGACATGAATCAATAAATTATGTAACCCAAAATTGTCTGTTTGATTTGAAATTGAGTCGAATTACTTAAGAATATAGTTTTAGCCTAATTGTCACTTCTCCAAAGTCTGATTGTTTTATCATTTTCCAAAGCAGCGGAGGCGATAATGTTATGAGTTGGATGACAGGAGGTACACATAACAACATCAGTGTGACCAGAAAGCTTTTGAACGATCTCCTTGCTTTGTAAATCCCAAATGTACACTAGATGATCCTCTGATCCTGAGACGATCCATTTACCTCCAGTACAAGAAAAGTTAGCGAAAATACAATATTTCTCGTTTTTATGTCCTGTATAAGTCTTGAGACATTTTCCTTTGCTGTAGTCCCATAATTTCAGAGTATTGTCTAAAGTTGCTGCTAGAATGTATTTTCCATTTGGTGAAAATTTGACAAATGAAACAGGAGGGTTGTCATCATCAATGAGAGTCTTTAAACATTGACCTGATGCAGTATCCCAGATTCGACAGAGACCATCATATGAAGAAGAAACAATGAGAGATCCATCACGGTTGAAATGAACTGCAGATACAGGATCAGAATGAGCTGGTAATGTCTTTAGACATTTACCAGTTTTAACATCCCAAAGACGAACTGATTCATCAAATGAACCAGAGACAATCAGGTTAGATTGAGGATTGAAACTACAACAGAAAACATAGTTTGAATGTCCTTTTAAAGTTTTCAAACATTTACCAGTAGTAACTTCCCACAATTTAAGTGTTTTATCATCTGAAGCAGACACAATCAATTTAGAGTCCGTGCTCCAAGCAATATCTGACAAACCAAGTTTATGGCCAGAGATAGTCTTTTCAAATTTCCCATCAAAGGCAGACCATATTTTTATAAATTTATCAGCTGAACAAGATGCTAACCACTCACCATTAGGACTAAATTTAACGGAGGAAACTGCTTTTGTATGCCCAGCAAGGGTTGCTTTCTGGACATAGTTGGGTTTACCCTTGGTTGAATCTTTATCTCGAGGTTCTTGTTTACTTGTAGAGGATGAGGAACCAGCATACATTTTGCAACGTTAAATAGGAATGTCACTTACTAATAACAATAATCATCAATATAAAAACAATGTCAAAATAATAACTAATAAGATGAATTCGTGTTGCAGTATTTTACCTCAGTCAATGAAGCTGCTTCATTGATTTGCTTCTTTAAGCCAAGAGATGGCGGCAAAATAAGGCACTCAATACGAAGCGGAAATTTTGTATTTTGAATAATAATTCAATGAATAGGAAATCTTTTGAATATCAATAACTAATTTTCACTGTTTAGTAATTTTATTGATTGCTTAGTGTTAAAATAAATAAAATTTTAATTTACATATCGCTGATGAACATTAGTGATTAAAAAAATATGATGATATACATTTGAATAGTTTGGATCAATTGGAAGGCAATAAATTAATATTTGGATTCAAAAACGATCAAGCAATTGATCATTGATGCTGATGTGAGAAAATAAAACAACAATTTAAGATGATCATCTATGGAGAAATCGACGACGATAATCAGAAGGTTCAAGTAAATGTGGACCTCGGATTCCTAAATCATGTGTAACCGCAATGTCAGCACAGTTTCTATATGTTTCTTGAGGTCCACAGCCAACTTCATAAGTACCATTTGGACAAAGCCCCCAATTATTACCTAAATCAAAACAAAATGACCCATCAAGTAAGTAATGGCTTTTTTTATAAATACATTGATAAATTAAATGATTACCTGATAACCAATGCCAACGAAGGATACATTTTTTACAAGTTTTTTCAGGTGGAAGTTGAACAGGAAATATAAATAAACCAGCTCGAGGTCTATTGTTAACACTAACTGTATCGGATCCATCTTTTAGCTTCAACGTCTCGAAGCACTCTTCAGTCTCTAATAGTCACGCAGATGAGCGAAATTGGTTTAACATAAAACGAGAAGCAAATTTAATCATAAATAAAGTGACCTAACCAAAGGAACCGTTAACTACTCACCTTTAACTTCCCATGAATCCCTCCAACACATTTGAAAAACAAATCTTCCACCATGGTTAGTGACTGTATCAATGGCCACATCAATGACTGAACCCGGTGGATAAGATCTCGTGGTAATATTTCTAGCATGAACACCACCAGTTTCATGATCACGTCTTCCATTTGCTGGATCACCACAAATACCACATTTACCTCCATTGTCTTGCCATTGAACCTTTTTCAATGGAGAAGAACTGAGTTAGCCATTACACTATCGTTGTAGGTTGATTACCAATAATCAAAGTAAAACCATCCAACAAAATAATTCAAAATAAAACACCAAGCACGAAAAATTAAACAACAATTACCTTTATTCCTCCGCAAAAGAGTTCACTATCCTCATAGTTGGGAAATGAAGGGAAACCAAATCTCCACATTGTATTTCGCGCCGGCGGTTCAAACATTCGTCCATGTCCATTTACATTGGTTAATAGTTCAATCAAGCAAACACTTGTTACAGTAAAATAAAAAGTCCAATAATTAATCGATGGTTCCATAATTGTTTCCTAACGGCAACTAAACTTGCTCTTCGATCTCCTGAGCAAACACAGTTATTTATGTGAAAATGAAAACTGTTCAATTCTTGGAGGGAACCAAAATTTACAGTTAAATCAACTTTCCCTGGACCAACTTGATCATCTTCATCTTACCTTTGATCTCCCTCATTCTCACCTCATATTCAGCCCTTCTCCTACATCATTTTCATCTTCATCTTCTTCCTCTTCCTTATTTTGCTTCCTATTTTAAGCCAGTTTATAACTTGTGTACAAGTTCAACATTTCACTTATTTTCAAACCAACCCAGACTTTAATAGTCATTTTCAATCAACATTGAACTAGCAATCTCTTTGATTACAACTTTGTCTACATTAACATTTCCCTTTCATTGTTTTGTTAAATCTTCTTAATTTACCCACTCAATCAAACCATCATGTTACCTGTTTATATCATGATCTTCATCCTCATCTCACTTGATCAGTTCAATCACCTAAAGACAAAGATATTAATACATAAAAGCAAGGTCAAGTTCAATTACAACTTATCAAATATACATAACGGGAAATTCATTTCAGGTCATTAGCCGGGTAAACTACAAAATTAAGTAATACAAGATCTAAAGGATAAAATTAATTGTCCACAGAAAATTTATTAACCAAGATGACACTGATTAGTTAAGTTGAAATCAGACAAGTTTCCTTACTTTACTTCCCAACTTTATTGATTGCGTTTACCATTAACCTAACTTAATGTAAGGTATTATAAAAACAGCTTTGAAAGACCAAGGAAAATATATTCCACTTTTTAACTCGTATTTTTTACATTTTTTTATCGCATGGGTCAGAATCAACAATCAATATTAAGCCATTGAAAATCAATTTAAATTTCTTAACCTATTGAAAGGTTAATAAAATAGGTTTGACTAGAGTAATTAAAAACAGAGAAATCTTGTTTATTAATGGTTAAAAACACTTCGCTTTTAGATAGTCAATCGATTGTCATGCATTGATTTGTGGTGTATTCATGGCCAGTAATTGACAAATTAAATAAGTTACTGAGTTAAACTTAGCTTGGATTGCTGTTTTGAACTTGACGTGATATGAAATCACAGTAAGCTTTATGCAATGCAGACATTGGTGAATTGAGAATGATTCGTTTACTTTGAACTCGCTCTGATAGTCTAGTTGGTCTCCAGCGGAATTGGTAGGAATGGATCTTGGCAATATTATTCTCGTTGATCTGAATCAACTCTCGAATACATCTGAGGTAAAGAGAGAAGTTTTCAATCTGTGTTTCCAATTTACGCTTTTCACTGGTCACTATAGATGTTGCTTCATCCAAAGGCAAATCCAAAATAGAGTTATTCATGGCCAATGAACATTTAATCTCTGGCTTTTCAACAGTGGTAACATTTTCAGTTATCCTTGTAGATGAACCCAGTTGACTTTGTGTAACTAAAATGCCAATGTAATGTAAATAATTAATGAGCTGAAAAGATTGATTGTGAAGAGGATAAACTCACCTAAATATTGTTTATCGAAAAATCTATTGATATAATTGCTGAATCCATTACTTTGATCTCGATGGAAGAAAAGGAAAAGCTCGGCACTTCGTACCGCTATGAGGTGCCATTTGAGGAATTCGTAGCGACGCAGAGCTCCTAACTGCCAGTAGTTAAGGATGGTTGCTGCATCTCGATGTCGCTGCATAGCCATTCCAACATCGTCATCAAATGAATCCATGTGACTTTTAATGTTCACAATGGGTGTAAATGAATCAAGGAATTGACAAATGTTTTTATCCAATTTACTGTCCATCAAGGAAAGTATTAGGAAGCAAACGGTATTATAAATATTGACCACATTATCTGGATCATTCTTGATGCTCGTATGATATCTCTCAGCGTATAATTTCAAGAAAGGAGAAGCATCTTCAGGTACAGTAAATGGAGCCAATTTAAGGTGTTTTGATCCAACCAGTTGATCGTCACTAGGCTTTGAACGTTTAAATCCTGGCAGATTCCCTAAAAATTGAGACAGAATGTTCAGCTTAAAATATTTTTTCTGTCGTTTCTTTACTAACCTGCTAGTGGAAATATTAAACCACGAGAAACGACACGATTAAAAAACTGTTTCGCCTTGTTTTGTGATATAAAAGAACTTTGTTTGCTCATTATCTGATTCTTAAAATACTCAAATATGAAAATAAATGAGACGTTTTCCTATTGTTAAGCTGAATAAAAGTCGTGTCTACAATAGTTAAACAATTATTTAACAAATTGAATTATGTCAAATTGAAATAAGGATAGCTTCAGGGATAAGATAATTAATTTTCGTACTCAAAATATGAATTTTATTTGAAACAAAAGCTTTTTAACAAAAATAATATTCAATACAATATGTAAGTGCTTGAAGGTGAAAGGATTTAGTGAATGTAATTGAATGTTTTACGAAAATTGCGATTTTTCGACTTTCATAAATTGTAAATGAATTTATTTTTCTGTTATTCATTAATCAGTTAGTGGAAATATTAAATTAGGTAAAATACAAAACAATTTATTAAGAACCAATAATCACAATTGAATTGAAAAAAAAGCGTCTTGAAGGAAGGAACTTAAGTGTTTGGATATATTTACAAATATATTGTTTTAACTGTAAGAAATCAATAGATTGCGATGAAAAACACAAAAAGCTTGATTCACTTTAAATTAATCAGGAGAGTATATTTGCTGGTACGAAATATACTTTAATCGTCCTGAATAGGGCACGATTTTGAACAGAATAATTTTTTATTCGTCATTGCAAATTGTAACAATTTAAAAAGAAAAGAAAGAAATCGGTGAAATTATTTTAGTTTGTTATCTTGTAAAAATAGAAAAATGCTATTCAAAACAAAGCTCATTGGGTGTATTAGGAAAACTTAGAAAAGATATTCAGCGTTTAGAGTTGCGTATCTACCGGTAAATAATAGATACTTAAAACTTGAATTCACCACTGATTATCTTTTTATAAATATTTTCATCGAGTTTTTTGTATTCTTCGCTTTTCGAATCTAATACAAAAACTGAATCTTTTATCAAATTAATGTCATAACCTTCTTTCTTGAGATTAACTTTTGGCATTTTAAAAGTCGATGTAATCTCAATATCAGAAGTTAATCTTATAAAAACAGGTATGGCATATTGCGGTAGCTCTTTTTTCATTTTGTTCAACAAATCTTTTAAATCGAGAGATCCAGTTGTGTCTTTGATAGCAGCCATTCCAGCTCTACCTTCATTGCCAGGTACAATAACACCATAAACAACTGTATCAGCATGATTAGTAATGGCCCCGATAACTGCTTCAACTTCACCTGTAGAAACATTTTCACCTTTCCATCTATAAGTATCACCAGTTCTGTCTTTAAAGTAAAAGTAACCAAGCTCGTCCATAGTCAATAAATCTCCTGAAGCATAATAGGTATCACCTTCAGTAAAAACATTGCGAATTATTTTCTTCTTTGTTGCTTCATTATCTGCATATCCATCAAACTGTTTGATAGGATCCTTATGTTTAATTAAACCAACTAATTGACCAACTTCCCCTGGTTTGCATCTTTCACATAATCCTTTTTCATTTCTCAAAGGTTCACCTGTTTCTTGGTCAACACGGATCAGCATAACAGGATACAATTTTTTTAATATCCATTGAGGTAGTAAAACTGTTATAAAACCACAAGAACCTTCTCGGTTGTCAAGATTAACAGTGCTTGAGTTTCCTTCAGTGGCACCATAAAATTCAACTATTCTTTCAATGCCAAAACGATTCTTAAATTCTGACCATAATGATGGACGGAAACCATTTCCATAAACACAGCGAACTTTGTGATCACGATCCTTTTCACTTGGCGGTACAGCAAGAAGATAACGAGCTACTTCTCCGATATACTGGGCAACCTAATAGTGGAAAAAACAAAGTGGTGATTCAATTAAAATTCAATCACATAGAAATTTCATAAATACTTACAGTACAACCATTTTCTCTGCAATCATCCCAAAAGTGTTTGGCAGAAAATTTATTTCGTAAGACAATTGAAGTACCATAGAGTATACATTGACTGGTTCCTAGAACCGTTCCTGCAAAATGGTAGAGAGGCAATGGAGTATATAAAATATCATTTGGTTGCATTTCCATGATTTTGTGAATGCCATAACCGAAAACGAAAAATCGAGCATTTGTAATTATGGCTGCTTTAGGTAATCCAGTTGTCCCTGATGTGTAAATATAAAATAAACGATCTAAAAAAGCGACGAAAAAATAATTGAAGTTAAAATGTTGCATACTAAATTATTTCCCTTTATTTTGAATACCTGAAAAATTGCCGCGGTGATTTACTGGTTCATCAGTTGTATGATCAAGCAATGGCTTCAAAGCTTTGATTTCTTTCTTATTGCCATCATGTGTCTGTTTGTCGCCATACGAGTAAATATCAATAGATCTATCGAATTGGGGTGAGTCCAATAAATCTTGCACAACTAGATGGTAAAGTAAAATGAAAAATTAGAAGTTTATATTACAATTAAATAAATATTAAATTAAACAATAAATTATGTACCATAAAATATGAGTTGAAATTTCAGGTAAAAGATTCAGATGTTCAAACAAACTTGTACTAACAAATGTTCATTAAATACAGAGGAGTCATCTACAACATTAAAGAGACAATATCAATATACCGAAATAAAGGAAGTAATTTGAAACACATACCTAATTACATATCGCTCATGATTATTAATGAATATTAGCTGAGACTTCCCTATTAGTTATTACATTTACAAAATATAAGATTTCAAAATTAGGCTTACCAGATTCTAAAGCAGAGTCATAGATAAGAGCACGAGTTTTAACAGCACTTATTGAATGTAATAGAGTTGATGATTTAAGATTAGTATTTAAGAAAGCTGTTGTTAGTCCGGCTTTAGCTGCACCCAACCAGATACCAACAAATTCAGGTCTGTTGTCCATAAACAAAGCAACATCATCCCCAGGTTTGTAACCAGCTGATACAAAAGTTTGGGCGATTCTATTGGAGAAGGAATCAAGATCTTTGAAAGTCCATACTTTTCCTTGATAAATTAAGGCTGGTTTATTTTGATTTCGATTGGCAATAGTGGTGAAAGTGGAAGATACAGTGATATTCAACTTTTTTAATCTCCAACATGCAAATTGAGTAGAAAGCAAAGTTATCGAACCTCTTTAGGAAGGAAGGAATAATAATTTGAAAAAAATATAAAGTAAAATATGTCAGTTAATGTGTATTAAAAATAGGCAGTCTTACAAGTGTAATATTTTAAAAAGGACTTTGTAAATATATTTACTTCACGTCACGTTTAACTGTGAGCCGAAAGACTTTTCCATAATGGATTATCCTATGAATTACACCCGAGGAATTGCCAAACAGTCGAATGACCATGATCTGAAATATTGAAGCTAAGGTTTAGTATGAGTAAAAAAATGAACTTTCAAAAATACTTACACAAAATGAATAACTACAATTTACAGTTCTTGAGGAAAAGAAAACTTTGTTTACTTTTCTAACACACAGTGTGTCAAGTTGTTTCAAAGTTCACAGGTTCATCAACAAATTAATCTATACTTGTATACACCATTTATTAAACTACTCATCTCTTTAAACAAGAATAAAACAGTAAAAATATAAGATTTCAGATGATTAATAAACAAACAGAAATATTAACAGAGTTATAGTTGTCATAGAAAATTGCGCTAAGTGAGTTGAGTGAGAAACATCAATACATTGATCAACATTATCGATACTTTTGAACCTGGTGAAAATTTGAGAAGCTAGTTTTGCTAGAACATCTTTTACTTTTTAAAAGCATTTTTTTCCTCAATTCATCTTTTATTTAACCTGCGATTTAATTACGGATAATAAATTACATACAAGAAGACAATTTTAGGCTCATTGGATAGATGATACAATAAGGCAATCAGCCCATCATTTAAATTTTTTTGAGGTTTTGTTGAAAAACATACAAAACATACCTTTTTATAACCTTATCGTTACAGATGAAAAGGTGATCGGTGATTAAGTAAATCACCTAAAGATAAACTGCGAAAGCATATGATTATAAAGCAGTACGATGTAAATTGTACAGGGTGTGGCAAAACGAATGTCAAGGTTTTTTTGCAATATTTTTTATTCCCTTAACAAATGAATTCATCCTTTCTGCTCATGCCAGCCATCGTTCAATTTTTTTGAATAATTAAGGAATGCACATGAATTTAAATTAAATCTCGAACAAGTTAAATAGGTCGTAATAAAGCGAAGAATCAGCTTCACTATTGAATCAAAAAGATAAGTTTAAGTTTGTCAACACAATAACCGTTTTCTTTTTCTTGTTTCCACACTATTGAGCATCTCTTGCACTGAATAAGAGCTAAATTGCAAAGGAAATAAAAAATATTGTGACCAAAACACTGACACTTCTCTGGTTACACTCTGTAAATTGTTAAATTGAAGGTTAATCAAGGGTATTTTCAAGGGGTTAATGATTTTTGATAAAAATGCGATTCCAGTTCAATAGAACAATATTTAAAATTATCGTCAGTGAAGAAGTATCACCGTTTATTGTGATTAAGAGATGCATGAAATCTCACAGAAATTATCTCATTATTGCACCAACGGGGCGTGAATTGAAAGAATGTTGAACAATTTGTTTGTACAATAATCACAGTGAGACTTTGCAAATATTGAACTTTAAACAATACTTAAACTGTTACTCAGGTATGATCAAACCGTTTTGATTAGGTGCATGACAGACCAATATAAGGCACTTCAAAAGGGTTAAATTATTTCTTAGCCAATATGATAAGTTTTGAATCTCCAGCACCAATTGAATAAATAAATAACCAGCTAAAGATGGACAAAAAGGTACAATTGTAGTATTATTCAAGTATACGTACCAATTAAACTGGTAATTGCTGGTGGCTGATGGTAAATTATTTTGTGCGTAACCAAAGACCACATGTAACAGTGGATGGCGAATATTTACGCTTAACTTTTGTCTTGAATTTTACAGCATATCCATCATCAAAAGTTGTAACCGACCGGGAAGATAACGACAAATTAGCATTATTAGAAGCTGATATATTAACATTGAGTTCATCAATAATATCGAAGAGATTGAGCTCAGTTATATTTGACAAATTTTCAGATGCAAGAAATAAAAGTTTGGATCCATTTGATTTAACCAATTGCCATTGAGCACCGATTTGTGACCCAAGCTTTACTCCAGATCGCCCACACTGTAATTGGTAAGAGTTGACTGGCAAAATCATGTTGAATATCAATTCATTAAACACAGATTGATTGAAAACAATTTTTGAAACTTCACTAAGGAGTCTTTTCTGAATATCGATTTGTGGATTCATTCTATCAGATGTCCCATTCCATTTACTGAATCGATCCAAAGATGTCTTAGCCTTTACTGAAATAATATTTTGATGATTAAATAAATTTTGGAAAAGCTGTTTTGATGTTTCCAACGATTTCTTGATTGATTCCAATTTTTTAGGTAAACTTTTAATGGCATTCTGTTGATCGATGGATAGTTCAATTAAATTAATTGCAAACAAATTTACCAAAGGCCCAGAATAGAGTGACTTATTCGCTGAATGTAGAGCGGCAAATCCGGCAAATCCTTCGTTTTTTAATTGATTTTCAAATTGAATTATAATCAAGTCAAGGACAAGTCCAATAAAAAGCAAGGCAATAACCATTGTAAACACATAACCACTCATCAATAAAATAGGTAATTTGTGTCTAAGTGGATCTGGAGCATGATATTGTTGCCAAGAGCGAAGTCGCTTCAGCATCAATCGAGCATTGCGATTTGGATATTTCTTCATTTTTCGCAATTCCTTAAGTTTTCGACGGGATAATCTGTGATGTGCCATACTTCATCTAAATAAAAGGTTAAGATAGAACTAATAAAGATTGAAATATGTTAAAAACAATTGAATAGTGAAAAATGAAATCAATTTAAATTAAATTTTTACAGTTAATTTTGAATCACCGAAAAAGGATAGCTTTAGGGATGAGATAAACAGCTCCTCATCTTTGCAATTCATTTCTTTACTTTTTGCTTTGGATAAATGTTTACAACAATTGAATTATGGGAGGAAAGTATAAAAATTGACTATAACGAATAAAATTAAATAATTTTGTAGAAAAATAATTTATATCATGATTAAAAAATTGTAACGATTCAAGGAAAAACAGAATAAGTTAATGGATATTTTAAATTTAAAGAAAAGGTAAAAAATCTAGAAATGCTATTCATACAAGGGTCACGGAAAAAATGATTAAATTATTGCTTCTAGAATAAAAGATCCGATTCTTTGTGACAGCTGGGCAACAATAAGGTACAATTTTTGGTTCATGAGGAAAAATTTAAAAGACTGTCCTTCATCTAAATTTTCTGACCAAATTTGCGTGAAACCAGCACTTCCTGCAAATAACAGATGATTCATGAAATGAGAAACAGGTAACGATTTTGGAAAAAATTAAAAGGAAAAAAAGATTTGATGAAACATACCTTTATGTTGCCAAATTGTAAGAGTCGACGAGTTTAAGGCTGCCAGCAATTGAACTGATCTCCTGGAAGATGGAACCGTGAAAGCTTGTAAATCTAATGCAGCCTCGAAATCAATCGAATGGAAATGATCAAACTGACAGTCAGGCCATTTATAGAAGATTCCTTGGTAAACATGGATTGCTTTATCTGTTAGACGATGAAGTTTTCCTTTGCCTTCACTGAAGGCTAAATAATTTTGCTCATTGAATGAATAATGGATAACATTTGTTGCTTCAAAATGATTGAATTTTTGGACTAATTTGAAGTATTTTTCTTCTAACCAATGGAACAATAAGCTTTGATTTTCATCCGATTCACAATTGTTATCTGAGCTTCGAGCTACAGTTAAATATATCTCGTTTTCAATGCGGAATAGTGCTATTTTACGGGCGTCTATAAGAACAAAAGATTAAGTTATAAATCTACATACAATAAGCTTTAGTGATTACTTACTTATAGTGACATTTATTTTGCTGATAACCCTGAAGTCTGGTTGACCATTAACAATGCCAAATGTAAATGTTTCAACTACACCACGAAGCGATGATAATGCAGATATTATTTTGGCTTTCTTGTTCAATGTTAGAATCTTGAGATCGTCATAAGCACGTCCAAGGTAACCAATTATCTCTTTCTCATTAGTTAATATACTTAAATTAGACGAGTTTGGTGAGGCTTGATACAGATTGTAGCTTTTTTTATCAAGTTTAAACTCGTAATTTTTTATAAATGAAGTTGTCACTTCCTTTCCAGTCATCCATTGTGACCCAGAAAAGTATAGATGTTTAAAGATGACATTTTCACCATCCATTAAACCAATACTGAATGAATTGGAAGAATGATGAGTAATGGTCTGGCCCTTTACATCAGGGAATCTCTGGTGAACTCGGAAACCTTTGATCTCCATGGGAATTGAATGAATATAACGATTTAAATTGTGTGTCATATTCTTGTTGGCTTCAATTGTACGATCCAAATTGTTTAATTTTTGAGAAAGAGTTTGGTTCCAATAGCCAGAATAAGAATGTCGGATTTTTTGTAGATCACGAATCAATGAGTTCAGAGGGTCAGCGTACCTAAGAGCAGAATGATCAATCTCGATTGTGGCATTATTAATTCGAGGAATCTCTTTTCTCAATGAATACTCGTCAAAGAGAGCATTTTGTATCCTTCCATTAACCAATAAATCATTTTTAATGATGAGTGGTCCATCAAAGATCCATTTATGCTTAACTCTGATGACTTCATTGTTTCGGGTTGCAGTATTGACCAAGCTTGAAACATCCATCTGTCCAATCTGAGAGACATCAAGACCCGATAATAAGCTTACTGTACCATCAAGTTTTATATGCTGGGAAATTTTTTGAGGTCTTGTTGGGTCGATAATATTTCGTGCATGATTTACCAAGTTGATTCCATTGAGAGTATTTCTAATATCAACAGGTGAATCAAAATTTACTTGAGAGAATGATTTGAAACCAGTAATACTTTGGTAAGGTTGGAAATAATCTTTTAACCAAATAAAATCTCGTTTAGGATTCACACCATTAACATTTCCAGTGATTGCAATCGGATGTACACTCCTTATTTCAACAGGATCCAAAAATTCGAGAGTATCTTGCCGATTTGTGAATTGCTGATCAGCTGCTTTTCTTAGAAGTTCATTCAAATCAATATTATTGATATGTTGATAGAAGATTGTTTGTACTCTATCTTGATAGACATTTCCTCTCACTACGATGTTATCAATAAATTCAATGGGAGCAGCCAGATAAATAGTGCTACGGGGATGAACCAAGACGATATTGTTCAACAAAGAGTTCAAAGGCCTTCCATTGAATGATCGAACGTATAAATTTTTCCTTATAGCCAAACTTTGCAATGTTTTAGTTCTAGTAAAATCTTTGACTGGAGTTGCCAAATCATTGAATAACCGATCAAACTGGACATTGTTTATGAACCCAGATACATGCAAGTTTTTAGCTATGTTCACATTATCGTTAAATATAACATCACCATGTATTACTGTTCGTCTTTTAGCTTGATTGTCTCTGATTTGTTGTAAAATATTCAACGGAACTCGGTTCAGCAAACCATTGACATTGATCTTTCCGTAAACATTTAAATTTCCGACACTGATGGGACTTGAAAATTGTGGTGTGATTTTACTGTGCCAATATTTTTCAAATGGCTGCCCATTCAAGTATTTAAATTTCAAGCTGTTGGCTTTCAATCCTTCATAAAATGATTGGGAAGCTGCCATGGTGTAATATTGATTGCTAGGCTTCCTAAGATCAATTGGTTTCCTGGGTATGTCGATATTGTTCACCTTTCCATTTACAAAAAGATTACCCAAAATGTTCAAACTATCGGCATAGAAATTTCGATCAATAATTATATCTGGATGCAGAAACAAAGAGCCTTTACGGGTTCCATTTATAACACCTCGCGTTGATCTTGACATTATCGGGGAATCAAAAGAAACGTGATAAAGAAACTTTTTCTTATTGTTAATCACTTGATCACCATCTTTGAGAAGAATATTTCGTAAGGCATTCACGATGGATTTACCACGATGATTTGATGGACCAAATTTTAACTCAGAAACGGTAGAATTTTTCAAAATTAATTGATTATAGAAGAAAGTCTGACGTTTACCAATTTGTGCGGTGATTGTGCTGATACGTCTATTGTTTAATCTTTGCTCAACTTCAATTTTAGTTGCTTGGATCGGTTTCAAAAAGGTAACACCAGATGAAAATATCTTGATTCCTCTTATGGTCTGCTGCTTGCCATGGAAAACTAAATCGAGAGGTGATAATGAATTGATTCGATACCCTGAATCCATTTGTAGAGAGTCAATAACCAAATCATTAAAATAAATATCACCATCTATTATACCATTGTGATGTAGACTGACTCTTCTTTGCATCAAGTCCAATATCGAACCTCTTTCAGCTGTTTCTTTCCAATCTAGTTTTTTAATTGTTAAAGGTTGAGTGAATTGAACTGGTGAAATTATCGCTGGGTTTGCTTTTGACGCGAAATTGGTTATCGGCAAAGAGTTTATTCTTTTTACCCTGACCAATGGAGAATAAATACTATTTAAGAATGTTTTGGTTCCAGAAACCTGGACAACTCCTGTTTCAGATAAATTCACCAGATCTCGTAATAGGTGATCGAATTTGAAGCCATTGATTGTTTCACCAACAAGCAGATTTCCATTCAAAATCACATTTCCACTTGGGTTATTGCGAATTCTTCTAAACATTTTATCATTATGAATAGCCCAAGAAGTCAGGTCCTTAATATTACGACGGCCGAAATAGCCATCAGTGTAAACATTTTTCCTAACAACCAACTGATCGGTGAAATATAAATTTGAACTCAGTGTTTCATCCCCATCAAGAGTTACGAAACTATCAGGATAACGTAGACCATTAATCGAACCAATGACATTAGCACGCTTTAAAATTAAGTGGTTGAAATTGACTGGCCCTGAGATAATTTGAGCTGCATTTTGAACTAAAAATTCCTCAGGAAAGTTAAGATTGTTTAGACTTCTCATCATAAAATTTTGTGCTTTCATGGATGCTGCACTAACAGTTAAACTTGGTACTTTGATCGGAAGATCAGCTCGTAGTAACCTTGTAACTCGTCTTTTAAAATCCATACCATTAAGATCACCTTTCAAATCAATAGCTGGAGCATTAATTGTTCTAGTGTTTATTGGTTTTAAAATAGTTTGATCGGAACTGTATGTGAGAACAGATGAGACGAAAGTTCCGAAATGCACATTAGAGATCGAGGCGATGTCCGGAGTGTTGTTGTAGAATCTTATGGAATCAAAATCCATTGGAGAAGAAATGACAAAAGGTCGCTTATCGTGGAGGAAAATCAAGTTGTCGTAGTTTACATTTTTTAAAAATTTAGCTGAGACAAAATCTGCATGCAAATAGCCAATTCTTACTGGACTTCGAATAGATACTTTGTTAAAGCGTCTCAAAGCTATACCACGATTGGCATCCATTCCATTTATTTGTCTGACAAATAATTTATCGGTTGCTGCACTTGCGGTCAGATAAATAGGTGAAACAACTTTATATTGTGAGCGATATCCTTGATTATATATCAAGTCATCTAAAAACAGCGTTGGAATATTATGGATATCTATTGAAGCACAGTTTAGATTAGCTTTTCCTCGAAGATTGAGAGACACTAGACCTTTAATATTGCTAGTTTTGTTGGGAAAAACAACTTCACGTGCCTCAACATGCAAGGAATCAACAACCTTTTCGATTTCATTGATTCCAGGTTGATAGAATGCTGGCTGTCGAACATTCGGATTTCCAAGAAATGTATCATAAGTAACAGTATTTGATGCCACCAAACGTTTAATTGCTTGTCTTTCTGATATCATTGATCCAGGTTTAACACCAAATGCAGAGCGAGCTTCAAAATCTCTAAAAACTCTAAACTGATAACCTAATTTTTGTTGTAATTGAATCAGATTCCAATGTTGCTGGGAAACAACCTCACCCAGCAATCCTTCGCTTGCAAGATCAAATTTTAAGAAATTATCCTTTATCCTATTTGGCAAAACAATTGTTGGTGGTAAATCTTCAATTTTTTGCTGAATTATCTGTCCATCAGAAATAGCCATGGAATGGTAGACGAACCATAAAAACGATAATAATGATATCAACGGCATGGCTCCAGATGACTAAAGACAAAATATTTTCAAGACAAAAGATCAATCTTGTGACACAAGGGGTGAAAACGGTTTATTAAGATACACACCTTGATCATCATGGTTGCCTGAACTTATTAAAACACTTTAAATCAAAAATAAAACGTTGACTTGGAATCTTCAAGATGAACAAATTAACCAAAGTGAATTGACTTAAATAATTATTTAATTGAAAATATAAAATGTAGAGCAAAGAAGCTCTCAACTCTTTGCCTCTAAAGTAAGGTCAAATAATTTCTTTCTTTATAACATAGTCATCACGTCATCAGCAAAATGTGTTATTTATCTTAAATTATTGACTGTGATTGGTCAAACAGTGATTATTGCTATATTTAACAATTGAGTCTCACAAACTGTCAAATTGTATTTTAATTGAATAATAATCATTTTAAATATAATTTTCGTTATTGAAATTATTTTAAACGTAACAATGAAATCTTTATTTTCATCTTAAAACATTTGACATGATATTACATTTATTAAATGTCGCTAAAGCAAGCCTTTATTTGATTTCAGTCCGATTTAAGGAATTAATAGCCATTAACTAGTCAATTAGGTTTTTAAATTACTAGAAATAATGACCAATTAATTATAGAGAATGACATTTGCGAATAAAAATTTTGATTTAATATGAGAAATAGTGTTTGCTATTTCCGTATGCATAAAAGAACGGAAAAACTTGAAGTTGATTAAAATACATATGCTAATTGTCATTTTGGTTAATCCTTGATACAGCACCCTTGACTTTAATTACTTGAAAGATAGCAATAATTTAAATGTCTAATCCATCCTCCATTGATTAACGCTGCACAGAAATGTAAAATTAAATGATTAATCCTAATACATCTCATGTAACTTAAGGTTGATGCATCGATTAAGAAAAGTTGATTTGAAATTTTTAGATAAAGGGTAAAGCTAGCTTTCCGGAAAGCAGCGTTTCAGCTGTTCAAATTAAATTAAACCAATCAATGGCCAACTAATGGTTAAAGATCAATAAACTTTAAGAGGACAATGCCAATAAATCCAATCGGAAATTTTTAAACGAAAAATTGAACCTCAAGAATCTTGTTTCAAGTCGAAATTGATCTTCCATATTAACCACATCCTTAGATGAAGGTAAATGATCTCTTCTTTAGCTGCTACGCATAGCCAATCAGCTTAATTGCTGCCCAAATCAGTCCTAATATGTGACTTTGTCCTCGATGGGTTTCCCTGCGACAATCTGTTGAACATGTTGATTGAAATACATTTTTTCTTAACCTTCTCCTCTTCCTTTGTTTTTCTCCGGTGAAATTGCTTCAGCATTTTTCATCTAAAATCATAAATTTTCAAAAATTATCGACCGACCTTCTTGTTCAGGGCCATATCGAGATACTAATAGATACAAGATGTAAAACAAAAAATATTTTTACACTGATTTTAAAACAAAACCCACAGTCAATTAGCCAATTACAAACAAATTATATGTTCCAATAGATTTGTTTTTCAGCTGACTTCTTATTTCAAATGAATGGCCATTCTGAATGGATGTAAATTGTTTACTTATTTCATAGATGAATTAAAAGAAGCGCAATTTTATAGATATTTTACTTACATTGGCTTTGTCTTGTCATCTATAAAATCTGTTGATCTAAGATTTAAGTTAATTTAAATTGGAATTTCCAGATAATAAATTTACCTTTTTTTGTAACGGATACATGGTTCCTTGACGCTGACGATTTTAACAACAGTAAGCCCAACATCAATTGATATGGTGTGGAAAGGCAATGAGAAGGCAAGTTGAAATAACAAAAAGGTTGGTTAGAATGGAAGAAAGCAAAAGATTTTCATCACTTATTGAGTAAAGTAAATCACTCCAAGGCTAATGGGCTAGTATTCATCAAGGGCAATGGGCGAAAATTCGAGGTATATAAGTCGGGACAGGTTGAATTTTAAAGTCACTTCACTTCAAAGTGTATCAACTAACAATTGAAATATCTCAACAAGTGTACAAATCAATCTCATAGTGTGCTGAAAATTTGTTTACAAAGAAAGCATATCAACATATAAAGTTATAAAATTTTGTTTTTGAATCAACGTTAAAAAAATCAATTTTGCTCAAGTTTTATATTCAACTCAACTTTAAAATGAACAAGCAATTGGTAAATATCAGTTTAAATTGAAATATACTTACAAGTGAAAATTGAAATGTTCACTGTTAATAACACATCTTTACCTTTTTTTTTGTTTTCCATTAGTTATTCGCTTTGTTTGTCTCTTCACTTCTTTTATGCTGCCAAGTTGTTCGAGCTGAAGAGGAATTTGAAGACGATGCTGAGGAAGCCTTTGATGGTGATGACCAGGTTTTAGAGAGGGAAAGACGAGATGTCACAGCTGATTTAGAAGGAGCAGAAAGTGGTATCGGCGGTGGTGCTGGTGGTGGATTAGTAGGATACAAAGGTGGAAAGGTAAGTGTCTCACTAGGATTACCTGAAGTTAATCAAGTGAATTATGATTAATTTTGAACCTTTTTCATCTCTATCAGGCCGGTGGTGCTGCTGCTGGATTCAAAGCTGGAAAAGCTGGAAAGGCCGGTTACGCAGCCGGAGCTAAGGGTGCAAAGGGTGGTGCTGCCTATGGAGCTGCAGGTGCAGCCGGTGGAAAGAAAGGTGCAGCCGTGAAGAAGGGATTCGCTGCTGGAGCTTTCGGCAAGAAATTCGGTAAAAAGGGAGGTTTCGTCAAAGCCGGAGGTGCTGGTTACAACAAGAAAATCGGAGTAATCAAGAAGTTCGGTGTTAGCCAAGGCTTCAAATTCGGTAAGGCTGCTGGTTATGGTGCAGCTGGTGGTGCTGTCGGAGGCAAAGCAGCCAAGGGTGGTTTCGCTGCTGCTGGAGGAGCTGCTGGATTCAAGAAGGGCGCTGTTGGTGGAAAGAAAGGATTTGCTGCTGGAGCCGCTGGTTCAGCTGGTGGTAAAGCAGGAGCTGCTGGTGCTGCTGGATTCAAGAAGGCTGCTGGAGCTGCTGGTGGAGCTGGTGTCAAAAAGATCGGAGGTGGAGCCGGTGGACTTTTCGGTCGATAAGCTGAAGCCAATGATATATATGCTCATAATTTGGACAATTTTAGCTGACTATAATGTAATGAAGCTCGGTAAAGGTTGAAAATGAAGGTAAAGTCATTGAATGGTGAAACCATTACAAACAACTTTACATTTCCAGCCTTGTTACCTTTCTATTTTCGTAACCAACTGTTAACATTTTTAAGTAAATATGAAATTAAGAAGTGTTCCGCCAAACGTCAAAAATAGATTTTGAATAGATAATTAGCCTCAACCAGAAAACATTTGTATATCCGCTTTCAATTGATCTGATGAATGTAAATTAATCCTTTACTTTAAACTAATCTAAATCTCAATCATTCCAATTCCCGGTTCAGACTTTGTGATATTTCATACTTTTCCGGTTTCCCGATCTCTTTTCACAGTATACAATTCAAAGTCAATCCAAACAGGTTTCACGGTTCCATGAATTTTCTTAAACCTTCCCACTAACTGCATACAGATTGTCAACGAACTATCAAGTAGTATCCCATTCAATGCTGTAAACAAAATGAAACTGTTCACAATTCCAACTCTGCTGCCTAGCATAAGCCTTGTTAGTCTCATTAATCAAATTACCAATTTATCTATTCAATTTCCAATTTGATAAAACCAAGTACTGATCAACACAAAATGTATTGTTACCCAAACGTAATCATATCAATGTATTGGAGAAACTTAGATCAATGTTGTAAAAATTTGCAAATAAAAATACACTTTTATATATAAATATTTCGATCAATATCTCATGTTTATTTGACCACGTAGTGAACGATTGATTTTAGATCACATCTTGAATTTTCTTGAATAAAACTTGCTATGGCGTTTCAACGGCTACAGGAGATTGAATTCAAATAATGTTAATTTTAATGTTGTTTATCCGCACAAAAGGTGTTGAACGAAACCATTTTTAAATTGAAATTTATGGCAAAACACCACCAATTATAGATATTTGCTAATACAGGAGACGAAGCTGTATGAAAAAATGATTAAAATTAATCTAAATATTTTTCAAATAATTTAAAAAATCAATGACATAACCAAACAAAATTACTATACTACTAAGTGCTTCATTAAATGGCTCATAGACTTTGATATTTCGTAACAGCTCATACGAGGCGAGTAAAGTTAGTGCATATAATGGATGATTCCTTTGTCATCAATAATTTATTTTCTTAATCGGTACTTACCATTTTTAGGGAATTGAAATCAAACAGATAGATATTAAACAACATTTTCCTATTTTTCGAACTTATTAATTGATCACTCAGTCGTATTTTTAGTGTTTGGTTATTAATTCGATTTTTTAATCATTATAAAATATTCTTCATAATTTTAAGCATTTTTTCATACATATCTTGTGTTTTTTGGATCTTTACATCCCGCGGCCACAAGTGATCAACTTCACCGTCACAAATTTCACGATTCAAGGGTTGACAATTAATTATAGATTTTAACTCTGTCTATTTTCACAATTTAAAAGGGTAATTAAAAGATTAACTCATTGTTAATATTTACTCATTATTATTCACTTATTAATTATTTTGTTATTCTATTAAGTTGGCCGTTACACTGGTTAGGCATAGAATGTTGTTTGTAGTTGAATCTAAGCTAAGAGCTCATATGAAAAAAGCATTACAAAATTATTATTTGCGAACACTTATTCAAATAATTTTAATTGTAGATAAGACAAATTGATCCTATACATTTAATAAGGAAAAAAACAAAATTCCGTATCATCATAAAAATCTATTGGAATTAAAATCTATGTAATTAAAATCTATGTAATTGAAAATAGATAAGATGAGCAATTAGTTTTGTGGTTTGTTTTAAATGGCTATGCGTCGTGAATAGCACAGATATCTAATCATCAATTACTTTACTTCAAGGCATTCATTTAAGCCTGGAAATTTAGCAGTTTAATTGTTCGGATTACAGAGTAATATTTTATAAATATTAATATTTACTTTATGGTCCGCATGAAATTTTCAGTATCTACAAATTCATCTGTAAATCAATGCCAATCTTTAATTAGTTTTTGTATTCACTGTGGGAAAATGAATCTTCGTATTTCTAGCCAAACATATTCAAAGATAGATATCGGATGCTCATTTCGTTTTCAGATTTTATTAGTAGATGATTTGAAAGTTGATTTGACCTAATCAAGTGATTGGTAAGTGAAAATACAGCAAACATAGTATTCCTCTTCTTCACAAACATACAGTTTAATTCCTTATATTTTGTTTTTTTGGAGTGCTGACATCTATGTGAACTACAGGGGGAAACATTAAATTTTACAGTTTAAACAATTAGTCCGGTCTAATGACTCCACACTAAGGGGAAAAGGGTAGAAAGATAAAGGGGAATCAACTATCAGCATCTAATTGTTTAAACTGTAAAATTAATTGTTTCCCCTGTAGTTTACATAGATGTCAGCACTCCAAAAAAAACAAAATATAAGGAATCAAACTGTATCTTTTTTCGAAATTGTCAGAATTGAGATATTGTAACGAACGGGGATTTTGTATGTAATGAACAATTACAATAAAATACTTACCAAGACATGAAGGTAAAAATATGAAAAGTTTTAAACATGAGTTTGTAAACGAGACAAACATGTGAATGAGAAAGCCTTAGCAACACCAATAGCAACCAAAGCTGGTTTGGCAACCAGCAATCTGGTAACAAAACGTAAACAACTTTGTATCGTACTCTTTGTCTTGCACCGAGGCCGTAGATCAAAGACTGTGCTATTGGACTCTATTAAACCTATGCCTTTAGGTCCTGTGATTTTTTAATTATTTATTATCATAATTTAAACAACCTGTAACATGGAGATCTTAGTGAAATGGTTAAAAAATCCTACCTCAAGCAAAGTTTCTATAGAGAAATTAATCGGTGAATTTAATAGAGAAATTGAAACCATCGAGTCATCTATACGGGATAAATTAAATGTTCGTGATGAAGAACAGTTCCGTGATTGTTTCCAAGAGATTACAAAATTCTTGGGGAACCTGAATAATTCAATAGATCAAGCAAATGATCAGTTAAAAAATTTTGAAGGTGATACGGCAGTTAAAATAAGAGAGCTTAGAGATTTGTTAACTCAACGCAATAAACAACTCCAGGAAGCTGCTTCTAAAATGGCTGCGGATGGTGATTCTGTTAAATTGAAGAGTGGCGATTTTCTCGAAGAAGATGCAGGTAATGAAGTTAATCCTGATATCGAATCAAGTGATAATCCATCACCACTCTTAAGATCATCAAGTCCTGTTGATGAAGAAGAAGTGCGCCAGGTTGAATTGACTAAAAAAATTGCTGGAGATTGTATTATCAGAGCTCGAAAGTTGGTTTGCTCTGATTTATTCCCTGTTATTAATGTCGGTGACGATGCGTCGAATACAATTCAATCAAATAGCCCGACAATCAATCAAAGTCTTTTCTCGTTTCCTGTTTGTCAGGTCAGCCAAAGTATCTATGATTTGGCTCTAATGATTAAACAGATGATGATAGATGCTCGTAATCGGACAGAATACGAAGAACGATATTGCTTCTATCAAGCTATTAGAAGTATCCTCGAACTTTATCTAATTAGTTGTCAAATTAATCATCAAAAAATGATCAGTGAATTTCCTAAATATGCCGCTGTTTTTCATAACAATTGCCTATTCATTGCACACCAATTAACAATCCTTCCAATGTACTATGGTTTATGGGAAAGTGATAAATTCATCGTAACCTTTATCGATTTAATCCCTGCTATAAAAGAATCTGCGTACGATACAATAATTGATTTAATGAAAAAACACAAACAAATAATAATGGACTTCTTTGAGGATTCTTCTGTGACGGAAGCACTGAAAGCTGCATCAGGTGAAGATGCAAATAGTAAACAATCTTTGACACCGTTCTATAAGGCTTTAAAAAAAGGTCTTACTCATATAAATTTGATTAAAACTTCACTTCTTGATGTCCTTCCATCATCTGTGTGTAACAAATTAATAGGAACCTTGGTTAATTGCATGGTTGCCGGTATAATTAGTTCAATATTGAACATGGAAGATATACCAGCGTATACAGCTACTAAACTTGAAGATATCTTAAATGGAATCACAAAAGATATTGATCAATTGATGGAAAATTTTTCTCTTCCTTATGGACAAATTTTACCGAAATGGTTACAGTTTCAAGAAATTAAAATAATACTCCAAGTATGTAAATTAGTAGCTTTTTATGAGCAAACTTATCAATTTACTTTTTTTCGAATACTTTCAGGCTAGTCTAAAAGATATTGTTGATAGATGGTCGGATGGAAATGGACCTCTTGCTGCAGCATTTACTCCAGAAGAAGTCAAAAGTTTGATCAGGTCGTTATTCCAAAATACAGATAGGAGATCAGCGGCTTTAGCTAGAATTAGATGATTTTGGATTAAAATGGAAATGGGTCGGCTATTTATGAAGAGAAATCGACTGCAAATTTTATGTCTGGCGTTCCGGTTAGGCGTAATAAATGCTTAAACATAACAAATATGATTGATGTTCAAGTTTTCTACGAAAATTGCAATTAAATACATTTAATTTTAAGATACTATGATCACAATAAACAGAAAAAGTCATTCAGACTGAATTAAATCGAAAATTAATTACAGAATATTACTGTCGACGACCCCAATCTTGAGGCATATATTCAAGAGGAACTTTATTGCGTACACCACCAAATGCGTCGGCAGCTTGTTCTGATCCAATCCAAATTCTTGGGAAATTTCCTCCCCTCCTTTCCATGTGCCCATATTTTGCTATAATAAGTGGCAAAGCGAGCACAAGATGGATACCGAAACGGGGACCAGGTGACCAAGTTGAGTTGAATCCTGGTGAAAATGAATTCACAAAGTGATTAAATTGACTAGATGGCTTGTGGATTGAATAAATAGAACTTACGTAAAAGGGTTGCTGTTCCGGCGAAAGCTAATGCACCTGGTAGATAGTTCCAATGGTTATCGACATCGCCACGAATTTTTGCAGTTAAATATGCAGTTGTCATACCAACATTTACAGCAACAACTAAAGATTATAAAAAAACCAGTAAATTTCAACGTAAACAAATATCACTGTGGACATAATGATAATCATACAATCATGAGCTCATCTAGACATATTTTCTTATTAGTAAAAAGCTTTAACAGATTGGAAATCTCATCTTAAATGAACTATCTATTTTAAAAAATTGAAGAGATTGGAATCATTGAATAATTAGCAAAGACCAGGTGATGCGAAATGGTAAATACTGTACTCACCGTTTGGTATAAGACTTTTAGCATAAATAAGCATAAAAGCTCTGGCTGATGCAGGTAAAAAATTGGCGAAAGATTGATAGATTGTAGATGCCGTACCTTTAATTTTTTGAGAAATCAAATAAAAATTTAAGAATCAAGCATTAGAAATATTAAAAAGGTCACTTGAATAACAATAAATAAAAAATACTCACTGTAACCTACTGCCAATTTGGTGACAGCCCATAGCTTTTTATCAAGATCTTTATGATCTGGAGTATCCCAAATATGGTACGGCATGATTAAAAAACGATTTAAATTGGTGATCTAAATTGAAAACAATCAAAACAAATAGATGAAATTAATTCCTTGCAATCTTGAAAAACCTTTATAGTAATCAGCTGGGTGTTTGGTCAGCAGATGGCGCTGACTTTTGAGCATAAACAAACAAGTTTCATATTTATCATTGATATTAATTTAAATTATTTTTAATTCTTGCCAATTATTGAATGATTGTCATCTTGATTTCATTTGTTAACACAAGTATCCGTTTATCGTTTTTCATGAAAGAAGTCTACCATCGTAAGTTCTTCTACTAATAATACTGATTTTCAGTTGAAGTTTCCTTTGCTACTTGTGTTACATAAAATTGAATAAACCTGTGACAATCTGTGATTCCAGAATGACCTGTTGTCAGGGATTTTCAAGATGAATCCAATGATCTTCTTTAATACAAAGACATCAAGACTATTTGGGTTCATTCTTATCGATTAAAACTTTTTTACCACTCGAATAACTCCATCTTAATAATTGGTGGACTTCCACTACAACACACAACATGCTCATTAAATTGGATATCTTGGGACCCATTGGTACCTCCAAAATAAATTATTCATCAATGGTTGTGAAAAGAATCTCAGCAATCTTGCAAATTTTAATTCTAGTTATTATTATTTCTAATCCATGGGAAGTCGATGCCGGTGAAGATTATTATCAATTGCTGGGTATTACAAAAAGTGCTGATAATAGAGAAATACGGAAAGCTTTTAAAAAATTAGCCTTAATTCATCATCCAGATAAGAACAAGGTAAAATTTCAATGTAAAAAGACTTGATTCTGTCTGAGAATTTCAAAATAACATTTAACAACTTATTATGATTTATCTTATTTATAATGAATCTGCAAACTAGTTGTTAGTTATTTTTAGCTTATTTATTTGGTTAATGTTTTGTTTGTATTATTTTATGAACCAGGATGATCCTAAAGCTAATGAAATGTTTGTGAAAATCAACAGAGCTTATGAGGTACTCAAAGATGAAGAAACAAGGAAGAAATATGATCTTCATGGCGAAGAAGGTTTAAAAGATGATTTCGAGCGTGGACAATCCTGGCATTCCTGGAACTATTACGAAGAGAGTTTCGGAATTTACGATGATGACCCGCAAATCATTACTCTTAGTAGATCTGAATTTGAAGCATCTGTTACCAACTCACCTTTCATTTGGTTTATTAACTTTTATTCGCCTCAATGCTCACATTGTCACCATATTGCACCAGAATGGAGATCTATGGCTAGAGAATTGGAAAATATTATTCGTGTTGGTGCAGTTAACTGTGAAGAAGATTGGGTTCTTTGCAGAGAACAAAGGATTCATGGTTTTCCGTCATTAATTCTTTATCCTAAGGTAACTTTACATTATCAATTGATATACTTAGTACCTTAATGCTCATCTGTTTCCATTTTTAGAAACAACTTTACGAAGGCAAACGTACATCAGATGCCTTAACTGAATTCGTGCTTTCGAACCTGCCCAATAAAGTGATTAAAATTACTGAAGATTTTCTCAAATCTGAAGATACTCTCAAAAATATCTATTGGTTGATTTCATTTTGCTCTGATAAATCAGGTAATTATGAAATAATATCTTGAAATTTTAAAATGCGTTCTTAAAAATTATCTCATTTCTTTATCAGATTGCCAATTCGAGGACAGTTTAGTTAAGCTCGCCATAGCTTTAGATGGATTAACTAAAGTATCAGAAAATGTTAAATGTGATAAAGAGCCAGAATTGTGTCGAATGTTTGGAATCAATGATAAAGCTATTCGACTCTACAAAAATGTATCCAATGTAAAAGATTTCATTGAAATCTCCTATTCTCAGGATCCTAAGGACATAATCTCATCAGTTCTACACCAACTTCCTGGTCTAGAGGAACTTGATGAAACTAAATTTAAGTCATCTATTCCAGAACCAAACTCTGAAACGACTTCTCAATGGGTGATTTTATTCACAAAAAATCCTATTGAAAATGATGATCTTACAAGTAAAGAATTGAAAAGATTGCCGCCATTGCTGAAAAATATATCTACTGGACAAATTAATTGTAAAATAGAAAAAAATATCTGTTCTAATTATCAGCTTTCCACCTTCCCTAAATTTCTTGTCTTCCGTGATCAAGACTCTTATGAAGTATATCATGGTAAGAAAATTATTATCCGTATTTTGTGTTTCAATATTTATACTTTCTATAATTTACTGTTAATTACTTTGATTCTTTTAGGCAGGATCTCAGCTCATGATGTTGCGACATTTGCATTGGAAAGCTTAACGAGTCATTTAAATACACTTTCTCCTGCACAATTTGAAGAAGCAATCAAAAATCAAGATAAGCCTTGGCTAGTAGATTTTTACGCACCTGTAAGTTTTTTATTCGTTCATTGTTGTTGGTTTTCATCCATAATCTCATTCATTTCCGTTCTTAGTGGTGTCCTCCATGCATGAATTTTATGCCAGAAATAAGGAAAACATCTAAAACACTAGGAAGTACAATTAATTTTGGTACAGTGGATTGTACTATTCACTCCACGCTCTGTAGAAAGGTTAGTTTCGAATTTTTTTTATAATTTTGTAAACATTGTTTTATTTTTATCATTACAGTACAATATTCGTTCATATCCGACTTTGATTTTGTACAATCAATCTTCTCCACACCAATTCTTCGGTAATCACAAGTCTGCTGATCTAATTGATTTTATTCAGGTAATGTCATTTTTCTTTCAATATTTATATTGGATGTTATCATTAAACTTTTTTCTTTTGTAGGATACCCTTAATCCTCCAGTCGAATCTTTAACCGCCACAAATTTTGGTGAAAAAGTTCTTGATCGAGATTCAGAAACAATCTATTTAGTAGATTTTTATGCTCCTTGGTGCCGTCCGTGTCAAGAATTTGCTCCTGTTTGGCGAAAAATAGCTAAATTGATGAAACCAGAGACGAATGTAAAAGTTGCTGATGTAAACTGTCAAGATCAATTAGATCTTTGTTCATCCCAAGGAGTCAAAACTTATCCAACTATTCGTCTTTATCCATCAAAAAGAGATTCCAGATTCAAGGAGCCTTTCTTGTATGTTCAACTTGTTTTACTTAAGCTATTTGAACCAAATGGTTAATAACGGCTTATCTTTATTATTTTTTCAGTGCTTTCAATGGATATAATCGTGATATTCAATCTGTCCGTGTTTGGATTTATTATTATCTACCAACTTTAGTTCGTTCTATTGATTCTCCAATACTCTTCGAAAAGCTATTAAATTCAAAGTATGCTTACTTAGTTGATTATTATGCTCCTTGGTGTGCACATTGTCAAACTTTTGCTCCTGATTTTGAAATTGTTTCAAAGGTATTTTTTAATTTTATTTGTTGTATTGAAGCGTTTGCATTGATGAATATTAATTATATTGTTTGGCTCTTTAACAGAAATTGAAGGAAGATGGAATAAAAACGGCTAAAATTGATTGTCAAGAACACGTTGAATTATGTAGTAAAGCTAACGTTCGAGCTTACCCTACACTGAGATTTTATCCTGGAGCCGTTGATGGCGAAACTCAAGGACCGCACGGAATCGATATAGATACTTATCATGTTGATTCAATAATATCTCAAGTTAAAAAATATGTCAAGCCGAAAATTGTAAGTCACCTCTTAAAATTTTGATTACCACAGACCTCTAATAAACTTTTCATTTACTCTTTCTTTTGCAGATTAAAGATGAATTGTGATACAGTTTAAGCAAAAAAATTATTAAATCTCGTTTTATTAAGACTTTGATAAGTTCTTATGGCTAACAAAATGTTTCTGATCTTTTTTTAGAGTAGAAAACATTTAGTCCCAATTGGTGAATAATGAAAAGGCAAATGGATTATTTATAGATTGTTTTACAAAGAAATTAATTTATACAAAAAACTGCATTCATCTTATTTACAATAGTGTAACATTGTTGGTTAAATTTTTTCATCACATTCACACCTCATCAATTTAAAATGGTTTAATCTATTAAAGTTGAACACTGGCTATTGGTGTGAATAAGTATATATTTCAAAACACAGAGCAAACGATCCATGTTCATGTTAATAGAGTCCATCATTCTTCTGATTGGCAAAATTGGAGACAACTTGTTGCTTCGAAATTGATTTTTTGGTAAAAAACATCCATCTTTACTGGTTTTTACATATTTTACACAACAATATGTATCCACACTTGGCTTGATTGAAAAACAGTTAACACAAGTTAATCATCGGTTTGGCTTCAATCATGTTGCGAGCACAAAGTGATGGAAATTGTGCAACTTTAAACAAAAAGTCCGTTATCCGATTGAATTTTTCACAAATTACACTGATAGGAGAAAGAAGTACATAAAGTTCACAGGCAAACAGAGCAACGGGAAAGGCTACACAACATAACACTCCCAACCAGAAGAAAGTCCAAACACATTGAGTTAACGGTGAGGATTGAAGACCTGCTGGTGATGCTCCTGATATTGACGCTCCAGTTGTTTGATTATAATGTTGAGGTAATTGGAATGGGTTTCCTCTACTATCATAAAGCACCGGATTACTGCCAGTCCTGGCTCCAAGGGATGAATTTGGATGTCTGATATAAAAAGGACATAAAGAGATGTGAAATTTCCAAAGTGAAAGTAATTTCAAATTAGCCGAAAATGCTTCCCAAATCAGCAATTGATTACAGTCAGTAAAAAAGATTTAAAGAGGAAGAAACTTCATTCCATTCAAAAGATGATCATCAAAGATTGAAACGAAAACACTAAAGAAAAGTATAATTTGCTTGTAAAGTTACTCACCTAGTTGCTGCAGCTTCTAAAAAGACAGGAGCAAGTCTCCACATTTCACTTTGAATTTGATTTAACTTTGATTTAAATTCATTTCATTGGGAAGGCTCTAATTTACACGATTCATGAATATCCCATGGGTAACTCACAATGAAGATTATAACAATTGAAGTAACAGTGTGGAGCTTTTTTTGCCTGAAAACAAAGACTGTTCAAAACCACCAGAGTTTTCAATCTTATAGTTTCTTTCTTATTAACTTAGTCCCTGTTGCATCCTCATCTCTTCGTCCTCCTTCCCTCCATTTCTCACACTCTCTAACTCACTCTCTTTAAACTCATTCTTAACTTATCCTGAATCTTTTCTTCTCGAATCATCATCACTATCATTCTCTTCCTCTCTTTCATCCTATTTTCTTCTCATCCTCTTTTTGTTGTCTTTTTCGATTCACTGAAACAAGAATAGCTTTTGTGACAATGTTTTTTAATGTCAAATTTGACAAAACAATCTTCATCTTCTCTTCCATAGAAAGAAGAAAAAAACAAAATTTAAATTTAAATCATTTATTCAAAGTAATCTCGTCTTACTTTGAAAACATTATTCCTGGTTGGAAATATTTTCACTTTAAAAATGAAATAATTGTCAAACTGAAAGGTTCCTTCACTCACAATGTCAGCTACTTTAAATTGCTCATTAATGTTCCCGTTTATTTACATTTTTCACTCTTAGATTTGCCATTTTCTTGCTTCATTGCTTTATTTACATCTTCATTATTTTACCAAATCCATGAATCCTTGAATGTTTTGGAAATTTTATATTGAATTCTTGTACAAAAAAGAAGACGAAAACTGCAAAAGATGACAGAAAGTCTATATAATGAATTCAAAGAATGGTGAAGTTGGCAAAATTGGTATTCACCTGAATTGTCCTTTATTTTGTATAACTCTAAATGTACCAAAATCATTCTTCGAGTTTTTATGTTTTTTCCTCTTGATTTTGACTTACATCTAGACCAACTCAGAATTGAGTAAATCCAAAGTTACAAGAGGAATTGTGTTAGTAACGCAAGAAAAAGTGAAAAAGAAGGCAAGAATGAAAAGAATGAGCAAAATGTGAAGAAAAGATTCAATGAAAAAGAAGATGAAAGTTTAAGGATGAAAAGACAGAGAAAGAGATGAAGATGGGAAAAACAAGGAAAAAATAATTTTAGACAGTGAAGTTGATTGAAAATGGATGAGTTTAGTGAAGCTTAGAAAGTGAAAGATGCTTTTAGACTAAATTGAGATTCCCAATTTGGAGGTAAAAAAGGATGAAAATCTGGCGAAGAAAGATGACATTGGATAAAGTTATAGAGTGTTAACATTGTGAACAGCTTAGTTTTTGACATTAAATACATTTTTTGATTCATTCAAGTTTAATCAGGAAGCTTATTCTGGTAATTTTTTATCTCTACCTAACTTCATTTTGAATATTGTATTTGTAATTTATGTATAAATATATTCTCACTATATACATTGAACAATTAGTTTGGCAGCCAACGATGTTTAAGTTCAATTCATGCTTTTCACTTCTCATCACTTCAGGATCATTACTGTACAAATTTTGTGCCAAGAAAATGGTAAGAAAGTTTCACCTAAAATGAAAGAGCAACATTAAAAAGTTAATATAATATATAAATTAGAATGAAGAAGATTGAACAATTTTGAACAACCTCGTGGTTAATATATATGCGTATTATTATATACCTAAATATATTCTGGTAGGTTGTAAATTAGATTAACTTTAAAGAATCACCAGTAAAATTGAGCTTTTCAGAGGTAAGATAGCTAATAGATGAACTCATTTATTTATTTATTCAATTTTTTGGCAACCGTCTCATTTTTAAAATTTCATTACATTCACAACATTTTTCAATCCATTATTTTCAGTGTCTCTTCATCACGTCTAGATTCATCCTCATTTTTTATCATCTACATCATTCTTTGTGTTGTCTCCATGCACCATTGAGTTGGCAATGTTTTGTTTATCAGCTACACAATTGAATCACAATTTGCATGTTATATTGGTTTCTGGTGAGAACTTGATGAGAAATGTGTTTAAAATTGCTGTACCTTTGGCACAAGTGTCTAAAATTTTAACCACTTTTCGTTATGTACTAATGTCAATAATTAGTTGAACATTTATCAAAATGATTTATGAAGCGATAAGACTTTTCTTTTTACACAGTCTTATTGATTAGGGCATCAGATACACAATGTTGGAGTTCTATATCTACAGTTCAACTAGAAGTCAATCTCAGATCATGTGATAAAAGTCAGCTACTTCTTCTTAAGACGAATGAACAATGATAATTGATTTTAGAGCACATGAGATCATTGAGAAGATATTGTCAATCAACTATGAGATTTGTTTATAGCATCCATTGTCAGTTGGTAAACTTTCTTGCACATCTCGGAATCAAACTTGGGTTCAATTGGTTTCTCTTCATAGCTTTGAATGAAGGCTCCATTAGAGTGAAGAGACTTCTCCGATGCAGCAGCATAAAGAATAATTCGGGCTCCTTCGACAGGCGCTCGCACAAAGACAGCAAAAAAAGGCAATAAAAACAACTTTTGATACCAACTCATATTAAAATGCCTGCCAAGATTTGTGTAGACCATTCCAGGACTGGCTGAATTAATTATTACGGGTAGTCCTCGACGTTTTACTTCATTGGAAAGTTCACGGGCAAATAACAAAGATGCTAATTTACTATTGGAATAGGCGAATTTTTGATCAAAATTTTCAGGAGTTACAGCTCTGTATCAAAAAAGAGAAAAAAATTAATACAAGAATAAGAACAAAAAGTATCCAATGTTAATTATGATTATGATCCAGTGTAAGATTAAGATAAATTATTTTCGTTGACATACCCTGACTTGAAATGATCTTCAATAATGTTTCCTCGTTTATAAAGCGTTGATGAGACAAAAACAACTCTAGTTGGATTTTGAGGAGATCCAAAAGAGGCAATTTTGGGCAATAAAAGATGTGTTAATAAAGCGTGGCCTAAATGATTTGATTGCATGTGACTTTCAAATCCGTCTTCGGTCATTGAAAATGGAGCCATCATGACACCAGCGTTATTGATCAGACAGTCTATTCTAGGAACACTTTCGATAATTTCTTTAGCCGAATTTTCAACTGAAGCAAATGAATTTAAGTCCATTCGACGAAGGGTAACGGTACCCATGGTTGGGGTTGGTTTTTGCAAGATTTCTTTCATGGCAATTTTACCCTTTTGAGTATCTCGACACAACATGACCACATTACCACCAGAGGTAACGATTTGGCGAGTCAATTCTTTACCGATTCCACAATTGGCACCAGTGATGACAAAAGTTTTTCCTTGAAGCCGGTTATACTCCTGGAAATATCTCCAACTTTTGAGATTCATGATTCTTAAAATGATGATTGCTGAAGCTATACCAGCAGACATTTTACCGACAGAGACTAGGATATCGTTAGCCATTATTCTTGAGGCCTAAAATTGAAACTCTGAGCAATAAATATAAACTTATTTGGTCATTCGAAAAAGATATCGAAGTAATAAAGTGTATTTAAATCACATTTTCTTGAAGTCAGTAAAGAGATTAACAGCTGATCGTGTAGCAACATTTTTGCCCGCATTATTTGAATTTTCAACCGTATTACTGTAATGGAATCAATGAAGTTCGTGAAGCATCCATGATGAAGCCTTAAACCAAATCTATCTGATTAACCAAAATATCCAGAAGTAATGATATTGAACAATTCTACACAAAATGATTTGGTTTTCACGGCATAATTTTGAAGAGTCTTGAACCAAAAATCAAAGAATGTCAGAGTCAAGTGTTAAAAAAATTATTATTTTGATAAATTTATTGTGGTCAGTAAAGAAGATGAAAACATATAAACTAAGAATAAACTAGGAATTAATCTCTTCTTAAATTTGAGGAGATAACTAGAAACAAATTATTGACATTTTTAATCTACCAACTCAATATTTACAAAGCAGCTGTGTGGGTTTTTTAGCTTCCTTTTTGGAGAGATGAACTTATAATCGGTGAACAGTTTGAATGAGAATTACTTATATCAAAGATGAGTGCAAATCAACGAGGTATAAACAGATACAAAAAAATAAGTCCGAGTGACTCAATTCAAAGCTTAATTCAGATATTTATCTAGGGGTCAAAGATATTCCAAGTGACTCCACAGCACTTATTTGAGCCACAGCAGCTTCTCGAAGGGAGAATAGGTGAGCACAGTCCATTTCTGTGGATGAATTTTCTAAGGCTTTGTCGAAACATTCGATACCTTTAGTAAGATTACCTCGTTGCACCTCAAGAGTTCCAAGCATTTCATGGGCAAAAGTACATTTATTGTCTATCTTGAGAGCTTGTTCTGGAGAGAAAATAAATGAGATTAGATAAATACAAATTTTACAGAAAATTTTGGATAACTTACCTAGCAAATCACGAGCCTTTTCAAAGTCGAAATTTGTTTGCATAGCCAAGATACCTCGATGAACGATCAAGTTAGCGTCTTTTGGATCACATTCTATGGCTTTTAAAAAGAGTTTATCCGCTTTCGCATAGTCGCCTTGCTCAGTTAGCATCTGCAAATTACCAATAAAAAATTTAGGGTTAATAAAGTAAAAAATTCATAATATACACAAAAAGATCAATCTTAAGCTCGAGAGGAATGTTATAAAAGTTTTGAACATTAATGTTGATTAAATTAGCTGTTGTATGAATATGCATGAAGTATGTATCTAAATCGAGTTTCTTGTATTCAAAAAGTTTTGATTACTCACCTGAGCGTAAAGTGAATAAACTTCAGTAGATGTTGGAAATTGTGCAAGAGCATCCTCGAAACCTAACGGAAAAGAAAATTATTTGAATTAATTGCAGAGCTTTTCATGAGAAATTTGAATCACTTACCTTTCAACAATTCCTTGATTCGTTCGTAATCTTCCGACCTGAAAGCTATTCTGTAAGTGACGTAAAGCCTCTGGGAAATGGCTGAAGGGAAATCAGGAGCTAGGGAACAACATTTCTCCAAATCTTCTAAGGCTTCGTCAATTTTTTCTGCTAAAAGGTAAATCTGTAAAAAATGAAAAAGTTAAATAGTAAATTTTCAGTTCAAATAACGGAAGACTCCGTGTTTGGTCATTAAAATGAACTAAATTACCTGAGCTCTGTGAATATAAATATCTTGATTGTTAGAATCTAACTCAATAGCTTGTTTAAAACAATCTAAAGCTGAGTTTAAACCTTCAGAATTACCATCGACTTCTTGAACTTTTATCGTACCCAACTTAATGAGGGCATTAACTTTAACATCAATATCAACATCCCCGAACCCAAGGATCAACTCGAGTTTTCTTTCGCCTTCACTGATGTTACCCTTCAAAATATCAATGGTTCCTATAGAAAATTTATACATAAAGATAAAAAGTAAATAATTGTGTAAGAACAATGAAAATTCAAAAACAAAATCGATACGAACCTTCCAGTAGACTACATTTAGCAGAAGCATTACCAGGCTTCTCTTCAAGTAATTTCTCACTTCGCAACTCTTCTAATATGGAATAAAGCTTATCACCATCCAAATCTTCCGTATTTTTAACCAGGGGATCTCGGCAATATGAACTGAAATAATTTTTGATGAAATGTTTTGATGGCATCGAAAAGGGGCGATTACTGAAATATTCTTTGGATTTAGTTTTGCTCAATTGTTTAAGAAGACGGTCAGTCATGAGGAGATTATTTTTATTCTGAAATCCTTCCAGTATATCGACTGCTGTTATATCTCGAAGAGCATCGCTGATGTAACCCATTGACTCGTACGCTAATACAAGAAATCACAAATAGAGAAATTAAACATATTGTATTCACATGCAGAGATTGAATTACCTTTTGCTCTCCTTTGTAGGGCCTTAATATATTTCCTATTTAATTTGATGGCCTTCGAACATTCTTCAACAACAGCTTCATAGTTTTTATTAGTCTCGTAAACAGCCGCACGATTCTGATAGAATATTGACAAGTCCGATGTTTTGTCCTTTGGACAACACTCGATTGCTTTGGAATAACAGTCTAAGGCTTCATCGTATTTGCCTTGTTTGAATAGCTTGTTTCCTTGATTTTTGTGATAAATTGCTAAATTGTAAGGATCTGTAAGCTCTTTTGAAAGAAAAAATGAAATTAAGTCAAAAAAGGATATCAATACACAAGTATAATTTGAATAACAACTTACCGGTAACTTGATTGGCATCAGCATAACCATCTTTTTTCAACTTGTCCCGAGGTAACTTTTTATCATTACGATGGATAGTTTTACGGTTGTGATAATAATAAAATACTGCTCCAATCACAATAGGAGAGCCAATCAATAAAGCGATTTGCCATTTTTCCAATCCATTGCCTCTAGTTGATAGATCATCATTAACTGGTTTTGATAGGAATTTGGGTAAGCCTTTGGTTAATGTAGAAAAACTCATTTCTATTTTTTTTATCACACTTTGTTTAAATAATCTGCCGATCAAAAGATATCTGATTAAGAAATTAAGCAAAACAATTTAGGAGAAAAATCTACACAAAACAGAGAAAATATTCAAAAAATTACCTGAGACAAGAGTGTGTAGTTTCTCTCTGGCAGGTTGAAATTTATAGAGTAGTCAATATATTGATGAAAATCTGGAGGTAACAGAAGTTAATAGACTGAATAATCCTGGAATTATTTATGTACCAATCAATGTGTAACTAATTAATTGGCCAAAAGAAGACAAATTGGAAACCTGATAAAAATAAACAAGAGAAACCCGAGAATTAAAAGACCAATAGGCGTTCAAAGCGATGGTAAGCAAAAGAGGATGATTGGGAAGGAGTAAACTGTTAATTGTATTTAAATCAAGATGAAGGCACATTTCAGATCGCCATTGTTAAATTGTAACTATCATGCAAAAATTACTTACATTGTCAGTCTTAGACCATGGATTACAGGTATTGGGATGGTTAAATCACGATTAATAATTAACAGAAAATGAAGACGATTACACAAAAAATAATTTTGAAGACATGCGGTCGGTCCTAAAAAGCAATGTTACTTTACAAGCAGAAGAGAAAGTGAGAAAAAGACAGACGAGAAGACAGAGCAAAGAGAAACTTGGTTACCATAACATTATTCACATGGGCTTGAAATAAAACCCAAGGATATACAGTCTTGTTTATTTGTTGTGAAAAAACTTGCTTTCAATTCATCACTATTGAACTGATAAAATTCATTTCAAGTTACCAATCAATTGTAAGTTGTTTGTTTTCAATAAATTCAATTAAAACAATAATTTACTGTGAATCTTGGTCCATCTTGGTCAAACAAAGTAAAAGGAGGTTTGGGTTGTGTTAACATACGAAATGGAGATTAATAAAAGTACCACTTTTAAATGTATTAGCAACTTAATGGAAGATTAAAGTGTATTACAATTACTAAAGTGTTTGATCATGATTTAGTTGTATCATAGGATTAATTTGGCCAAACAGCAAAGAAAAAGGAATCGGCGAAATTGTGAAATTAAAATCTGGTTATTAGCTTTATTATTGTTGCTGGTTTGAATTTCCTTCTCTCGTGTTTATTTGTGTTCTCCTAATTAACCAACAAGTTTATTGTTGATATTAACAATTTGCCATTCATGGTTATCATTGGTAATCACGATGTTGACCACAATCCAACTTTACCAGCCGCTTACTCAAACTGTTGCCTATTTATAATAATGGATACTACCTTTTAATCAAAAAGCTCAACTACAACAGCAATATTTGAGGCTTACAAAGAGATGATGGTAACCTTGATTCAACTAAAGCATCATTTTTAACCGACATTATCACAACCAGAATCTTCACCCAGTTAATTTATTCATAGCTCTGGTACTTTTGCTGTAAGCACGATGATTGTTTGGATGTTACAAGTTAACGCTTGGCAAATGTAACTGTTTAACTTGTGCAACTGTTAAATTAACACCTTAAACTGAAAGCCTGACCAATCAACAATGTACCTTAAATTGTGAAAATTATAAGTCCTTCTAACGAGTTAAATTTAATTTATAACAATTCAAATGCTTTGTTTTTCATGACCACACACAATTGTACAATACAAATATTCATAAATGATAATCTCAATATGATCAACAATTTACTTGGCAACTGGAAACACACTTTTCACGGTTTTGCGTTAATTTGATCAATTATAAGCCTTCTTTGTTTCCAAAGAGACTGAAAACCATTACAGTGAATTCCGACTTATTTTGACAAAAAAATCAGCGCCATCTTGCGGTTTTTTAGTTGGAATTTCGCTGCAATGATCAAAGAACTTATCGAATGATTTTCTATTTAAGGCTGATTATGATTAGTTCATCATCTCTTGAGTGAAAACTCACAAATAAACAATTATCATCGATAAAAAAAATCAAAAATTCGACAACAAAATATTGCGATCTCTTAGTTGCCAACTGATTTCATCTAGATGGCGCTGATTTTTTTGTCAAAATAAGTCGGAATTCACTGTATGAAAGTGGTCACTACCTTTAAGAGCTTGAATATTTTTCCTATGATC